ATAAGGCTACTCTATATACTTAGGTAGGTATATGTCCTTAAACTATAACACTTGTTAACTACTATATAGTTAATCGTAAAGAATTTCTATATATATAAAATTATAAAAGTCCCTTCTTAAATTACGAAAGTCCTTCTTTATTTAACATATAATACTATCTAAAGCCTAGTCTTATTATAAGTATAGAATTTGTTATTAAGGTATTTAGGTTATTAGGAACTAGTAGATTTTGTATAAGGATCTCTAATCTTAAGGAGTAGGTATAGGGAAATCCCTTAATTCTTAATAGTACTACTTAAATAACATATTTTACTAGTGATTTACGGTTTTTTAGTAGTATACTTAAGAACGCTAATTTATAGTACTTAAGAAAACCGTTAAACTTATCTAAAAGATATAAGTATAGCTAGAGTATAGGTAATATATTAGATTTTATATTTACTATATAGTATTACTACCTTAAGGTTTACTACCTCTTTTAAAATCTTAAACTAATCTAAAATTACTTTATATTTTTCTATATAATCTAATATAAGGTAATTCCTAATGTTACTACTTTTCTTTTAAAATACTAATGTTAAGTTTGTTAGTAAAATCACGATCTTAAGAGGGTACCCTTAACTTTTAATTAGAAACTTACTATTACTATAGGATTACTAGTATTTTTAGTAGTAAATAGTAGTAACGTTAAGAATCGTATTTCTCTTATCCTAATTTTTAATCTATATAGTACTAACATTCTACGACTTATTACTTAGTACAAACTATAATATATAACAAAATTATAAGACAGTAGGTTGTACTTATATACTAACCCTACTTACTCTACCTACTTACATTAACTATATAGACTAGTTAATACAAGAAAAAGGTAAGTAGACTTAGGTACATAAAACATATAACTAATAGCTTAATTAGACTATGTTAATTATTAGACTACATTAGTTTGTATATATTAAGTAAGTAACCTCTAATACACAGGAATATAGCTAACAGGTTAACTAGACTATAGTACTAGTTATACTAATTAGACTATACTAGTTCGCGTATATTAAGTAAGTAACCTCTAATGTACAGGAATATAGCTAATAGGTTAACTAGGTAGACTATAGTACTAGTTATACTAATTACACTATACTAGTTTACGCTTATCTAAGGCAAGTAATCTCTAGTATTAAAGGACTAGCTTAATCTTTTAAGATTAATCTGCCTACATTTGTTTACTATAATCTACTATACTAAATGTAAGTAATCTACGTAAGATTTAACTATAATTATAGCTAAGTTTAGTACAAAATGTATAAGTATCTTAATATTAATTCGCCTATATATAAAGTAGGTAAGGACTAGTATTTTACTATAGTAGTAGTAAGTTCTTACTTTATTAAATACCTAACTAGGTACTATAAGAGTTATCTATATACAATTTCTATTAGTTTTATAAGAAGAAAAAGAAAAGAAAAAACCCTCTTACTAAGGCGCCGTAATATCGCCGGTCTTATATCGCGTAATAGTATAGGTACATGCCGTATAGTAACACTTACCTAGAGGTAGTCTTGTACTATATCGTAATACAATTCTGTTTTATCTACCTCTCTTTTATATAAGCCTATATAATGTATAAACTAGAGCCCCTTAGTAGCTTAAATAATGCCCCTTTATCTAGCCTTACCCCCTTCTCTTACTTCTTACGCCCTATCTGTCCTCCTCTTGTCCGGCCCTCTACTAAGGTATACTAAGACCTAAACAGCTGTCCTCTATACCTATACTTAGACAGGGCCGTACCTAAGGTATAGTTAGGCCGGCCTGTTAGGCACACTTAATATATATTTGCCGGATCGTAGTTATTAAGACAGTCGTAAGTTAAGAGAGGGAGAGAGAGAGTGTATTAAATTTAAAAGAGGTTATTATAGAGTCTATTAGTGTTAATATGTAGTGTATTAAGAAATCGTCTTTAGGCGTAATCCGTCGACTTGTATAGCTACTAGGCAGGCTCTACGTATAGTAATATAATTTAGTATATTCGTAACCTAAAAAAAGAAAGAAGGATGTCGTAAAGCGACTATTAGAATAATAAGTGTTCTTGTTGTTTGTAATAATGTTATTGTAATCCTTAAGTTTTTACATAAAAACTCTGTTTTGTTAGGCCTTTAGCCCCTCCTTACGACATTAATAGCGATAACTCTATAGCTACTTAAGATATTAACATTTAGATCGTAAGAAGGGCTCTTGTATTACTCCTTCTTTACTCTAGTAGTAGTTTTAAGGCCTCTTTCTAAAAATTTTCGTTCTATAAAAAATGATGTTTTTTAGTATTTTACTACAAGGTACCTAGCTAACAGACTATTCTACCTAGATTATGTACTTACATTAATATCCTTCTTACCTCTACTCGACCTCTTCTCTTCTTGTGTCTAATAATATTATAATTAGAGGTATGGCTTAATAGATATATAATATAATATGTATTAGATCACTATATAGATAGTCGTATAGACAGTCAGATAAATAATAAGTAGTTAGATAAGTAGTTAGATAAGTAGTTAGATAAGTAGTTAGATAAGTAGTTAGATAAGTAGTCAGATAAGCGGTAGGATAAATACTAGGTAGGTAGACTAGTAGTATAATACTTAATACGACTTATTAGTAGTAGATAGGTAAAATATAATTATATAATTAAAATTTAATTAGATACTTAATTATATCTTAACTAGTAAAGAGATCTAGATAGTTAGTAGATAGTTAAAAGTAGTGTAGACAGTAACTAGACGCTTAAGAAAATATAGACAGTTAAAATATGTAGACAGTTAACGTTTACTTGTCTATTAGTTAACTATTACTATTTTTTTTTAATAGTTAAGAAAAAAACATAATAGTCGTACTTTTTATATAATAGTCTAAAAAAATTTGTAACTATTATACTTTTTTTATAATAGTTAAAAAAAAATATTAATAGTTACACTTTTTTTTTAACTATTATATATTTTCTATAATTTATATGCTTTAGACAATTATAGAAATTAAATAGTCGACTTAGATATCGACTATTTTATTTCTTTAATAGTATAAAAGTTCAAATAATATAACTTATGTTAATAGTTAATATTATTTAATAGTATAAAATTTTAATCGTTTACTATACATTTATATGTGTCGATAGTAATATGTAATATAATAGTCTACTAATCGTCGTCTAACGGTAGACCTAAACCTCGTTTCGCCTAGAAGGTACCTTTGCGTTTTCAAGACTCAGATGACTAATGAGGACTGCACGTGATGGATGGCTCGAAGGAGAAATGTGCTTTTGCCGCACTTCGCTAACCCTAATGTTCAAAGGGACCGCAAGATCATCGAAGATCAGCAGAGGGGACGTCTAAAAGGGGAAAGGGAAAAGAAGGGGAAGTTAGATTTCTGTTTTCACATCGCCTAACCCTAACCCGAATGACCGAATGATCAGGTCAGTCTCTCTCCTGATGAGTTCTCTCTCTGATGACTTGAGTCCTCGATGAGGCACGTGATGGATGATTCCCAGATGGAGGGCAGTTTTTGTTGCACATCGCGAATTTCCAGCGACGCTCCTAGGCCCAAGCTCTGTCTCTCCAGCGAAGGCCAGACCGGATGCTAAGGTAAGCAAGTCCCGTGGTTGATGGTTCCCTTCTAGAGGCATGACGAACAAACGAGAAATTACGGTGGCCGCCAAGAGCCGCGCGGGCAGAGCTGGGGATGATAACAAGAAATAATCAGAATTACGGTAATAATACGGTAATGATTGGGTAATAAGGTAATATGCTGTAAAACACTCCCGACAATATATCACTGAAATGATTGATCCCTCTGCTTCCTCCGCATCTCAACTCACGCCCGACCGATGAAGATGCAGAAGAGATTCGTGAAGACCAAGAGAACTAACTCCTCTCTCTCCCCAAGTTCGCATGAAAAAGACTCAAAAGACGCACGGAAGATTCTGAGGCCCCCTCGTCCCCTCGCCCCCAGGGTCTAGACCGCGTCTGCTGCGAACAGAGCAACGCTGATCCTCACACCGTTTCCCCCGTCCGCCCATTTTGCCCGATACCGTCCCCCCGCGCCGAGGCCTGGCAGCCATGGAGCCTATCGTGACGACAACCCTGATGATATAAATATCTTTCTGTTTTTATCGCGACCTCCTCTCCTCTCCTCTCTCCTCTCTTTCTTCCTCTTCTCCCTCTCCAACTCTCCACTCCAAACCCTCAACCCTCGCTGGCAGCGGAAGCTTCGTTCTTGGCATCCGCGCATCGCGTGGGAGGAGGCAATTGATTGTTCGCCGGGCGCTGAGCATGCGGTGAGAAAAAGAAAGACGCGTGCGAAGGAGAGCTTGCCCTGCTTGCTTGGCCGGTTACGTCAGGTATGGAATCCCATCCATCCCCTTCCATGCTGCTCCTTTTTGGGCCCCACGTTTCCATGATCTCCCCTCACAACGCCCCCCCTTGCCCACCGCTCTCCCCACTTGCTCGACACCTGGATACCTCAGTGCCTCATCATTCATCATTCATTCATCACGGCATCTCCTTATCCTCTTCCCTCTTCTCTATCTTGCGCTCTCTCTTCTCCGCCCTTCTCCTGCTCTCCTCCTCCTCCTCTCCCTTGACTTTCCTGCTCTCTTTCTCCTCCGCATCCTCATCTTTCTCCATCCTCCTCCTCTTCCTCCTCTTCCCCCCTCCTCGAATCAAGCCCGCCCGCCTCTATCCTGCTTCTCCTCTGTGCCTGATCCATAGCTCCCCCCACTCACAATGGCACGCAGAATCCCCGGAGAGGCAGAGGCTACACTACAGCTCCCCCAGCCCTTTCGTCCATCAGCACCTGCGAGACACGAGTCGGGGCATCCGTGTCTTCAGCCCTCGGTTGTGAACGTGCCCGTCACTCCAGGAATTCACCCGGGCGAGTACGAGTACGAGTCTCCTGAGAACAACGGCAGCAATCAATCCCCCACGTCCTATTTCTCACCAGCCAGGCGACGAGGAGTAATGGCCCAATCTCCCAGCGAAGCCGCGTCGGGAGCAACATCAAACCGAGAAATCTTGCGCCGCATGAGCTTGACTGGACAAGACCCCATGATCGAGGCTGATCCGCGCGCAGCAAACCCCTCCTTGGGTCTGAGCGGGGGGATTATCTCAGCCACCTTCTGCATCCCACACTCGTTGCACTACAGAAAGGGCTCAGATTGGGTCAGCAGCAGCCCAGTCTCCGCGTTTTCATCTTCAGGCGCTAACCATCTCCTAGGGATTAAGCCCACGCCGTGGTACCTCGGCCCTCTTTGACTCCTTTGCCTACCTCTCCTCCGATAAGACGCCCTGGAACCATACGCTGGTGGGCTGGACCGGGGAAATCGAACACGCCGAACCACTCACCCCTCCTGCTACACCTCCAGCAACCACGACGGGGATACCTGCTCTCAACAAGAATTCTGCCCCGATCCCGATCGACGAGTTTACCAAGCCGCCCGCGACACCACAATCTGAGGCGTTATGGATTACCAAGGAGGATCAGAGTCGATTAGAGTGGCAATTATCACACGACAAGAACGTACGGACCATTCCTGTCTGGCTCAGCGATGAAATTGAAACTGGCAAGGATGGTGAGATATGCTTGAAGGACCAGGCGCGGTGGAGAAGATTCGCGGAGCTTGAACTCGATACGCTGTTCCATTACAAGCAGCACGAACCCACCGATGGCCGAGCAGAGCGCCAATCATGGGCAGACTACTATCGGATGAACCAGAAATTTGCGAACCGGATCCTTGAGATTTATAAGCCGGGCGATATTGTTATGGTTCACGACTATCACCTCCTGCTCCTCCCCAGTATGCTTCGACAACGGATACCGCATATGTACATTGTTTTCTTCCTACACATTCCATTTCCCAGTAGCGAGTTCCTTCGATGCTTACCGAGGAGAAAGGACATTCTACAGGGCGTTTTGGGTGCCAACTTGATAGGTTTTCAGTCGTACAGCTACTCGCGCCATTTTAGCTCCTGCTGCAGTCGGATTCTGGGATTTCCTTCTGACAGTGTTGGGGTTGATGCATATGGATCGAAGGTTACGGTGGGGGTCTTTCCTATCGGCATCGATGCTGCAGCAACGGAAAGGCTGGCCTTCGACGGAGGCGTCATCGACCAGCAGGTGGTGGCCTTGAGACAGATGTACAGAGGCAAGAAGATCATCGTTGGACGAGATCGTCTGGATAGTGTGCGAGGCGTGGCACAGAAACTCTTGGCTTTCGAAAGATTCCTTGAGATGTACCCCGAATGGCGGGGGAAGGTGGTGCTAATCCAGGTGACCAGTCCAACAAGCCGTGAAGAGGGGAAGGAGGATTCAGGGAAGGTCGCTAATAAGGTCTCTGAACTGGTGGCCAAGATCAACGGCCTCTACGGCTCTCTTGGCTTCTCTCCTGTTCAGCATTACCCTCAGTATCTTTCGCAGGAAGAGTATTTTGCCCTACTGCGGACTGCGGACATCGGGCTTATTACCAGTGTTCGTGACGGCATGAATACGACCAGTCTGGAATATGTGGTTTGTCAACGGGATGGTCGTGGACCCCTCATCCTCTCTGAGTTCTCAGGAACGGCTGGAAGCTTGAGAGATGCAATTCACATCAACCCATGGGACCTGTCAGACGTTGCTAAGCAGATCAATTACGCCCTGACAATGAACCCGGAGAAGAAGAAGGCGATGCATGAAAGCCTTTACAATCACGTTACAACCAAGAACGTTCAAACGTGGTCAAATAGCTTGATAAAGAGGCTTCTATTAGTCCTAAATCAACACAACCCAACCATCTCAACCCCTCCTCTCGACAAGACTGCTCTCCTCCGACAGTACAGATCAGCACAGAGGCGATTGTTCATGTTCGATTACGATGGAACCCTCACACCCATCGTCAAGGATCCTGCAGCCGCCATACCTTCTAACCAAGTTATCCGAACTCTTAAAGCTTTAGCATCTGATCATCGAAATGCAGTATGGATCATCAGTGGACGAGATCAAGATTTTTTGCAGCAGTATCTAGGGCACATCCCCGAGCTAGGCTTCAGCGCCGAACACGGAAGCTTCGTGCGTTATCCCGGGAGCAGCGAATGGCAGAACCTAGCCGAGAAATTGGATATGGGTTGGCAGAAGGACGTCATGGCCTGCTTTCAGAAGTACACTGAGAAGACTCCTGGTACGTCCCTTTCCCACACAATTCCCGATTCGCGCCTCCTAACACAGATCTAGGTTCATTCATCGAACGCAAACGCTGCGCACTAACTTGGCACTACCGACCATCTGACCCCGCACTCGGCGCCCACATGGCCCGCGAATGCCAGAAGGAAATCGAGCAGACTATCGGCAAGAGTTGGGACGTGGAGGTCATGCAAGGAAAGGCGAATCTCGAAGTCCGTCCAACCTTTATCAACAAGGGCGAGATCGCCAAACGTCTCGTTGCTTCGTATCCACCCGGTCAAGCCCCGGAATTCACGCTCTGTCTTGGGGATGACTTTACTGATGAGGATATGTTCCGCGCCTTGAACGCCAGCGGGTTGCCCCAGGATCACGTCTTTACGGTCACGGTAGGCGCCTCAAGCAAGATGACGCTAGCACACTACCACCTCCTCGAGCCCGTGGACGTCATCAACAGCATCGCCTTACTAAACGGCGGCGACACGAGCACGGCGGATCTCGGCCCCTTGGCGATCCTGGAAGGCAAGATCCCCGAGCAGATGACCGGAGGTGTAATCCCGGACGAGATGCCCGGTGAGAAGCTCTGATTGGTTTTGTTCCCCTTTTTTCTGGATGGGCAGCGCATAAAAACTAGACTTCCTTCTTCAGCCGATAGGATAGATAAGAGAGCGTGGGTTATGGTAGAGTGTATATACGTATGTACGGATGAATGAATGAATGAATGAGTAAATTAATGAATTTATGAGTATTCTGCAGTGTAATGGTGTGTGCATATATATATGTACGTTGGATTCGTATGATAATAATCCAGTAAGTACCTTATCTTCGTACGGATAGATATAAAAGGGAGGGAGGGAGACCCAAATATAGCATCTCCCCCCCCCTTCTTCCCACCTCCTTTTTTCAAAACAACCTACATCCCACCCATCAGCTCCCATCATCATAACCACATATATATATACAACCCCTCCTCCCTCCTTCCCTTCCCTCCCCCCCTTCCTTTCCCCAACACTCCCACCTTACAAAATTCCAATCATCCCCCCTCCCCCTCCCCCTCCCTCTCCCAAAGACTCGAATTTATATCCACCGAGAACACAGACGGGAACCCGACATCCCACAACCAATTCGCATCTTGCATTTCTAGATCCAGAGTGTCAAGGTTGAAATTGGTTGGGGATGGGGGCGGCGCGGGTTCGTAGGAGGAGGAGGAGGAGGATGGGGGGGCGGGATTGGTGGGGTTGGTGGGGTTGGTGGGGTTTGGCGCCGCTGGGGGGTGAGGAGTAATGATAGTGTTGTGAGTGGTGGTGTTGGTGTTATTGTTAGAATTAGGATTCGAGATGATGGCAGGAGGAGCAGGAGGAGCAGTAGGAGCAGAAGAAGAAGAAGGCGGGGCAACAGCAGCAGCGCGCTGACCGCCAAACTCCTCTCGCCACGTCCACAACAGATCATGCAACAGACTAGCACCCAGCCTCGTCCTCAAATTCAATTTCGGCTCGTCGTCCATCCTAGCCTTGGGCAGGGACTGATGAAAACTCCACAGCTGCGCGAGGATCCGACTCATGCGTCCCCGGATATCCTGAGCGCTGATGGAAGAGCGACGGAGCAGCAGGACGACGGCGTCGAAGGCGGCACGGCCTGTGGGGAAGTGGATGAAGTGAGAGTAGGACGAGAAGAGGATTTTTAGGAGGAGCATGGCGGCCATGACTAGGAATTGGGAGTGTCCGTTGGGCGCGTAATTGGTGAATTCGGTGGAGGAGGTGTCGGGTGGTGGGGAGGGCGTGGTGCAGTGCGTGATGAGGCTCAGGGCGGTGGTGTACGCTTTTAGCAGGCCGTGACGCCGGGTGGACGGGTTGGAGGTTACGAAGAAGTAATAGGTTCGTAGTTGTAAGGAAGCCATTAGGAGCTCGATTTGATGCATGTCTAGGTAGGTGTTGAGTTAGTGGAGAGGAATTTTGGGAAAGGGGGGATGGATGTTTGTAGCTTTATGCTACTCACCTGAAAGATCGTGGCCGAGCTGTCTTTCTAAGCTGCCAAGGTCCTGCTCTAGCATAGCTAGGATGATACAGATATCTGAATCGAAGGGCTGTCCCGTCGGCGACCGATCGTTCTCAGACAGAATGCGATTAACGCGCGCGATGAATCGGGAAATCAGGAGATGGGTGCGCAGATTCTCGGGGATCGCGTATCGGGGATCGTTCTCACATGCGACGTCTATAACCCAGTCGGACTGGAGTATGGATTGCTGTCCGATTCCGGCAGTAACGCTGGACGTTGTTAGAGCCTTAGAGGGAGGGTTTGGGGAGGGGAGAATAGGGAGGGGTCTTGCCTTTGTGCCGCAATGTAGCATCCAGCCCAGGTCTTGACAGCGTCGCCGAATTCCTGCGGGCTAAGTCGAGTCTTCACTCTCAGGAAGTCCTGGATCACCTCGGGTCGATGGATTCCTAGCTGTAGGCATGCCGTCTTTGCAATTGACACCAGCAGGAAGGACGGATTAGTAGACATCGAATTGGTTGGATAGGGCCACATGGATATCAACAGGATTGCCTGGACGGTAAAACGATTGTGCGGGAGCATGGGGATGGCGCTCCACATCAGTTTGGTGACGCATGGGCTCAAGGAGGAGAACAGTGCGGCATCATGTTCGTACCGTCGTGCAGCGATACTGATGATGGCCCAGAACAGGAGAGCTGACTGGGCGTAATAATCATCTGGACAGATGTCCGGATCAAGGATATCGAAGAAAGGATGGTAATGCTTGAAGTAGCTAGAACAATTCAGCATCGTTCATCGTATAAGCGGAGACTATTACTGACATTTGAAACAATTCGTTAATTTCGAGTTTGTCCAGGTGTATATGCTCCAGGGTCCTCGAGCAGGTGGTGGAAGGGAGGTTCGGCTGCGCAGTTGGAAAAGGCCCAGCTGGAGAGTGATGTGCTTGGGGAGATGTAGTCTGCAACGACATTGGAGACTGCTCTGCCATCAAACTCCCCTCTTCTCCTGAGCCGAGCTGGGCAGGGGCCGATGAGGAGCTTGGTGATCCATCATCAGCTGCTCCTGATGAGGAAACTCTGGGAGTCCCAAGCCGATCAACTGATGAGCGAAGTCTCTCCACTTCCTCTGCCAATTCGTTGATCTTCCTAGACGCATGGTCAGATGAATAACTTCCCAGAGGGATAATGATGGGGGACTTGCGGTCTTTTATTGACCCTCTTATAACTTGAGTCTATCTGACAATCCAATGATAACCGGCGGCATCTGACACAGGGGGTTCCCACCGTCTTGGATAGGCCATCGCATCGCAACTACATCGCGGGCAAGACTCCGAGTCAGCTCTTGTTTCTCGCTCACGGGAGAAACTCGATCATAGTCTTAAGTTGATCACCAACCTTGGCTTGTCGACAGTTACTACAAGCTACCCTCTTCTTCCTCTGATGGGAGACATTGGCTTGCAAGGCACTGGGCCTAGATGGGTCTGATACCTCAGACTGACGAGGCGCCAATAGCCGTTCGCCGGGAGGTTGAGAATTCATCCCCCTGCCCAGTCCGAATGCAGCTGTCGTTCAACCGCGGCGACAACATGGGACAATCACGGGCTGCTTACTCCGTTTGATGCTGATTTACATTGAAAGAGCCCGACTGGAAGGTGTTGAATGGATTCAACTTGGGTTGAACCATGCGTGACCAAGGATGAAATTGTTGCTATATTTACACCCCTGGATTTATATTTCTACGATTTTACATCGCGAAATCGGAACGACAGATGATTGTTCTGCTCAGGGATCTGAACATGAATCAGAACAGATATGCTCATCGCATTCTCGTGTCTATCTGTGTATATGTCATATATATAAGTATATATATGATATACGCAAACGCTCTCATTCCTTTCTCCCAGAACTCCACGGCCAGTCACAATGCAGCTTTTTCATTTTGATTGCCTTGCGATACGCTCAGACACCCTTCGCATACAAACTTCCTCCAGCAGCAATATCAAATTCAACAGCCTCGTTCAACCCACAGAGCTCAAAGAGCTGCTTCGCACTAACATCCGCCCCTGCTGAACGTTCGACAATGCCGGTCTCCTTCAGCTCCTTCGCCGCGTCCTTAACTGCCTTGTACATGGGTCCCATGGACAGAATGGGGTAGATGATAATCTTGAACCCAATCTCCTTCGCCTTCTGTACGCTGATGTTGGCCGTCATACCTCCAGCTACCATGTTCAAGAGTACAGGAGTAGGGCTCAATTCCTGGCATACGCGTCTTGCCTGCTCTTCACTCGTGATGGCTTCCAAAAATGCCACGTCGGCGCCGGCAGCGATGGCCTTCTTGAGTCTGGATACCGCAGCGTCATATCCAAGTGATGCCAATGCATCCGTTCTTGCGATAATCACAATGTCACCAGCGGATGCCGCGCGCATGTTGGCGGCGGCTCTGATACGTGCCACATATACATCTTCATCCACGAGCTCTTTGTTTTTCAAGTGCCCGCATCGCTTGGTCTGCACCTGATCTTCGATATGAAGAGCGGCAACACCGGCCTGCATATATTGAGCAGTTGTGCGGCCCACCATTAAAGGTCCTGAGCGGACTTTAGCCATGTGACATGGAGAAGAATAGGGGGAACAAACCGCCATAGCCAGTATCAGCATCCGCGATGACGGGAACGCTTCGGTCAATGCTTGCAATCATGCCAGCGTTTTGAACCATGTCGTTGAGAGTGGCTATTCCCAGGTCTGCCATTCCAAGTCTTGACATCGTGGTCCCTGCTCCGGTCTGGTTTTACAGTGTCAGCCGGTCGCTCAGTCTACCATCACTGGTTTTAGAGATGGTTTGTCTACCATGTAGAGACAATCAAAGCCAGTTTCTAAGGCAATCCGGGTTGTGAGTCCATCATATACACCTGGAGCCACGACGACCTTGTCCTTCTCGGCGAGCATGGCCCGCAGCTTCGTGGCCGCGGGAATTGGGACCGTAGGTTTTGACATTTTGTGACTGGAAAAACTTAGATTCTGATGAATTTTAAGCCAGATTTTATTCGATATACACTTTCCAGAGGGATCGTGACTCGGTCTGGTATATATATTACTTTTTCGAGACTTATTAAGCCGGTTGGAGGGCTGCCGAGGATCGGAAACCAATACTAGCCAATCACAACGAAAGCCGCTACGGCGCCGAGGTTACTAATAGAGGGGCACTGGAGGGGTTTCAATCGGGATGAAGTCATCTGATACTTATCTCATTCTGCAGAAAGATCACTCGCCCAGTTGAATAAAATCATGTCGTCTCTGAGCAGAAGTGATGCTTCGAATCAACTAGATGGGACTTACGTCGGAAGTTATCCTTAACCATTGTATCGGTCGTGACAGTGTAGTTGTCGACTTATAAGATCGAAGTTCTGTTTTGTTTTGACTTCTGTCGCGTCAAATTCAATTCGGGTCGGTCGAGGTTCAAGCTGTGGTATTGTGCCTAGAGATCCTAGGACTTGGTAGATGGATATGATTTGGGTTCCTTCTCAGAACATGAGAGGGATGACCTTGGAAGGAAAAAGAAAGGAGTAAATGGCCTGTACCCCGGGATCTTTTGGGGTTAGAGTATAAGGCTCGATGTCGCAGAGTTGCGTCTCGCCTTGCATCTTGTTCATCCCTTTATCACTGATACAGCTTGGAGATGAGCCAACCACGACCAGTGCAAGAATCAGAGTCAAAAGCTGGAGGATGTCCTCAGCAACTCCAAGCCACGTCAGAATTCACCTCCGACTAAATCCATATCAGATGGGGAGAAATCCTCGACATATATGGATTCGTGACAATGATCCTGCTTCAGTTATCATGTCGACCGAGCACAAATCGTCTGGTGCAATGAGAAGAGCAGAGGAATGCATCGGAACACTTCCTCACGTTTCACGCAAGACTCTGATTCCGAAGCCCTCTCCGAGAGCTACTTACCTTCAGCCAGCTGTCAGTCGCGGAAACATCGACACAAGAACGTTGCTTATCTCGTCGGAAAGCGGTCAGGCATATGGTGTCAGATCACCTCTCGGGGTGTCTCAATTGCCCACACCTCCTGCGCAATCGCATGAACAGTTGTACGGATCTCTCCCAAACTCAAGGCCAGCGATGGGTACTTGGTGCTGTGAATATGTGGAACAGGCAAATGCAACGCATACACGAAAGTCGCCACAATGGGGGCTGTTTTGGTGGGATATTCTCTTTTACCCTGGCAATTACATGGGCTTCTGTGGCATGGTTGAGTGTCTGAGGACTATCCTCACAGATCTGGCAATGGCTAGAACACAAGGCAGTTAGTGGCGAGAACAGAAACGCTATAGAGAGGCTGAGTGCACTTACAGGATAGCCTTGGGGTTTCATTCATGCAGGGAATCTCGTGTTCTTTTCTTAATATGTAATCGCACATCCTGGACTTGTAGTTGAGCAATCAGGTCAATGCATATGCCTGCGCGCACGAGTTTGATACCTACTCATTGAATCGGAAATCTCTCCGCAGACTTTTGCTTTCAAGTCTCGAACTGATTATGACCGCAGGAGTTGGCAGTGTAAGGATCTGCGCCTGAACATTAGGGTCAGCGACTTACCTAGTTAACTCGTATACGTTGTCTCTGGTCTATGCTACTCGAGCATAACGGCGGAACTATATCCCCTGGAGGTAGGAGCATCAAGAGTAAGTTATGAAATTCTCAAGGTTTCTGTAAGTCTGCCAATCCGCCTCTCTGATACAAAACAAATACAACCCAAAGCTCAAAGCCAGTCGTGTCTACAACTACTGCACTAATACAGTACTGTATACATAGTCGCTTTGTCATTAATATAGAGTGGCTAAGAAGATCAGACACTGCTATTTGTTATCGCTATTCTGAATTCATAAGATCATTTATTATATGGCTTGAAAAAGACCATGTTTGATCCTAATCCTCTTTAGTAAAAGACATCCATGAACCAGATCTGGTATGTATCCATTTCTATGCTATCACTCTTCTTAGCCATTACCTACGTGCTTTGCTGAGATCATACGGCCACTGACACACTAGAGGAGTTTATGAGGAGGGTAGAATTGCCAGATCGTGCTATCTTTCCGAGTATTTGTCAACTTGCCATCTAATAGAGAGTATTGGATCAAAGAGTTACCTTTAGGGATGTTTCGGTGCTTACAAAGGGTCTCGAACTCCTCTAATGTGAAGGACTTGATGATGCATTGTGAAGGCACCCATCCATATACGAGATAGTGCCCAGGCCAGGCGTATTGAACACCACCTTCTTCAGAAGAACGAGGAGTTCCTCCAAATTGTTTGACCAAAGAATCTGACCGCTGCCAGGGAATCCTCAACCTGTCCAGGCTGGCCACATTGATGACTGCGACACGACAGTTTCCCTGTCTCGATCGGAAACTATCTGAAAACTTCGATAGTATCCATGAAGCATTGTCAGAAAAGGATATCCAGTCCGAGGGGCTTCTTTCGCCTTCACAGTGATCTGAAATTCTTTTCAAGTTTAAGAGCTTCTCGCTATTCCCTAGTTCGATAAAGTCATTCACTGGCTGACACTGCTTCCAATTCCCACAACGAAACCCGACTGACTCTGTGTATAGGGTATGCGAATCGTCATTCCAGATTCGTATCAAGGTCAACGGGGCATCAAAGGGATTAGGCTGCGTTGTGTCTCGAATGGGACTTTCTATTCCCTTCAGCTCATGTCGTAAGAGTACATCCATGGCGCGCGCGAGTTCGAAGAACGTCTTGCGTACATATACCTCTCTTTCATGCAATACACGTTGTACATCCTGTATACGAACATCGTTGCCTAGAACAGCGCATACGCCCACAGCTACATCCAAAATTTGACTTGTTAAGGGCCCAATCCGCAGACACCACTTCTCCAAGAATTGTATGGTCTGCTCAACATCCCGGATGTTCTTAGTAGTTGCTAGTAGCTGCTTGTTCAAGCAGTTCCATTCTGTAATCCGCGAAATCTCCTCGGGGGTGAGGTTGTCTTCGAAGAAGAAAACTCTTATCGACTTCTTGAAGATAGGGAGCATAGAGTCATCCCGCTCCTTGTAAAAGTCGGATAGTAGCCACTCGACGGGTGGTGACGGCATTGTGCCAGAAATCGTGGGATGTTATGATTATTGCGGCAACCGACTTCTGTAATAACAATCAGCCATGCACTTACAACTTGATAATTTCAGAAGTCTCATAAAAAGGACTCGATTGAAGAGTGAAGTAAGGGTCTAGAGAGACGACATATAGAGGGGGGGGCTTAACCGAGAGTGTCATGTGACCTGATTTCCACCCACTTTCCATGTGACAGTACTGGAGCCTCATTTTGGCATCGAGATGATTGAATATCTGCATACTGTCTTTCAAAATACTCATATCAGAGCTCCCTTTCGCTATCACACTTCACTGGCGCAGAAGAGGAGAACTTGATATTCTTTCTCGTCTCAGCGTATCTTGAATCTCCGGACTCTCCAGACCGAGCCGAATCTACTCCACCACTTGTGGCCAGTAAGCTGTCTTGGAAGTATGAATCTGTTATCTTGCCTCCATATCTGATTCTCTTGTCTTCATAGGTATCAACTATATGCGTTAGATATGACGGCTTATGATACGAGAACTCTCAGTTGTTCCTGTATGAGCTCATGTGATACTGAATGCTTGTGAAATATTCCATGGTGAATCCCGCTTGCAAAGGTATCAACACCTAAGACATTCACCTCGAAAATAAACCGCAATTGGCTTACGAAGGTACTTCCTGTCGTGCCCCACGATTAGTTGTGGCGAGAGAGTACTTAAAGCCACGGTCCCCCCGAAACACCACTGAAAAACATTCCGCCAAACATCAACCAACCACCACGACAAGTCACTAAGGTTTTTCTCAAAAATGCACTTCGGGATTCGCCTTTGGCCAAGTAAGCCACTGGCTTAAGCGTTCCCCAAGATGCCTCCTTTTTGGTTCCCTTGAATAGCCGCGATAAGGAAGTCCTTTTGTCTTTCGCCCGCGGCTTGTCAAGGCTTTTCGCGACAAATTTTTTCTCCTTTTCCCTCCCTAGTACGTCACCACGTGAGCCCCTGCCCCACAAAAGGGCAGATTTGGGAAAATTCTTCTGCATCAATATGTTTTTTATATTTTTATAAATTCATAATTATGATCAGGATGTGCTGAATGAGCTGCCAAGTTGGAGCTTTATATCTGGCTGTCGTGCTCAAAATTTCAGTTTGAATTTAATTTCTTTTTTTCCATGTCAATGACGATCTATCCGCCATCATGGGCCAAGACGATGTCATTGAAACCGCTCCAAAGGTAGCGGAGGAGAAAATTGCGGCGTATCCAGGGGCGCAATTGGCTGAGGGCGACGATGGCTCGGGCTGTGACATGGAGAAGCACGTTGTGCAGCCAGCACCGGAGTTGAAGAGGAGGTTGAAGTCGAGACACTTGCAGATGATTGCTATAGGTATGCTCGCGCATCTCTGCATCCCGTATCTCGAGCTTATCAGTGGCAGGTGGCACCATCGGAACAGGTCTCTTTATTGGTAGTGGTGGAGCAATTGCCAAGTCAGGACCGGCTGGTGCACTCATTGCATATGCCTTCGTGGGGACAATTGTGTTCTCAGTCATGATCTCCTTGGGCGAAATGGCAACATATATTCCCATTTCAGGGGCGTTTACTGCATATGCTACCCGCTTCGTGGATTCTAGTCTGGGTTTCTCAATGGGGTGGATTTACTGGTTTTCCTGGGCCATGACTTATGCCTTGGAACTGACGGCTTCTGGGCTAATCATTCAATATTGGGATAAATCTCTTTCAATCGGGATCTTCATCGCGGTGTTCTGGGTTGTTATCACTGCGGTCAATTTCTTACCCGTCAGCTTTTACGGGGAGTTTGAATTCTGGTTCTCGAGTATCAAGGTCCTCACCGTCACTGGCTTCCTCATCTTTGCTATCTGCATCGATGCCGGTGCAGGACAACACGGTTACCTGGGATTCCATACCTGGGGTAACCCAGGAGCCTTCGCTCCCTACCTCATAGAACACGACGGGCCCCTCGCCAAGTTCGTCGGGTTCTGGGCCGTGCTAATCCAAGCTGGCTTCTCCTACCAAGGCACGGAACTCGTGGGCATCGCCGCAGGGGAGACGGAGAACCCACGCAAGAACGTTCCCGCCGCGATCCGCAAGACTTTCTACCGGATCATCTTCTTCTTCGTCTTCACCGTGTTCTTCATCGGCCTGCTCGTGCCATACACGAACCCCAGCCTGCTGTCCTCAGCCTCCGACGCGACCGCCTCCCCCTTCGTCATCGCCGCCAACCTTGCCGGAGTCAAGGTACTCCCGGGCCTCATCAACGCCATCCTCCTCTTCGTCGTCCTCTCCGCTGCAAACTCCAACGTCTACTCCGGCTCGCGCATCCTCGTCGGGCTCGCGAACGACGGCTCCGCCCCGCCCTTCCTGAAACTCACCACCAAGGGCGGCGTGCCTTACTGCGCCGTAGCATTCACCGCCGCCTTCGGGCTCCTCGCCTTCCTGAATCTCTCGCAGAGTGGCGGCACCGTCTTCAACTGGCTGTTGAACATCTCCGCCGTTGCGGGGTTCATTACGTGGGCCTGTCTGAACGGCTGCCATATCCGATTCATGCGCGCGCTCGCGGCGCGGAACATCTCGCGCGATACCTTGCCGTATAAAGCGATGTGGCAGCCGTTCCTTGCGTGGTACGGTCTCTTCTTCAATATCCTCATCATCATCACCCAAGGGTTCACGGCGTTTATCCCCTGGGATACCGAGAATTTCTTCATCGGGTATATAAGTGTGATTCTGTTCGTCGTGCTGTATCTGGGGCACAAGATCGTCACCAGGTCCCCGTTCGTCAGGGCCCATGAGGCGGATCTTGATTCCGGGCGCGCGGAGTATGATGAGATGGCTTGGGATATCACAGTCCCTACCACGGCTTGGGGGAAATTCTGGGATTGGTTTGCTTGAGAATGAATCGTGGGGTTTTGGTTGGTTGGTCATTTGGGAAAATCTCCATATCCGCTAGGTTAATGGGTAATGAATATATTAATTGAAACTTGTATTATACTAGAACTTCTATTGGACCGAACCGGCCGGTGTTTTACAACTGTCAAGTCTTTTTACTCCTGGCTCAGAGAAAAGGGGGAAGTCACCTGATCATTTCCCAGGTCCTCTTCTAAACCGCAAGATTACCTACCTAGAGTATGTATCCTCTCATTATCTTCTCTACATCGTTATAGCACGTTGCTCCCCACCAACTCGCGTGGAAAATGCTCTCTGGAGTCGAGCTAAACTATCTTGCTGGATTCACGAACCTCTCTCTTGATCAGTTCTGGTTTTTTTATATAACCACTCACTCCGTATTACCTCCTCAACCATTTGATGATGATTTACCACTGCGGTCCTGCCCAGACACCTGCCACCTATGCAGGATATGCTGGAGAGTCTTTTTTCGTCGTGTGAACTGTCTTGAAGTATGTAGATAGATATACGCCAGGCACATAAAAATAAACAACTATGCCTTCCTAGTAAGCCATCTCAAACATAAAATCACTCACCTACGAAATCAATCAATCAATCATTCAATTTCCTAACCATCCAAGAAAAAAAAACCTTTATCTTTGATGACTTCTACTTGCCTCAAAAGACATGTATGTATGGCCTGTTTTTTCTTTTCTATTTTTCTCACTGTTCATTATTTGTTGGAATATTGAAAGGAAGTCGTTCAATGGTCACTTGTTGAGGAGAATTGGAAGAATAAGGGAGAAAGAAGGTTGTTGAAAGATATTTGCTAGTTAGAAAAGAGCTTGCTTTTCATTAACTGGGTAGGTAGGTAGATAATAGAAGAGAGGAAAAAAAGGAAATCCGGAATCCAGAAATCCAGAATCAAGACCTCAAAATAAGTAAAATAAAATAAATAAAATGAAGCACAAGCAGAAAATGATAAATAAAAGCGAGAGGAAGAAAAACCAAACACTCCGCACCATTCATCATCGATCACCGCGCCCAAAAAATAGAACATCAATCTCCTCACCCCCTTTCTTCCCTCCCCCCGCCCCCCAGCCATCAATCCTCTCTCCTCTACCCCGTTTTCTCATCGCAGTCACCTGTTCCGCTGATAATCCCTTCTTCTTCATCATCCCAATATCCCGTGCCCCGCCGAGTTCCTTACCCTCGAATTTCCACATCTGCTCTCGTTGCCATGTCAGTTTTGGGGATTCGCTGAGGGGTGTCCCGTAGAGAGAGAGGTTGGTGCATGCGAGCTGGTAGATGTAGGGCGGTGGATGGAAGGCGGTTTGGGGGTGGTTCTGGGCTGACATTTTGGATTATAATAGGTGGTGCTTGTTTGTTTGTTTGTTGGCTGGTTGAGTGTAAGTGTTTGAATTGGTTAAGTAAGTGGTTTCGATGCTTGGTTTTTCTTGTTTTGGTACGTTGACGATACTGATATGCGTTGAATGTGAGGGTTTTGGAAATTGCGTTTCAGGTGTGTATTTTGAATGTGTATATCGAAATTGATATCATCAAAACTCACGGCAACTTGCATGATAATATATAGACCTTGAATAGAGCTGTTCGCTGGATGTCTTGGATGCGAAACAAACCGCATTGTACTATTGTTCAACAAAAACACAAAGGGGGTTGTGGCAGTCTCTTAAAGTCCTAAAGCTTTGTTCTCTATAGAGAAAAGTTCAACAAAGGGGATAAAGAACTCGTGATTTGTTGAACAAGGCAATTGAACCATTTTGTTTCATGGTTCCAAGATCTTTATGGTTTTAACAAAGCATACGAATTAGGACAGTTGGAACTCAAATTTCAAGACTTATCGTTTCATTTATGGAGACTTCGATGTTCATTCAATTCGTCGTTCAATTCGTATCATCGTCTAAAACCCGGAGAACTTGCATGTTTGTGCATGAAAAGGTATCAGTACGAGAGATTTTGCAATGCCCGAATGGTTCATGAAAAAAAAGCAATGCCACCCCGAGTCTCTGGCATTATAAAATCATCGGATACTTCGTAAGAATCGTAACCACTACCCAACCCAACGCCCATGCCTAAAAGGAAAATGGTCTACCACAAAGCATCGGGGTCATCCAGATACCAAGTAGAATTCTGGCCCGGAGCTTCTTTCGTAGAGAAGCCGTTCCCCAGATATGCAAATCTGTTCCGGCTGGCAGACTTCCAATCGAAATCTTCCCATCTCGGGTTCTCCAGCATGTGGAACCAATGGATTCGACTTCCTGGGTGTAATGCAGTAACTGGGCCGTCTGTCGTCCCACCCTTGAACCACGAGCTGCAGGGAGCAGCCCAGGCAGTTCGGGGCATGAAGGTTGCAATATGGGCAGAGAAATCCTCAACTGCTGCAGCTGATGGACGGACGGAGATGATTCCCTCGACTTGGCATTTCATAATCACTTTCGTGATGTATTTTGCGAGATGTTCGGTGATGGTGAGGACACTTCCGTGGCCAATTGGTGCATTCGGACCAAGGAAGGCTAGGAAAAAGTAAGCATCTTTTTCAGAAGAAACTTGGGATTTCCAAGGTTAGCAAATTAGGAAAGGCTTACTGAAATAATTTGGCATGCCAGGTACCATGCATGACATATATGAGGCTGGCAAGGATTTCTTCCAGATATCCTGCAAGTTTCCGAATTCTCCAATCATAGGGAATCGGGGGACGAAGGAGACATTGAATCCAGTCGCACAAACGATAGCATCTAAAGCTATTATTTCTCCACTTGCCAGCTTGATACCTTCGGGGCAGACTTCCTGAATCTCATCGTTGACTACCCGGACATTTTCTTGGCCCAATGCCGCGAGGTAACCAACACCAGGCGTAAGACGTCGACATCCCACTGGGAAGTCAGGAATCAATGACTTAACTAGGGCTGGATCCTGATTTAGGGCATGGGCCATATATTGAGCTGTTATCTTTCGTGCCATATCTGCTTCAATTGTCCCCTTGATAAGCTGCAAAACGGACTACAGTTAGTAACACGTTTCTATGAGACTAATAGGCACGATTACTACGTACCGATTTGAACCTCGAGTTCACTATAGCCTCGACGGTTTTGACAAATGTCGCGTACTTCACTGGATCGGTTTTAAATTCCTCGATCTGACTCTCCGTGAATTTGCCTTGGGAATCCATCTTGATCGAGGCTAGTAAAGGTGCAGCTGGGCTTGCTGCCATAACCTGGGTGTGTGGAGGAGCAATCCATGTTGGTGTCCGAAAAAAGTGAACCAGTTTCTTGACGTCTGAAGTTTTGGTCAGCAATATTTTGGGTCGATTAGAAATGGACATGGTTACCAGGTTGAAGAGCCGGAACAATTTGAACGCCAGAAGATCCATTCCCTATCACGGCCACTGTCTTATCTTTATAATCAAAGTCCTTGGGCCAATTCGCTGAATGGATCAGGTCGCCCTTGAATGTATCTAGACCCTTTATTGCAGGCCACTTCCAGTTGCTGATGGAATGTCAGCCAGTCATGTAAAGTTCAGAGAGATAGACCAACTTAAGAATTCCGGAGGCATCAAGCAAGAAGTCACATCTATCCTCAAAAACCGTGCCCGTAACTTCATCTCTGACTTTCAAAATCCACTTCCCAGAGCCCTCATCCCATTGGGCATGAATGACGCTATGGGACAGCTTGATATATCCATTCAACCCATGCTTATCGCATACATGCTGCAGGTACCTCTGGATTTCAGCAGCCTCGGAGAACAAGGCACTCCAGCCTGGATTTGGCGTATGTGAGAACTGATAGTTATGCGATGGGACATCACAGGCGCACCCTGGATACCGGTTCTCAAACCAAGTGCCCCCGATGCCAGGGTTCTTCTCGTAGACCACGTGCTCGAAATTGCTCGTGTTCAGCTTCAGTGTCCGGATCATGTTGATGCCGCTCACTCCCGCTCCTATGGTCACTATCCGGACTGGACGCAATGTCCCAAGAGGCTCATCCCTCACCACATATGGGCCCTCTGCACCGCTGCCCTCATTTTCATTTAGGGATCCCATCATTTGCCGTAACAAGGAGTTGATAGTTGGGCCGATGGAGTCTGGAGAGGATAGCAGACCCGTGGTATAGATGATCTTGTGGCAAAAGTCTTGCAAAGTCCTGGGTTGGAGCTCAAGACGGGTCTTATATAGAGATTCACTGTGGCCGGTCCAAGCTCCCGAATCCCAATGCGGCGAATGCTTCAGAAGTTGGACTCGGCCGGCACTCGGGAGACGCATATAATGCCGCCATAATACGACTAACGCCTCCCAAAGCTGATGGCATGATGGTTGGTTATTATCTCGAGAGCGGGCTGTTTGTGTCAGCTATTCAATCCCACCCACTTGTTTGTAGGATTGATATTGGGGGGGCGCTGCTTACCCACAGGAATCCACAGGAGAGTTCACGGCGGGAAGTTGGGGAGACGTCGTAAAATCACCAATCAGCGCGATGCTCGCCGTCTGCACCGCCGAAGAATCTCGGCTACTCCAGCGAAAGACCTTAAAAGACCCATGTCTGTGGAGAATTGTTATTGTCAGGGGGCGACCTCTTAGAAGCACAAAAAAACCACAGTGGCAGGTCTTGCCACCAGAATGTCAAAAGATATGCACAAAAAACTTTTCAGCAGCTGCGTATCTTGATCAATGAAGCTGAGAAGCGGCTTCCTGCCGACCTGACCGAGGGATAGCTACCGCCCACGTGATCTACTCTACGCTTGAATTTGGGGCTATTATACGACGTTATCTAAGGCAAGGCAAGGTAAGGTAAGTTGCATTGTGTTGGATACATAGAAGCTAAGTTGTTCATGGTCTAGGAGATACCAAACTTATTGTTGGTTACAGTTGGTAACTGCATGAGAGCTCCCCACGCCCCGTTATCAACGCTATTCTGACCCGAGCTTCTAAGACAGGTACAACTCAGAGGCTCTGTCTTCAACTCACCGCTTGAACATAGGGTTATACAAAATCCGATAATGCACTTTCCTACGCTAATCTCGATTGACTTTCCCTTTCTTTTGTCCTTCCGGTCCTTTCCCGCTTTGCATATTACAAAGACAAAGGCCTGCGATCGTTGCGCCCTTCACGTCACAAGTTATTACTTTCTGTTCATTGTGAACTATTGAGCAGGTGATTCAAAGCACCTTGAGAGATTTTACAAAATTCAATATAGTCAAAAAGTCGAATCCTGGCCTTGGTTCTCGGGTTCTACAAATCAACTTGAGCTAATCATTATATCGAGTACAGATAGGTAATTGTTCATGGGGTAAGTACTCGCCACAGAACCGACATTATGGGGAAAGAAAAATAAGAAGAGGTAAGAGAAAGGTAGGTAGGTATAATAGGAGTCAGCTATTCTGGTTTTCACGACGATTGCCCATGATTTATAATTTATTCAACGAAGTGAGCGCGGACTCTGAAATCTAGTGGTCGAACTTACGTCCACGATGATTTCGAATATAAGTCCACGTCGATTCTCAAGCGGTCAGCTCTTCGAAAGAATCTTAAAAACTGAGTTGATTGAGTATAAATTACCCCGTTCCTCCGTCCTCCGCTCTCACCTCCATGATCTTATCTAATCATTTCGGGCATTCTTTAGCCCATCTCGGTCTATCACGGCGAACAACATTCTTTTTCGATACTAGTCTGTTACCAGACTGACCCTTGTGCATATGCATCATTCTCGTGCTCATGATCGTAGATGCACGATGCTGGTTTTGGCCTGCCAGTTGCATGAACGATCTTTGAGATGGACGGCCTTCGCGAGTAGCACCACTCGGTAACCCACCGAGGAATACCGACGGAGCAGTCAGCATGGTTCCTGAGCGAACGAGTGCCGCCCCGTCGTTGGCTGCCGAACGAACTTTCTACAGTAGTGATTTATTTCCTGGGGAGGGGTCATCCCAGCAGCCTTGTTTTTCCATGTGGGGTTTGTTCCCTGCTGCACGATTGGTTCGGTGAGAGTATCTCCGAGGGCTTCGGCTCTCTCTACTGTACTTACTACTGGAGCTTTCTTATTATTGATATTCTTGATAGGAGAAAAGGAGTTACGCACGTATACTATAGTATAGTATAGTTCGGCCCAATATCTATCTACCTGTACCCTGAATGCAGTAGTGAGTTGGACCTAGAGACCCGATGGAATCCATAGTTTCCTGTACTAAGGTACTACAGAATAGTGAGGGGCAAGAAAGGAGGGGCATCGGATACGAAGAGCATTCTCTTTCTATCAGCACAACCATGGAAGAATATACATTTCCCACGACTCTGAAGTTGCCATTTTCAACTTGATAACATCTTATAAATACTTCCCTCTTCGATGAACCAGCTATCCACAATGGTGTTTCCCTACGTCAGCAGCTTGGTTATGCGCATGTCTCCCATTTCTCTCTTCTACCTATCAACCGTTTATTTTCAAAATATTTTGTAAGAACTTGGAACTGTGAATTTCATGAACCTTCTTTGAGGAAATAGGCACAATACCTCGAGCCTGCATTATTATAGTATTGATTAAGCCCTGAACAAGTAGAGCAGATCCATTCACGCAACAACACCAACAGCAGAACTATTATCAGACACGCAACATCACCATCCATCCTTCAAGCAAAAGCTCAAGAACCCAATGAGTTGAACACCAGGCCCCAGTCTCTTCCCATCCTTCTCAAACAGTCAACAACGTACCCTCCATAACCTCCACCGCCGCACCACTCAAAACCACCTTTTCAATCCCCACGCCCCCCTCACCCCTGACCACCTCGACCGCGATCTCATTCCTCCTCCCCATCTCCACACCCTGCTCGAACACAAACCGAAACGGGCCTTGATTCTTCTCCGCCGGTTCCTTGCCCGCGAGATAGCATCCCAACGCACAACTCGCGCTGCCCGTCCCCGGATCCTCGCGGCTGCCAAACATCCGGGTTCTGTATTTCTTCCTCCCGAAGGCATCCTCACCCTGCGGGACGAAATACATAGTCGCCAGAATACCATTGCGCCATCCTTCGTCCAGCGGTGATGGGTCATAGGTGTTGTCCTGGAGATTGGCCCGGGCTTGGGCGAGCGTGGGAAGGTCCGGGAGCGGGACGAGGATGAAGGACATCCCGTTGACGATGGATGCTGTTTCGGCTGGTTCCTGCACGAGCGGACACTGGAACGTCACGGCGTGGAGGTGGAAGGCGTGCGGGATCACGGCCTTGACTTCGCCGGTGCGCACGTCTTTCTCGATGGGGATGCGCCCGGCCTTGGTGAGGAGCGCGGTTGTGTTCTGTTGTCCGAGGTGGTTCAGGATATAGGAGGCGCTGCCGATTGTCGGGTGGCCGGCGAATGGCACCTCGGCGTGCGCGGTGAAAATGTCGATGGCGATTGCGGTGGACTCGTCACCGGGCCCGGGTAGGTGCAGGAAGACAATTTCGGAGAGGTTGAACTCGGAGGCTATGGATTGCTTTTGCTTTTGCGTGAGGTTTGGCTTATCGCTGGCGGGGACGCGGATTACAGCTACGGGATTCCCAGTGTAGGGAGTGCGGGTGAAGGCATCAATAGTGGTGAATGAGAGCTTCATCTTGACTAAAGAAACTTGGAGAGCTATGTTGGGAATCTGTGGGCTGAGATGAGGGCTCGAAGGCTGGCTCCAAACCTGACTTACATCCAATGCTTTTCAAGAGAAAAAGAGGAAGTATAGGAATCTCACGATACCGCTCAGAATGATTCCATGAGAAGTGAAGAAAGTAGCATAGACATGAAGAAATCAAGGTATTTATATAAAATGTATAGCCAATTGATAACACTCGTTATGAGTCACGGAAGCATCCTTAACACGATTCGCAACTTGAGTTTTCGTTCTTATCCTGCCAGCCCCTGCAAGCGAGCAGAGAATGTATCAGGGGTATGATTTGCCTACAGATCTGAGGACGTGACTTACAGTGCCTCTCAAAGCTGTATCATCTACTTCAGAAATCCCAGCCATCCCATTCTATCACAGTTAACTCCCAAATTCCCGCCTGTCTAATATATTGAGTACTCTCTGGGCCTCCCTCGATGCAACCTTCCAATATCAGCGTCCATCGTGACACTTGTGGCACGTATGGCATACCCAGGGATTCTGAACCCAAAATCTAATGTTCCAGATCGTTGGAATTGTACTGCGTTGTGACCGTGAAGTAAACGAGTAGGGGAACAGTCGGGAAATAGATAAGCACTACTAGGGCTTGTAACCAATAACGCATATGGCCATCAGCTAGACTCCTAGCAAGTTCCGGACATGCCAAGGTTTGTAGCTATTCAAACAAAACAAAACAAAACAATATATGCAATACTTAACGTAGGAAGAGGAAGAACAGCATTCGATACTTGTAGAACCACTCCATTACTCGTCTTCTCCGGATACTTCTAATCTAGATGATAATAAAGCTTGGAATACAGTTACATGACAAGCTTGGGCCCGTGGTAAAGGGAAAGCTCCGAGCTCGCGCGGGCTGTGATGCCAGTTCTCTTAGGGAAACCCTCGAAAGACGCAGCGTAGGTGGCTACCGAGTGAGAGACAAGCTAGATTTGATTAGTTACATAGTTAAGTGGTGAAGGGACTGGGGTCCTACCTTTGTGTTCAACACCCATGCGTCGAGGGCGAGATTGTCGACCGTGTCACACAGCTGGTGATAGCAAGGATCGTACCAATCCCCAGCTTTGCCACCAAACATCTCAGCCTCCTCCTTCGTCTTGATTCCTTCTGCGCCGGTTGCAATTCCACCTCCAGGAATTCCATGCTTGATGAAGGCATCATAGTCACTGCGTCCGTCGAAGGGGATGAAGGTGTAGTTTACCCCGTGGGATTCGTAATAGTCGATATACAGATTGCGAAGCTCCTCAGACCCAGTCGGGTTGACGGCATTGGTCGCGTTGTAGATCTGGTATGCGTAATTGGGAGAGGCAAGCATGTCATAGTCCATAAAGAGACGAATTTTTAGATTCTCGTCTTCGGAGAGCTGGGAGACATAGTAGTCGGATCCGAGGAGCCCTTCCTCCTCTCCTGCCCACCACGCAAAGCGGACACAGTTGTTGACCTTGTAGTTGACCAAGTGCGTCGCGATCTCGAGCAGAGACAACGATCCAGATCCATCATCGTTGATGCCAGGCCCCTCGGCAACACTGTCACTGTGGCCTCCTAGCATAACACAGTTCTCCGGATCTCCGCCCTTGGTTTGCGCGATGATGTTTGTAGTGGGTGCCTTCGAAACGATCGCATCCATATACGCCGAAGATGGAATAATCTTTCCCTTCTCCAACTTCTCGATATAAGGCTCCGCATCCTCGTTTGAGATTCCAAACGTGGCAACATGATACTTTGACGGTTCGCCCAGAGTTCCCGACACACTTCCCCTCTCATTGTTATAAATGACCGCAGCGATGGCTCCAGCCTTCCCAGCTAATGCCGACTTTTGTCCGAAGGGGCATACCCCACGTTTGATGAAAGCAATTGCGCCGTTGACCTCGGAAGGGAAGTCGGATTCATCACAGCCATCGTTTGCAACTAATACTAAAGGCCCAAAAACTGCATCTTTGTTCTTCGTTGGAGGAGTAAGGGAGAATGGCAAAACCGACTCGGGCTCGGTGTCTCCCAACACAAGGCGCCATTCAAAGACATTCCCGACTACGGCATCAAACGTCTGGTTGCTGATCTCGTAGTAGTCTCCAAGATCTGCGATTGTCGAGTATATGTAATCGATTGTCGAGATGTGACCTGTGCAAGATAAGGGTTAGCAGAGGAGCCGGATAGGTTAAGACATAGAATCGAAGCCTACCTTGACTGCCAATAACTCGAGTTGGGTGGTTGTATTCTGGGGCCCCCTCTTCTGCGATTTTGTATAGCTGCTTGGCACGTTTCAAGAGATTCTCCTTGGTGATGTGCGCCTCGAGCGCACTGGAGCTGACGAGCTCCTTGGAGTCACTGATAAGAGGAGCTTCGGGATTGGAGCTTCCTGCCAGAGGCTGCTGCGGGATAATAGAGGCGCCTGCCAGCGAAGACAGGGCTACGAGGGGGAGAAGGCGATACATGGTGTTGACGAGTCTCAGAGCAGCTCAACAGTTCTTGTTGTCTGTTGAAGAGGAGAGAAGCCTGTGAGTCGAAGATAACGACGGGGCGAAAGCTGGGGGCAGGGGTTGGCAAGGCGACAAGGCGGCAAGGCGATAAGTCAGCCTTGCAGCATACGGACTTTACAATGAAGTCACACATATTATACCCGGAAATGTCTCTTCTTCTTCTGCATCAGACGTATAACTCAGAGTTTTCCAAGTTGAAAGGCTCTCAATCAGATACCTGCCTTTTCCCTTCTCTATGTCTAGGACATGCTGTCCAAGATCAGAATGAAGTCTCTTGCAAAACAATATGACATGATTGTGCCGCTAGAAGACGTATGCTATTGACATTGCATTGGCCATTTCTGATTGGTCTGATGTCTTGACCCTATCACCAAACTCAAATTTCAAAAAAATTAAAAGAAATTTCCAAAAATACACAAAGGGACAAAATAATCCAAAAAGAAATACACTCTATACACAGCAGGCAACCTCCTATCAAGGGAACCAAAAAGAAAAGATGTAATTTTGATTTCCGGTACCGGGAATCGAACCCGGGGCTCTCCGGTTCCTCAGACTCGTAGGTCATGAAAGCGGAGTATGTTAACCCCTACACTATACCGGATGTCTAGATATTTAGATCTCCTCAGGATCCCTCAATATATACCTGCACAATACCCAAGGAAAAAAAAAATTCAAAAAATTCAAAAATCAAAAAAGACAACATCGAAAGGACAAAAGAAATGAATTCCGGTACCGGGAATCGAACCCGGGGCTCTCCGGTTCCTCAGACTCGTAGGTCTTGAAAGCGGAGTATGTTAACCCCTACACTATACCGGATGATTGGATATCCAAATCACCTCAGGATTCTTTAAGTACCTATCAGACAGGGAAAGGACAACACTGAATTTGTAGCTTTCTTTTACTTCATTGTTGAGCTTCTTTCTATTGTTTATTCATTTAGTTTTAGTTTTATCTTGTTTAGCTACTCACTCATGAGATATTATTACGCTCTAACGCTAAGGCAAGAGCTTTCGAAATGTTTATTGATAAATGCCTATGTTGGAATACTCAAATTTCGCCTCAAACGCGTCGCTAAATCATAACCAAAGCAGTCATGAGGTATACAGATAACAATGCCGATATTCCATCATCCCTAGACGATTATGAATTCATGAATCCCTGATCTCATCATTCTCAAGCGCAGGAGCCCTCCTATTCCTCCCCTTCCACGGCAAATCCGGCCAATGTGTCCTCATAGCCTTCAGCAAGAGATAGGCCAGCAAGCGATAAACAAGTGTGCAGATACCCAACGCCATGATGTTGATGCCCGGGTTCGTATCCAGGTCGTAGAGTTCCAGGACCTGTTGTCCGGTCGTGATGGGGCATTCGCCGTTCGGGAGCCGCTGGCTGGAGTTGCAGGTGAAGGTGATGCCGCGCAGGGAGTAGGGTACGAGGTTGCGGACGGCATAGCGGATAGGGGAGAGGTAGTTGACGCCTTGGAGGAAGCCGGGCATGTCGATGGAGAGGATGCCGGACATGAATTGGGCGACGGAGAGGAAGACGGAGGTGAGGTTTACGGCGAAACCGGTGTGTGCGAACAGGGTATTAAACTATTCACAAGTTAGGGATTGGGCATCCTTACAAAGGAGGGAAGGGAGCGTACCATGATGCCAAGACTCTCACCACAGGAGACTATACAGAAACAGTTGAAGAAGCATACAAAAAACATTTGTGCCGTTCGCGGTAGTCCAACACCGATATCGTTAAGCACGGCAAATATCAATGAAGTTAGGATCTCGAAGGGAACTTCGAGGGTTAGATACTGTGCGAAGAAAGCCTCCACGCCATAGGTCCCGTCATCATTCTCTCGATAGAAGACATCCTTCTCATTCGGGTAGACAGCCACGTTCTGCAACATGCCTACGAAGTAAAAGGCACAGAATTCCTGTATATAACCCATGCGAGTTTGGACGGAATAATAATTGTTCTTTAGTGGGGCAAAGAAGAGTGTCAAGATGATAGACTAGTGATGGTGAAGTCAGTACGTTTTTGCTTAGGTTAGGAGAGAGTTTGAATAACGTACAAGTCCAATAACCTGCATAATCCGAGCCATTAGAAGCGGGGGCTGTCTCCGAAAATTAATAGAAGCGCGGTGGACCAAGATGGGATATGCGGAGAAGAATGACGATGACTTGCGGACCAGGGCTCCGAGTTCTGCAGGTGTGGAGATTGTGGTTGGATGGATGGCAGCAATAAAATCACCATCAGACCAGGAGGTGATGAGCTTCTTGACCTTTGATCGGGTTTCCTCTTCACGGGAGGACTGCTGTAGATCCACGGTTATCAGATCCAATGCAAAGTCTGCCGGATTCGTGGTGGTTGGGCAGGGAAAACCAAGGGTATGGAAATGGGGCAGCATGCCCGCAGCCTTGCCAGAGTACACAGGTGAGCCTCCTCGGGCAAGAAGAAGTACGGTTCCGAATTGTTGGAAGAGGTCGGAACGTGATTGGTGGATAGTGAGAATGAGGGTGCGGCCTTCATGAGCGAGACCTTGGAGAACTTCCATAATAGACGATGCTGTGAAAGCATCGAGACCAGACGTGGGCTCATCAAGGAGGAGAACACGTGGATCCGTCAGGATTTGTACCGCAATCGAAACCCGCCTCTTCTCTCCCCCTGAAATGCCCTTTATTAGGTCAGACCCGATCAGATTGTCAGCGCAATCCTTGAGGCCGAGCTTCAGAAGGACTTCTTCTGCTCGTTGTTTCTTTTGTGCGCTTGTCATGAATGGTGGAAGGCGAAGTTTGGCTGCAAACTGTAGCGTTTCACGGACGGTGAGAGATGGCAACAATGCATCGTCGTCTTGGCAGACATATGAGCATACCGACCGTATAACCGAATTGGAGGGCACCGAACCATTGAAAGTCATGTCGCCAAATGATTTGTAACGAGTCCCTGGGCTATTACGAAGACGGAGAGCCATTGCGTTGAGAAGAGAAGTCTTCCCACTGCCGGATGGTCCCATGATAACATTCAACACCCCGGCCTGGAATGTCGCCGTAACGGGGTGCAAGATCGTCTTCGTAGGTAGCTTTTGTCCATAGAACGTTCTCTTGTCCAAATCAAGTGCGAATTTGTTCAGTCCAATATCGACAGTTCTAACCTCTCCAGCAGGTCCGGCTGCCATCTTTTCCTTGCCCGCAGATAAATCAGTATCTTGGGCCCTAGCTCGGGCTATATCCATCTCAACTTTCTTGTACTTCAAGCCAATACCAGCCAGACTGTAGAACATGACGACGAACGAGACCAGAATTATGATCGGTCTAACTACCCAGTCATGAGGGAATCCCAATGATGCCATGATATAAGAGCCCGTGTATTGCGCACATGCAGGATTTGACTCCCCACCTTCCAGTGGACAATCGTAGAATTGCCCCACGAACTCATTAGCACACAGAGCTCCAAATGCATAATAAACATATGCTGTCCACTTCAACCACCTCATATACACAGGAATTGTGCTTGTTTGAATAAAAAATCCGCATGCCATGGACTGAACCGTATAACCCAGGTTAGCAATGAGGGATGCAGAAGCAAAGCTTCTGGCAGCAGCTATGCATGTCGTTGCATACGTAACTGCGATATACTGACATAATAGCACAACGGAAAAGAAAGTGAAGAAAGTTGAAGCGTCGGCTCTAAAGCCTGCCATCCAGTAAAAGATCAACGAGAAGATAAGAGGAACTGGCAAATCTTCCGTGAATAACCTGGCAATTCTCCTACTTAGCAGGAATGGAAGAACATCCACAACGTTTTCATTGTGTTCGCGATCAAAAAGTTCAATGTCAGTCGAGAGACGATAGGTTTCGAACATGAGTATAAGGTAGCCCTGCAACGCGGCTGCATTGTACAGGGCACCTTCACGACTGCGAATGCCAGACTGGTCCATGCCTAGGTTAAAGAAAACCCACCCAGACATTACCCCCATTCCTATCGCCTCGACAAGGGAGCCGGCCATGCCCAGAGGATCCCGATAAGTCGTTACAAATGTGCGAGAGGTCAGAACCATCGTCTGGCGGATAAACGGTGAGTGGAGATGAGATGCAGAGACTCGTTGCACTATTGTGGTCTGCTGGTGGGCTGGTAGATCCTTTTCATTATATAACTTGTAGCTCTCCTCCATCCAAGCAGACTTCAGACGCTCAACCCTTTCTGAGGAGGCCATTTCAAGTTCAGGTGACCGATTATCAATCGCTGCAATATCAATCAAGAATTCGGCTGGATTTACGAATGGCGGTAATTCCATCCCAATTCTGCTGAACCACGGGATACAATCACTTGCCTTGCCCGAGTAAACAGGACTTCCTCGGGTGAGGATCACGAGCCTATCAAACATGCCCCAAATTTCTGATCTAGGTTGATGAATGGTTGTGACGATAGTCCTCCCCTGCCGTGCCAGGCCTTTCAATGTCCGGATCAGCTGGAACGCGCTGGTAGCATCCAATCCAGTAGTTGGCTCGTCCAGGAACAAGACGCTTGGGTTGCTCAAGAGTTGGACACCGATACTCGTCCTTCTCTTTTCGCCACCAGAGCAACCCCTATGCTGATGATTTCCAATTCTTGTGTCCGCACATTCTTTCAACCCTAGTTCCAGTATGACTTCCTCCACAACTCTCCACCTCTCCTCTTTCGTGGTAGGCGGTGGGAGTCGTAGATCCGCAGAGTACCGTAATGTCTCCCGCACAGTGAGTGTTGGCAATAAAATATCTTGTTGCATCACATACGTGCTTCGTATGTTATTCACGCCTTCCATGCCATTGAACATCGTGTGCCCTCCAAAAGACATCCGCCCACTCGTCACACGTTCCGCCATTGTATTCAACATGGTTGTTTTGCCAGACCCACTGCCACCAATAATCGCCGTGAGGGTGCCAGCCGGCATCGATGCTGAAACCGAGTGGAGGATCTGTTTTGGTTCAGATTTGAGGTCGCCATTTCGATTTCGTTTCCGCTGAAGGAGACTGTCGAACGAAAGAACAGGAGGGGAGACGTCGACGCTGACCGAAAGATTTCGGACCTGCACATCTACCGGGTCAACTTCTGATAGAGAGATGCGGTTGCTTTGCGAAGGTGAAAGAGGGTCCGGGTTGTTGTGATGTCCGATTTCCTTCGGAGTCGTCGTTTCTGCGCTCTGAGATATCCACACTCCGCCATTGACTTTTTCCTTCTCCTGAAGACCAGCCTCTATATCCTTCTCCATTAGATGCTATATTTCAAGGAGCTCGCATATCCATGTCTAACGTGCCAGGCGTTCAGGTATCTGCGAATGTTTCGCGGCGCAGCTGGAGATGTTGTCTAGGTAAAATCATGAATCCCTTCCTGCGCCAGAAAAGAGGGGAGAGGGGGTTTCAACGACAGGAAAAGGCACAACGAAGAAAAGCGACAACTCGAGAGAAGCATAAAGAAGATACAAACCATGGCATTGGAAAGCGCAAAGCAAAGCTGGGTCTCCCTGTAATCACAACGCTACTCAGCCGTGTCATCATTCCGCCGAGTTTCTCAAGCGACGACGAGGGCTCTGATTAAACGACCCCGCGCTCGTATTCGTTCCGAGGGTAGGACGTTGGAGGGGACGAACACCATACCTAACTGAATTCTCCGGAGTCTGACAGTCCAGTGTTGTCTATCATCGACTGCTGAATCGTATTCACACACGGTAGCAAAAGGGCGAATTGAGCTCACCAGCTTCACCTTGTCCGCAGAAAAGAGCGGTTGGCGGGCCAGCGAGAACCCGAGAGAGGCCTGGACATGGGGGGTGTTATCTCATCATCCAACAGCGAATAGAAGACTCTGATCAGCTTCTATACCACAGTACGCGTCACAAGATGATGTTTCTGCTTCCATCATCGTGATGTACATGTTCAAGGCGCATATCTGGCAGTGTCAAGTGCCTGTAATGCAAGTCATTTTTCCGCTACGACAAAGAAGTGATATCTGACAATAATAACGCACAGAGCATGGCTTTTAGCTCTTCAACGGTCACGGTTTTCTCAGTGCGACCCTTGAAGTAAAACTGGAATGACGTTGGTAATTTCGATGTCAGCAGGGCTATCCCAACATCGAATGCTCCTTCAAGACTGCGATCCCAAAGGAGTTGTCGTCCCATCGCATGGGTAGGCGACTGTTTCGCGGTGAAACCCATCCTATTGCATACCCCATAACCTTACAAGAGCTTTTGTGTTTGAAAAACCTAAGTAAAGCAAGCTGATCTCTTACACAGCATAACGGGGATTAGGGGAAAGCGCAGGTCGTCCAGATCACCTGATTAACCCCCCTATCATTGAACATCGGAGTCTCGCTCCGCTCCAGCCCACCCTTCATCTTCCTCTCACCTATCTCTTCATACAGCGCTTTACAAAGGTATTAATTACAAAGGGGGACAAAGAAGAAACTCGAGAGAAAGGCGAAAAGAAGAGAGAAGAAAAGAAGGAAGGAAAATGCGTTTATCAATTCATCTCCAATAGCTTGGATCACCCTCCCAGCTCCTCCGCCGCGCGTGATTAGCCCAGAAACCACGGATGCATTTTCCCGTCCTAACAAGCACTCCAATCTTCAGTGCCACAAGATCAAAAATGCCGGCGAGGTCCGGACGCCACCTCCTCATCGAAGATCCGATCACCAGTCTTCAAGCCCAGAAGAGTCTCTGATTTTCTATCAGGGTGAGTGAGTCTGTGACGAGCAAAGTACACGTAGGTACCCGCAAGTCATGGACAGGTCGGCAGTTGCTAACAGCCCCTCGGACAACACCACAGTTCCAGTTATATTTTCCATGGCACCCCACGCCAGAGAAGCCCCAGCATTGACGGGTCCGGGTCGGGAATGGCCTAAAAGCTGCGCCGCTCCTCTTCCCTGGGAAACGGATGGGGTTGCCAGGAGGAGCAGCCGAGCAGGATGGATCCCAGCCACATGATGATGATATACGGAATCGCAATCAAACAAGCATCAATAGAGCCGTTATACCTGCATACGGGGTACATGACTACATCGTTACTAACGGGCACTAACCCCGATGCGTCGATGACCATTTTCCCAGGGGTCCCAAGAACGGCTCGACGAAGTTGTATTCCGGAGCCAGAAGCACGCGTATGATCCCATCATCATGCCTGCCGCCTGCGATACCACGAGCCCAGTTAATCGCAAGGCACTCTATATTACCGAACGGAAAGAATAGCTTCTCCCAGAACGAGAAATCCAGATATATATATCAAGGGTAGTAATAATACATAGATAAGTGATTATTCTTAGATTCCCACAACAACTTTCTTTTTATTTTTCTTTTCCCCATCAAAAATGTGGGCACAACGGCAACCTCCACTCACCCCTCCCTCCTCCTCGCTGCCTATCTTCCCCTTTTCAACAAATAATCCCCCTGCACCAAATCAAACCAAATGCAGCAAACCCCCCTAGATAGAACCCTGGTCCCTTAGCAAAAAAAACGGCCACCCACCGTCTCGGGACTACCCACATGTTCTACTGAAACGCCACCCCACTCGGGAGCGAAGGAGCTTTTTCCCCGGCGGGAGGGCCCGACAGGCGGGGGGGCCGTTTTTCTCTTGGCCGGCTTTTTTTTGTTTGTTTTACTTACTTTTTCTTTTTTCCCGCTTGGCGGTTGTACTAGAGGTGGGGAATCTGGGATGGATGCCGAAAGTTGAGAATAATAATGGGGGAGGAGTTATTGAAGTGGGGGAGAAGATGTTCTTTTATTTTTTTTTCTTCAAGAGATGGAGGGGAAGAGTTGTATGATATGTATTTCGGGGGTGGAGTTGTATAGCGATCGATCCTCTAGAGACCTTTGGTTCTGTCCTGAAGAAGAGAGCGCGGATTTGTAGAAGGGGATACTCTACATAGATAGGTAAGGTACCTAGGTACCTTAGGTAGATAGATAGCCTCGCGACTCAGAATCCTTCGCATCAATATAGCGGACAGACCGAGGGATCCACAAGACAATTCCAATCCCACAATGCGATCATTTATTTCCATCGCAACAAAAGTCTATCTATAGCATATGAAGTATGCTGCTGTTCAGACAGACTTTCATTAAAGCCCCGTCCTAATCCTCACCTCTCCCACATCTTTACAAACCCCCCCTCCCTACACTATAAACAGATATTCCCGTCCAAAAACAAACCCATAAGTACAAGTTATTGTCCGTTCGCGGACGCCTTCATCCATCCATCCAGGGCCAGTCGCTCCCTCCGTACTCCGTACACCCCTTCTTTTGCCCTCCCGCTCTTTAGAAAATAGATAAGTAAGAGTAGGGATAGAGGATATCCATCCCTTGATATAAAATAAAAATGTATATGCTGCGAAACAGAGATGGGAGAATGCGATCAGTGATTTCCAAGAGAGAAGAGGAGAGAAGACCGCTAATGCGGCGTAGAGCACGCTGGCATCACAATGTAATTTAACACAGATAGGTAGCCATCCAATCAATCAATCCTATGCGTTTTGACAACGGCAATCGGTAACTGAGATAGAGGCTTCGTAGCGAAGGGCGTCAGGAAGGTCCACGAAGTAGGGTATAAGTAGTAGCAGTAGTTTCTCTCGCGAGGTCGTCATATACATGCCAAAAGAAGAAGAAGGAGCCATCCCAACCGTAGCAAAATCGGTGAGATGTCGGGTATCAAACAGAAAAGAACAACGACGACGACGACAACGGGCGAGAAAAGAGGAGAAAGAGGGAGGCCGGGAGGGACGCTCATGTAGCCAGGAAATCCATCCCCATCCCATGCGCAATGGTCTGCCAGTCCCAGCTCCGCTCATCCTTGGCATCCATGAGCCGCCATACCTCCTCGAGGACCTCGAGGGCTGTGTCGGAATTGCGGTATTCCATGTACGCCTTGACGACGCCGATGGCCTTGCGGATGGGCTCGCGCTGTGCGGGCTCGAAGGCCGCGCAGCCTAGCACGAACGCCGGTGCCAAGATCAGCGTCTGGCTGGGATCACGCGGGTCAAAGGAAGAGAGGATCTTGATGCCGTCATTGACCGCCTCGGTGATCTTGGCGTTTGGCTCCCAGGACGAGCAGCGGGGCGGGTGGATGGTGCGCCAGAGATACACCCACATCATCTGCTTGTAGAGGAGGCCGGCACGGTCGCGCGAGTCGCCAGCTGGCCAAACGGGTTTCCATTCCCGGATTCCAGCATCAATCAGGGCGGCGGCGTAGAGGGCGTTGTAGCCTACAGGCGGATCGATACCGTTCTGGAGGTTCTCCCGCACCTCATTGCGGATGTTGGTTATCTTGGACATGTAGAGAAAGAGGCCGTCCGAAACGCCGAGGAGGCGGACCGCATCAGGCTGAACAATGGTCGTAGGCAGGTTCCAGTCATCGCACGTGGCACTCAGGCGTACGCGGTCTGCGGGTAGAGCAATGAGCTCGTCGGCGCAGATGTGGTATTGGAAGAACTCATGGATAAATTTCTGGAACTCGCCGTCCTCTGGCGGACACTCCTTGACTAGACTCTGGTATGCCTCCAGATGAACTCGGTGAAGACCTTTGGGATTTGGATCAGAGAGCGTTTCTAGGACGAGGCAGAGCATCTGGCCAAATGTAGCGGGGAGCGTCACGTTGGGCTTGTCTCCTTTCTTCTGGCGTTCGATATCTGCGTTCAATTCATTCAGCGCCTCATGCTGGTGGAATAGAGAACGCCTCTCGAGGGTCTCAATGTCCACTTCGGGATGGTCCTTTAGAAACTTTATACCGTATGAAGAGCGGTAATCGATGTGTTTGCTCGAGAGCGCGAGGATCGAATGCATCAGGCCTGGATGCTGGACCGCCATTGGCAGCAGCATACACTTGAAGGCATTGTTCTGTTCGCCTTCGACCGTGAAGATGGAACTCAGTCTGAAGATATAATGCTCGAAGAACATCATGTCGCCGGCTGTCTCGACACCATTGATCATGGCCGGTAATTTGATGTTAGGCAGGCTCACGCTGCGTAGACGGGCTGCAGAAGCCATCAGCTCATCCGAATTCTGCTCGCATTTCCATATCACTGTCTTACCTTCTTCAGCCCTCTCCTTCCCACTCTTCCAGATCGTCTTTTCACGGTAGCCTTCGCAATCAATGGCGTTCTTCTCACAGTTCATACCTGCGACGCATCAGTTCGAATTCATTGGGATCAAAAGAACGCATAAGTCTTAACTCACAGCCAGGTTTCCTCTCATCACATTTCTTTTTTCGTTTCCTGCAGGTAATGCATCCAGTTTTTGATCGTCCCTTCCCAACTTTCGCCATTGACTCTGGGGAGAGTTTGGGATACTTCCGTGGCCGGCCTCGTGGGCGCTTTGCGACGAGTGGTGTTTGATTGATAGTAGATGGTGCTTCCCTTACTGGCCCCTCTCTTATCCGTATATCTGGCATCTTCACATCGTCATCGGGCTCCAGCTTCATCGTGGGCATATGTCCATCGAGATCCCCGCTATCGAGCTCCTGGTCCTCTACAAAGCCCGACGAACTCCATGGATCTGTGCATGAGGACGCCGCCGAGGTGATGGTCGTCATTGCAGAGGATATCGATGCGTCCGAGCCCTCCACACTGCGCCTTATATCCAGCATGGAGAAGGCCATTGCCTCCTGACCTTGTGAATCCGTCATTCGATAATCTCCTGGTCCTTTGCGCAGCCGGATTCGAGGCGGTCGTATTAGTCGCGGCAGATCGCCGAATCGCTCAATCCCGCTCCGTCGCACTGGTGGCAGTTGTCGAACAATCTCTTCAACGTCTTCTTCAGAAGGAGTTGTGATCTCAGGCGATTCCGGATCGCCCTGCACGTTTTTCTTGTCCATGGCAGACGAGGGTCTGATCCACCACAGATCCACAGCCCGCAATCAACTGACCAGCAACTGGGGCAAGATGGAGAAGAAACAAGGGGGGTGAGCAAAGGAGCCGTAAAAAAAGGTTCAAGAACCTCGAGAATAGTACAATGTTATATCAAGATACTTCCAGCAACGTTGTCTGGCCAGTGGTGACCTCTTCGCCGGGACGTTTTGTTCGCCCCAGGGTAGAATGAACCCTTGCATGGATTGCGGTGTTACTTTTCCTAGGGACAGGGTCGCCAATGTACCCGCGGGAATACCTCCTTTTACGGGGTAGCTCCAGATATACCCTTGACGATATTGGAAACCTATCCACTCTTACGTGAGGCGGTACTCTGTAAGGACTCGAGTCTCGGTACCGTGTCCCAGACTGCAGCGATGGGCGGGTTACGGAGAGTGACTTCACCTCCTTCGCACATGTACAGTACCTCTGTAATACATGTATGGGATCAAGGGATCTTCAGCCAAGCTTGGGGTGCTAGAAGAGCCAGGGTTAGTGCTCGACACAGGATATGTACGGTGTATTCCGTACGTTCGAACTACAGTCCTTGGTACGTACTGTGCCATCGACGGTGGACCTATAGGGCAATTTCTTGACCAAAAGATATGCTGGAACGTCTGGAAAGGAAAGTCTGGAGTCTGGAGAGACTGGAGGCACTCTCCGACTCCTCCCCGGGCCAGCCACAACTGTTCCTCTCTCTCAGTTAATTTTGATAGACCGTATCAATACGACGGAAGTGCCGGCGACGGCAAGTATCTGCAGCGGAGAGGCTCGTAAACCGAGGGGCCATAGCTATTAACAGCTTCGTATCAACCCCGGGTTACACGATGATCCTCCATTGTAACTCTGTAAGTATACTTGAAAGTTGAAGGCCTTCAACATCAGTAATCCGTGTTGGCGATAAACCCCCCTCTTCCCCCCAAAAGTACGGAGTAGACACTAGCACTGCGGAACAAGAGCGCACTACACCGTCCGTGGGCCCTGGGTACATCAAGCCCAGACCCGCTGTAAAGACCGTGCGTCCGCTAAAGATTCCCAGATTCCCAGAGGTGCGAAGCCTCGAAGGGACCTCCAAGGGCAGACCTAGTCCAAGAAGGAGCTGAAGTCTGGTGGCAGATGCAGGCTGGATTGTGGATGGATAGAGGGGCCCGCCAGAGCATGGATGCCATCCATCGCGTTATCTACTACGCACAGTAGTCATATGTCAAATTGCCTGCACCTACTCCGTAAGTAGCGGGTAGCCTAAGTAACATTGTTCTGGCTCTGAGTCTGGGGTAAAATCATAATGGTCCCCTCCCCGTTCGTACCGAGAGGATATCAAGCTCGGTGCTTGTACATCGTGGCATGGTAGGAACGCTGCAGAAAGCACCCCGCGCCCAAGGGGTATATGGCCTCGGATAGCCTGCCGTCTCATGGGGCGTGCCTCCTCTGGACTGTCATGAGCACCCAGTCTGGGTCCGCACGGCAGATGGGTCGAAGAATGGCTTGATGGCGCGCAAGACGACGCGGCCAGCGCCGATCATCTGAAGCTGGGGTTCGGCTCAGTTGGAAGTTGGCTCAGGGTTCAGGGTCGAGATTCCAAGGGGCCCTTCGATTTCCAATCCCCATCCTGAAGGCTGAAGCACAGAGGGAGGGCTGGTGATACGGTATGATACGGTACTACCGATCGTCGGATATAGAGATCCTTCCTCGAGATACTCCGTGCTTCACGCAATACGTCCACAAGATAACGCCGTTCAGCCCGGCTGGTCTAGAAACAGTATCCTCCGTACGGTGATGGTACGATTATCGCAGTAGTTGAGAAGTGCCTGTCAAGTTTGTCAAGTCTGTCACACCGTCCCAGGCACGTTCACGGTTCAGGCTTCAGCCCTTTTCCTATCTCCATGGCAGGGACATGTACACGGAGTCGGGGTTCTAGGGGCCCGGTCCCGTCCAGTTCATGGAGATCCGAGATGATGCATCCCTTCGGGGGCCGTTATCCACAGAAAGGTACCGGATGGACCGGTATCCCCGAGTGCAATGATTCTGTGCGGAGCTCGTGAAGTTCCTCTCGAATGGGTTGAGGTCAGGCTGAGATCGCGAGGCTGCTACAGGTAGAACAACATCATCGATCGACATCTCGGAGTCCATCCTCACTTGTATTCCGGTGAGACTCGAGGTTGTCGAATCCCAACCTCTACACCCCATTGTACCTGTTTACATATCAGAATCCAGAGCCACACGGGGATAATCCCCGCCGAGGGTGAATCCATCCGAGTCCAGGTCTTATCCCCCACGAGCCTCGTTTCACGAGTCAAACCCCTCTCGCTGGGTATCTTCTAGTCAACAGACCCAATATATGTATCGTATCCTACATGCAACGATCAGCCGTTTGGTACCGTAGTATAAAATAGCAAAGCAAAGCCCAAGAAGCTGGAGTTATAACAGCACACCTTCGTCATTCTTGACGCGTCCGAGGACATCGAGTGGCTCTGAGTTAGTAGTATACGAGCAATCTGCCTTTCAAGCGCCCCCCGTGCATAGGGGATCACGATGTGGCGGCGGGAGGAGCGCATTCTTCGAATCGGCGATGCTCCCACTGCTGCGGACGCGGTATTAGTCTGTTAGACATTGCATATGTAGGTAGCTAGTTACGCAGTCTAGATTCGCTCAGGCCGTGGTATGATGGGCGGATTGGATGGATATACAGTGGCCGCATTGTCGGGTGCAGAAAGAACAAAACAGAAGTCCCTCACATAGGGCGGTAGAATTTAGGTTTTCGGGGTCGCCTTAACCTACCTACTTTACCTTACCTTATCACAAATCCATCTTTTCACAAATCCATCTTTTAACTTTAAACTCTTTCGAGATAACAGTACACAGCAAAACTAGATTCTTGAACCTGAAAGCGCTGAAGTTCCAAGAAAACAAAACATGCCGTTTGAGTAAGCCCATGTTTGAGTGAAAGTAGTAGCGCCGCGTTCACAACTACACAGAATGCTCGAGACAGAGAATAAGTTTGCAAAGTATCTTTGGTCGTGAACTATTGTACGAGTGTACGAATCTGAGATCCCCTTGCGCGGAGACAAGAGGATGTCGATGCCCCCATCTATGCACCAGCCGTCCCGGGGACTACCTGACCAACTCTACTTTTCCGAGGTAAGATCCCTATTCCGCCCCAAAATGATATCTGTCACCTTGTATCCATTGGCCTCTCATCCTTGGCTTCAGTGGAAGACTTTCTTTTTTAGTAGCCGCGGACTCGTGTCTCGAGGCCGGGGAGAAGAACACGAAATCTGTTCTCTCATCCCCTATTTGTTCCATATCTTTCTCTCGATCCAATCGTCGGGTGGTTAGCAGGTGAGCTAGTTCCATTCCTCAGATAGTGGTTCCATGAGTGTCGAGATTTCTTCATCAGGTGACACTCTCCCTCACACCCCTGGCCCTCAACGCATCAATCTCTTTCTGCAGCTTGCTCAAGTCCGCTAGAATATCTGGCCTATCACCCAATCCCTCCTGCTGGATAGAACTCGCCTCACTCCCCCTCCTCAAACCATCTCCGCTCCTACTGTAGTCCCCGCTTGTCCTCTGGGAAGCCCCACCCTCCATACTACTCCTCCCATGTCTATGTGGAGGAGGGGGTGGTGGGATCGTGGAAGCTCGTTTATTCAAGTCAATATCCATAACCACACTTGGAGGTCTCTCTCGGGCTGAAACGCTTCTCGTGGGTCCTCTTGCCGCTGGTAGTGTAGGCGGCTGTGATGCCACCGGAGAACTCGGCAGGGAGCTTTGACGTGATGAGTTGCGAAGTGAGCCAGGACGGCGGGAAGGCGGCGGAGGAGGCACACGCCCGCTGTCGGAGCGTGGTCTCCCTCCGTTGCTGATAGGTTCAATGCTTGTTATACTTGCAGGCCTCTGCTTCGGGGGCTCTTCTTCAACTTTCGGCGATAACCTTCCCACATCTCCTCTCGTGATCTTTGAATCGGATACACGCTGGGAATGCCGCCGGGTGAGCGGTGGGGTAGGCGGGGTTTTCCGCCGCATAGAACCGCCAGGGGAAGGGGGCTCAGGGGCTTTGCCCGCGGCCTCGCGATCGTATACAGATTCTATGTCAAACTCATGGAAGGCGCGGTCTGGCGCCGGAGGGAGAGGTTTGTTAAGATCTGTCGGTGATCTCTTCATGGATGGTTGCGAGGAGCCAAAGTAATCCTGGTAATTAGCCGATCCCAGCGTTGATGGTTGTTGTGTCGCTAGTGCGTTTGTATTTATATGAGAATCATCTCGTAGCTCAACTTTGATGAGCTTTCCATGCCGGGAACTTGGAGGGGGCGGTTTCATTCTACCCGTTGTCGAGGATGTGGTGTTTATCCCTCGTAAGTTGTCTTCCAGGTCTGATATCTCGTGTGATGTGCGAGGTGACTCGGGGAGCGCTCCTTGTATTGGCTCAAACATTGAGTGCCGTGATATGGATGATGCGTCTGTGCTGCTACCTCCGTCCCCTAGTCTGTTATGTAGATGCGCTGGTGGTGTACCTAGTGTAGATACTCCCAGCCCTGCATTCCCCGTCAAGAGCAGCCTCTTGAAAGCCTCCACGTCTAAGGATGCCCTCCCCTGGTTTATATGTTTGGGGGGCCCGGTTCCCTCCCGTACCGACTGCTCCATCGTCTCCAATGTCTTCTGAAATGGGTTCGGCGGGGCCTGAGACGGTTTTCCAAGTCGGTCTCCTTCAGATGTGTCCGAAGGAGCCCTGCTAAAAGGATTGTCATCTCGTGGAATGAGTTTCGAAGGTTCGCTGTATGCCGGAACATCGTCAAGTATCGTCGAGGAAACAGGTAGGGAAGGAGATGGCGGAGGAGGGGACTGTACTCGTACTTTCTTTTGCGTCTTCTTTGATTGTGGATTGCTTTGGAAGCTTGTTGTTGGATCAGCCTGCGAGTACGTGAAGTGAGTAATGGTAGAGGGTATTTCTGGTGGAACGGCAGAGGCTGTTGATGTAGGCGCTGTTGCCTTTCTGCGGAAAGGGTTTGATGAGGAGTATTCGTGAGACATGTTGCCGGACTACAGACAGCCAGTGTCCCAATGGTAATCATACGGTCATAGAAGAGCCATTGAAAGACATATCTTCCCACGTTTGCTGGGAGTTGCCCTGGTACAAGAGGTCCGTACTGAGGTCAGTACTGAGGTCAGAACTGTCGATCGGGATCCTCGGTGGTTGCTTCTCTCTTATCGTTGGTTGGTCCGTGCATCGGCTTACTTGTGAGGTGGGGGAAGAGGCGGGGAGGAGATCTTTCGTTTGGATTTATTAAGTCATTGGACAACAACCTCTGTTATACCGATGCACAAAATCAGTGCTAGCATAGAACAGCTTGCTTTCAATTTCCTTCAGATGAACCCCATCGACTTTGGTTATAACTTCTTATTCTATTCGCTATTCTGATCATCGCTTCCGATATGGGTATCATAAAGTCATCCAGAAGCGCCATTTCAATTTCCATTTCCCAGACTTCTGTTGAAAGTTCAAACCATTGCCCGCGCCTTGTATGCATGTGAAATCCACCCCCATGGGCAAACTACCTCAGATCGTAGACCATTCCATATACACAGTCCCGCTCAACGCCTAATTTCGTCCGAGTTAACAAGAAAAGGAGCATCGCCGAAGGCACCACGACAGTATTCGGTTGCAAATGCCACTCCATTCTCAAAGGGCCAGGAGAAGGCAATCTGGTTCTTAGCCAGCGGCATGCCGCGGATGAAGTTCTCGCGAACAAGATCGACCATCTTCGTGGCGTAACCCATCCGTCGATGGCCTTCACGGACCCAGATGCGCTCGATGGAGACCCAGACTTGATACTTGGTATCAAAGCTCATACCAACCAGAGACTTCACATAGCCACCCTCTCCGTAGACCTGGCCTACACCATTATGAGTTGATTTGCTGGCGTAATAAGCGCGACCCTCTCGAATGCGTTCAGCGAGGACAACCGACACAACCTCGTCATCGATATAGTGAATGAAGACTCGAAATCGGGGGACTCGTGCAGTGGTTGAATGAACAGAGTGAGGATCGGGGATCTCGCTCCAAAGCTCCATCTTATCAACGAGGATTGGACCAAGATTCTGAGTAGTGGCACCCAGAGCCGCCTGAGCATGACTACGAACTGCAATAAATTGCTTGCGGTCAACAACAACGATACGGTGCTTCTTATCATCAATGGTCCACTCCGCTAGAATATCCGTCGAGATCTCTTTCTTCGTAACTTTTGCATGGAGACGCTTCTTATGCTGAATCTCATGCCATTCCTTGCTTTTTTTGCTGGTCGGATCGTAATATTTGTCGCATTCCTTGCATTGGATCCACTCATCACGTTCATGGGTGTCGAAATGCAGCTGTCTAAACGCGTGTTTCTTGCGAGGGGGGATTGGGACTGGCTGGCTTGGGAGGCTCGGGACAGCAATTGAAACAGCGACAGACGTATCGCGAGACATGTTATTCTCGATATTGGGGGCAATCGAACAATCCGAGGTCGTTCGGCTTCGAGCATTGAGACTGGCTCCAGCCTGGCTGGTGACATCCTTCAGGTCTGCTGGGCGAGCATCAATGAAGGACGAGTCCAATGCCAGTTCAGCAAGCTCGATTCCATTTGAATCGGAGGCACCTGTAGCCAGATCCGTCAATCTTGTCCTATTCTCACCCTCATCTGTACCAGGTTGGTTATTGGAAGACATGGTGATTGTTGGGAGAGATGCTTTCGTAGTAAGTCGTCTTTTTTGTGACTTTCGTGGGTATGTTATGGGGCTCTCAACCCTTGAGGGTGGTGACGAGGGAGGTGTGGAATTAGGTTCGAGGGGGTCGGAGGACGTGTGGCTAGATCGAGTTGTCGGACTCGAAGATCGAGGCAATGGCTTGAAATAGCTCGTGATAGATCCCTTTAACTTCTTCGTGGGCAGCAATTCATCTCGTGGGAGAGTTTGGGAATCGTATTGTCTTTTCTTAGAAGGTGATAAAACAAACACAAGTGTTTGTGATTTATCTCGCCCTATCCCGGAAGGCGGTAAGTCCGAAGCCTCCTCTAGACGTGCTGAATCGTCTCTGGTTTTCCAGCAAGGTGGTGAATGAGCCCCTGAGTATTTTGATTCTTGTCGTCCCTCGGAGGGGGATGCCAAATCTCCTGGGCTCTGTAGTTCAGATGATCTCTTGGGAGAGGGCGAAGAATATGCAGATTGTGATGTCTGTTGTCTTTCCTCTGTTGTCTCCGAGTCAATTTGCTTGTGATGAGGGGAAGGCTTTTGTAGATCTGGTATTGTCAGTGATGTCAGTGATGTCGTTGATTCTGTCGTCTGATGTCCCAACATGCTCACCTGCAGTCCGAAGTAATTCCGCTTTGTCATGTGTCTTCTTCACTGACTTATCTATCCCATGAGATGTAATCTTAGGGTTATTGGCACGTTTAGAATAAGTCTTGAGAGAAGCACTATAGTTGTGGTTAGATTCGCGTGAGATGACAGACTGTGAATGAACAAGACGCTGAAGAGGAGTACTTACTGACGCTTCTCCGAAAGGACGGCCATCTTGGCAGTCGGCACTAACGGCCCTGCAGAAGGTTCCGGACCTGTTCGTCGTAAACCCACTGTTGATGCTTTTCGTGTCCGCGAAAAAGTATATACTGGGAAATCTGAGGTGGTTTGCCTAGAATGAGCGCGAGGGGGTTTACGCGACGCGACGACGCTAATGCTTTAGTCGCGCATACACGTGATTTTCAGGTCCCAACGACATCTGACATCATCAATTCCGATTTGGCAAGGAGCCATGTGACCTCCCGCCGGGGGGGGGGGGGGGGGGGGCGGTTGGGAGGTATTTATCGCTGACACCATAGGTTGCCATAGACTTAGACATGGACAAACTATCTTCTAAAAATGGCATTGCTATTAATGTCTTTGATGGTCTTGCAGAAATCACGAAATCCTTCCATATTTGTGTACTCATGGTGGACAAAGGGGCTCCGTTATTAACAGTGATGTCCAAACCACATGCTGATATTGAACCTTCTAGGTGCATTTCAGGAGGAACTTAGAAGGATCATGGATTCAGGTCTAGATGTACGCAGAGTGCATGTAAGGACAGCAAGATAGCATGCCTAACAGTAATAATATCGGCTCGAGGTCACAATCAAGGGATTGGAAGTAAAAAGTGAAAATGGCGCAAGCTTATATGGTAGCAATAGTCTGCCATTGGGAGTCCTGATTGAGAGAACTCGGAGAAAGAGGTTTGAAAGTAAGGATTCTAACTTTGTTGCAGTGAATTAGCGGGGCAGAAAACAGGTGAGAATGGGTTCGTGGAATGACAATCAGTAAACTCAGTAGCTGTGGACCACCTAACACTCAAGACATTGACCCCGGAAACGATGCAAGAAATATACGAAATATAGAGGAGTCTTTTTTGTGTTTATTGATAGATTGCATATCTCACTTCTATTACTCATTTCCGGGCTCCTGAGAACAATACAAAGCTGAGTGCTCGTTATACAGTACAGTCCAATCCATATTGAATCCCATCGTTTATACAGACCACATAAGAGAAGATGGTACAGGCGGAGGTAGTCTCAGACCTACTTCCTCCGCTTCAAAGTCTTGATGGCCATCTCTACCAGACCATCTTTCGCCTCACTTTCTGGGAAGGGTTCAATAGCCGTAATCGCTCTATTGATATATTCTTCCGCCAGAGCACGGGTTTGCTCTAAACCATCGCTCTGAAGCACTAATTCTCGAGCCTGTTCATTGTTAGTTTAATCGTCTTAGCGTGGGAAAGAATACATACCCGGGCAACATCACCATCTCCGGCAAACTTCCTCCCTACCAAAGCTCCCAGCTCCTGATTATTCTTCCATGCGAATAGCAGAGGCGCAGTGGCAAGGCCCAACTCCAGATCCGCACCAGCCGGCTTTCCTAGCTCCGCCTCACTGATCGTATAGTCCAACATATCATCCACCAACTGAAACGCCAATCCCAGGTTCTTGCCATATACGTAGGCCGCCTCCACGGTCCCTGTTTCCGCACCCCCAAGCAACGCTGCAGCACGGCAAGATTTGGAGATCAGACTTGCAGACTTCAGATACGTCTTTTGCAAGTAATACGAAAGTGTATCCTCCGTCCAAACAGGGTTCTTTTCATCCTTTGCAGTGTTCTTCAATTGCATAAACTCACCCTCCACCAAGTTGGCAATCACGGTCGCGAGCAGCTCGGTCACCTCTGCATCGCGGAGACGGGCGAGAGCTACAGAGGCGCGGGAAAGGAGGAAGTCTCCTGCCAAGACAGCCATCTTGTTCCCAAATTCGAGGTTCGCGCTGGGTGAGCCGCGCCGGGACACGGAGTGGTCGATCACATCGTCGTGCAGGAGTGAGGCAGTATGAATTAGCTCGGTGATCTCGGCAAGTCGGCGCTGGGATGGGAGTATATCACTGTCTGTGGGAGAGTAGGTGGATTCGGTGGGAGAAAGAGGGTTCGAGCTTGGGGAGGAAGGATTGGAATCTGAGAGTATTGACGTTGGTGAGATAGGACTGTCGATATCGGCTGCGACTTTTTGGCCATTGTATCTCGGAGATTTGGGTGCCAGGGCCGTGGCTCGAGACATCAAAAGCACAATGAGAGGCCGAACGTGTTTCCCCTCCGCCTGCGTGTAGTATTTTGCAACGGTGTCGAGGGAAGGATGGCCCGATCCTAGAAGCTGCCGTATGTTGCCGGTCAAGAACTTCATCTCCTTAGCTACCATCCGCAACGGATCCACGCTGACGTTGTCACCGCCTGAGACTCGAGCCGTCGCATTGGAAAAAACATTGGAAGCAACGGAGACTGCCTGTGCCCATGTTGACTGCCCCCTCGCCAAATAACGATTTATATGAGTTGGTGAACGTTGTAATAATGATCGCGAAGCCAATTGGCAATTAGGACACGTCAATTGGCGCTTTGTTGTTGAGGTCCAGGAGCTGTTCAAGAGCAATGAAGCTCTCGACGATCGGACTCTCATAGCCTCTGTGCTCCTCCTCTTTATAATGAAAATCCCTTCCCGCGATATGTACTTCTCGACATCTAAGTCTCCAGAAAACTCCTGCGACAAGGAAGAAACGCCGTCTGTTTTGATTTATAAGGAAAAAAGTATCCGGTCTCACACGTCAGCAGCGAAGTCAACAAGAAGCACGCCGTAGATTTCCGAAATAAATTTTTCGGCTACTCTAGACCGTTGTCGGAACATCTATATCTCCGAAGTGCAACTCCACGCGGCAAGCTCTCGCATGCGTGCGGCGTACCTGAGATCACTGAACGACTTACGACAATGAGATAAATATACTCAAGATGGTGCTCCTTACCATGACGCCGATGATATTGGAGGCTTTGCAGGAGCTCCAGAGCCTTGATCGAGCGGTAGATGAGAAGCCGTCCCTTCGAAACGAGGAGGTTGGCGAGAGACAAAGCTCAGAGAACCGGGGAGACGAGAATGAATCGCAGATCCGGGGTAAAGAGGAGGTGAAAAGTGGTCAGAGAAATGATGCAGAAAATGGAATGGGAAATTCCCTAGCTTCTCACAAAGAAGGGGAATCTATGGTGAACTCTAAGGAACCGTCACTCCTGAATCCGAAGCTGGGGAACCCAATATCCCACGGGCAAATCATTGACTTATGGAAGGAGTTGAAAACTCGCAGTTCTTCCCCAATGACCTTGGATATATTGCTTCGAGGAGCCAGAGTCTATATTCCTCCTCCAAAACCAAAGCCAGAACCAGTAAGTTCTCGTCTATGTCAGCATCTCTGCGTTGAGGAGCATCCAAGGACCGTGCAACGAACATGGAGAATGGGTTTGGATATCCAGCTAACATCGTCATAAGACGCCGGAATACAAAGCCTTAATGGCTCGCCTTCGCCGCGAAGAAGAAGCCCGCTCCTACAAGCGAATGACCGAACCTGCTCCCCCAATGGAGACCTTTGCGGAACGCTTCCCCTTGTCCTCCTCCGCACGCGCATTCGCCTCTACCAAGCAACCAATCAATGACTCAGATGCTGACGATGGCGATATCACGTATGCCGACGTAGATCGGCAACTGGCCCTCATCTTCAACGTCTTGTTAAGTATAGTGGCTTGTGCAGCGGCGATATGGGTGGCAGCCAGATGGTGGAGCACACCGGCGAGATTAGCAGTTAGTTTTGCGGGCAGCTTACTGGTGGGCGTCGCGGAGGTCGTGGTCTATGGCGGATATATTCGACGGCTGAGCGAGGCCAGGGGGAAAGAAAGGGCGCTCAAAGAGGTTAAGGAGGTAGTAAGGACTTGGGTTGTTGGTGCGGAAGGGGAGGGAGGTCACATAAAGGGTGGCGAGGAGTCTGTACTCATTGAAAAGGAGGATCCGGACAACGTCAAGGCACGAAGACGGAAGAAAGACGTCAAATCAGACGCCTAATGAACACTTTACTTCTATATTTTTCTGATCCACTAGACATCAGTGTGTCTGCTAGCTTTTCCGCTCTTGCTTCGAATTCTCTTTCCAAAGAGTTTGCATCATATTCTCTTCGTCTTTTCTTTTATTTCTATCAGCTTGGGGGCTATTTCTGAAACCCGGCGTCTTCTGTGGGGAAAGAAAAGGGAAGAGAAAGGTGGGTCTATAGAACGTTACAGGATCCCTACAGCCTGCGAATTGAAATCTAGAATCTTGGAGTGGTCCTTCACTGGTTGTTTTAGATAACCCTAGGCGTATGGAAAGGGAACATTGGACAATGGGGCATTGAAAGTTAGGACTGGTCCAAAGATTGGCAAATTATTTTCCAAATTTCAGACTATTTTTTTTTTTTCTTTTTAATAGTTTCTCGCCATTCATCGCATCTCCGTCACTATGTTATGCTGCGGCTGCCACTGGGCCATTGGGATGGATCAAAACTTTAGTATATCCATCTGCTCTCTGATCGAATTTCGAATAAGCTGTAGGAACGTCATTGAGTCCAATCTCGTGCGAGACGATGAAGGAGGGTTTGGCGCGTCCGTTCATGATCATGTCGCGAAGGTAGCGGTTGTATGCTTTTATGTTGGCTTGGCCAGTTCCGACGTGGAGCCCCTATTTCATTCAATTAGCATCTCTTTCTCCTCAGTCCGTCTGGGAAACACCAACCTTCTCCCATAACTTTCCAAAGCTGATCAATAGCTTGCCCTGAGCCGCATTTGCATCCGGCGCTCCAGGATCACTAGGTACGTACAGACCAGGAAGACCGATACCACCCGTCGGTCTCGTGACTCTAATGCAATGCTCCAGCATCATGTTCGGGGCTTCCTTTCCATCCAGACCCTTGGCTTGATAGCCAACCGCATCAACGCTTCTATCCACCATCCCTCCATTCTCCTTAATGATCGCCTGGACCGGGTCCCCCTTGCTGAAGTCCACCGCAGTGCAACCAATCTTTTTGGCGGCCGCAAGGCGTTCCGGTACCCGATCAACAACAAAGACTCGAGATGCGCCACGCAAAACGGCTGAATATGCAGCCATGAGGCCGACAGGCCCGCTTCCAAACACAGCAACCGACTCTCCAGGCTTGAAACCGGAGAGTTCAAGACCATGCCATCCTGTTGGGAAGACGTCTGCTAAGAGGACGAAGTCGGCCTCGTGGGCGGTCCCAGCAGGGAGTAAGAGGCAGTTGGAGTCTGCCCAGGGGACGCGGAGGTACTGGGCTTGGCCTCCTGCGTATGGACCCAGTCCAACGAATCCGTAAGCGCCTCCTGCGAAGTCACTAGGCAGGAGATGTCAGTCGGTTCTCACAGTTGTTTCCGTCGATGGAACTTTTCTGGAGAGTAATAGGGAATGAAGAGAGACTTACCCATTCACGCCCGTGCAGAAGGCAGTTTTACCCTCTTCGCAATTCTTGCAGTGGCCGTCACATACATTGAATGGCAGGACTACCCGATCCCCTTTCCTCACTCTGGAGACACCGGGACCGGTTTCGACTATGATTCCCATATTCTCATGGCCTCCATTTCAACCATCAGCATGGTTCCATGCATTTGATGGAATGGATTCGCGTACCAAATGCCGTGCCCTTCTCAGCAGCGGTGCGGCCTTCATACATATGAAGGTCAGACCCGCAGATGGCTGCCGTGGTAATCTTTACGATGCAGTCATTAGGATGCTGAATTTTGGGCATCGGCCTCTCCTCAATTGCGACCTTGAAAGGCTCTATCGAAGCACTGTTAGCACCAACTCGCTCGGATATATCTTATCATATTGAGAGACACCCGATACCTTCATAGACGGTTGCCGTCATTGTCTGAGTTCCAGACATCTTGGATAACTTTTGTGGATTTTTCTTTTTTTCCCTTGTTGATTTGTAATTGAAGTTGGGTTTGGGAACAAGAAATCTCGTTTCCTGCTTTCAATGACATTTTAAAATACCATCTGCTTCACACATTCTACATGAGCTCAGCGGCGTGGGCAAGCACAGAATCACCCCAATAATGTGGGGTTAGCTTCCGGGACTAGGTACCCGTCAGGCCTATCAGGTGGAGAAGTGAACATATGTATCACGTGATGCCCATCTACCATGGATATGAATTATCTAAACCAATCGAGTCTGACGTGGAGGTGGCCTCATCATGTGTCGATAAACTTACTCCCAGATAGGATCTGTGTATATCTGAGATTTCGGCTGTCAGTTCATTCTCATACATGAAACTCCGAAGGGACCGGTGTGGTTGCGATTTCGCCACTACGTGGGGTTTTGTTTGATTTTGACTCCTGTCTTTTCCCTAAACCCTAATATTGATGTCTCCTTATCTCCACAAAGCTTTTGTCATCTCGACCCCAGTTTAATACGTTAACTCTTGCTACTATGCTCCAGGGAAGTTTTGACCGCGGAAGTCGCCATGTGCCACACTCGGGAGAGACTTCTACCTTTTAAGGGCTCAAACTACCTCTCTTGGCCTTTCAAGTGAAATGTCGTATGTGCTCGATATTCCGCTTTTGAATGTACCTTTTTCCCTATCCTGGTCCCTGATGTCTGCCAGATGAACTAGTGGCTCTTGGACCAAACCCAGTCCTTTGAAGGTGTGGGCATAAAGTATTACTAGAGCCAGCCGCGGCAAGCAGCCCATAGTGGGAAGGTGACCGTGTTAAGTTTGGGATTATTTGCACATGAACTGATCCAATTCAAGACACTGGGATCATGTCATAGATCTATCTTACGCCTTGAAACAAGCATGGTTGTTTCTCTCTAATACATTTTCTTTAGTGAGCTACCAAGCATCTATCCAGATCTCTTTGTTGCTTCTTCTTTTGCGAAACTCGTTGATTCACATCTAGTTTGTTGCTTGCTACCTTATCTGATGAAGATCCCGGACTAGCGGGCTGGGGAAAATTGTACATCAACTCATATTATACAGAATCACAATATAACTCGAATTATGAATACTACAGTACCTACTTAAATAGTGAAAGTTTCAAGGGCTCCCAGTGCATATTCACGCTGCGAGGCATCCAGAAAGGGCTTAGCGCGTTATAAACGAAGTCACATGATCTGCTCTCCTATTTCCGCCGGCCAATTATCGTATCAAGACATGTTGACTATATTTACCGTCCTCTTACTACTGAGATTGGAGTTATTAAATGGGTTTGTTGTTGGACAGTTCTTTGCGTGGATATTATTCTTCATTATTCGTAGCATGGCTCCGGAGGTAGTCTCAAGGCCGTCGTACGAGCTTGGCGAATAGGTAGGTAGCATCGTGGCAAGATCCGCCGAGTACTGTTTTGTTGGATACCTGTTCATGAAATTTCCAAAGTCAACTATTATCTTAGGGGATAAGAGCGTTAGGAGCATAATTGAAAATCCGCAATAAATGAATAATCCTGCAATCGCAAATGGTATTCGTATCGACTCGCGCCACGTAATATGATCATTCATTTCGTCCAACGTGAAAAACCGCTCCTCACTCCATCCTTCACCGTACGTCCTCGGAATCTTCAAGTCTCCCGTCAAAAGTCGGAATTAGTATTTGCGGACGCGCTCTGTAAAACCGTATCGGGAGCTGCATGCTGGCAGCTTTAGCACGTAGCTCAGCACGCTGGACTCCGGGAAATATAGCTGTTTCCTGTACCCTTCGCGTTCGTCAGAGTACTCAATGTGCATCTGGCAATTTGCAACCTTGACTAGGTAGACTTGGAAGGTCTTATGGCGTCTTTGCTTGTATCTCATTATTGGACTTTGCCACGTGACGTCAGGAAGTTGCATTGCGCCGAGGCCCAGCGCTGATTTGTTAGGGGACAGGCTCGCGCAGTGGACTTGGACAGGCAATGCCAGGTTCCCAGAATACTCTTTCGTCGCATGCCGCTTCCCAGAGGTTCGGGATATAAGGAAGGGTCAGAACTATCCTGAGGGGAGATGGAGATTTGGTCGTGGTCGGTGGTTGCGGGTTGCGGGTTGACGGTGACGAGATGGATGAGTAGATAGCTATCATGAGAAGCCTGGGGGACTGGATATATTGAGAATCAATAGCTGAAGCTCAATTCGAAATAGATAGTTGATCTCTGCTGCATGGGATTAGCATGTAGTCGGGTGATTTGTGATCGTACTTACTTCATTCCCGCCTATCCGGAACACCTCCAACAATGAGCAAGACGAAAGGAAGGAGGCGCTAGGACTCATACTATGGAAAACAGAAAGAAAGAGAAGTAGCACGAGGACCTTTCGTCCAGCTAGTTTGATTTACCCAGAATCGTAGAAAAAGCGTCCTGAGTCAGGCACAAGCAGCGTGTTGTTGGAAACGGTCGGTTGCATGTTCGGCTACAGAACCAAAGTATCGTCACATCCTCGAATCCATCACTTCTCAGAAATCCGTCGGTGATCTGTTTGAAACTTCCATCACGATTGACCACGGGAGCGGGACTGCAGACTGCAAATATGGCTTCTGGGAGGACGGCGATTCCAAAGCAGCGCTCCCTATGAACAGTATGTACTGTAGGTGAGGGGATGGATCGCGAGAACTCCATCAACACTGGCTCACTTGTCAAGAATAAATAGAGAGAACATAGAATAAGGATTCCTGTACTAGAATCTCAGTCCCACTGTGATGGAAACATGAAATTTCCATGTCAAAATGATAAGTTTGTGGGGACTTTTGACAACACTCTTCGACTCGGTCGCAAAGTTCGCGAGATCCTCATCACACGAGTTTTCGAAACTACTCCAAAACTCTCCATACCAAACGGAAGCGAGAGTCTCTCATCATGTAGTTTCAAAATAGACTCATCACAGACTCTTTACAAAAAGGAATTGACTTGATCAGAGGAGTTGGTGGTGCGCAGTCCCAGTTTCAATGTTGGTGGTGTGAAATCGCGAATTGCTTCAACCCGCGAGATCTGCCACGCGCCCAACTTTATATCCACCGCTTGCTGCCACAACAAGCGGATAAAGCAATATTTAATCGCAAGGGGGTGGTTCGCATGACAAAGCTCTCCATAATGATAAAAACTGTTTTATCGGACGAGCATGTGGGGGTCCAAGCATTGATATGGCATCGCGGGTCGCGTTTCGCAATGGAGTGGTCTGCATTCTCGATAGCTCTTGATATCAGAAGACATATACCCGGAAATCCAAATGTCCCAAGAAGCTTTGACAGCCAAAAGTCTACGGATCGCCACGTCTAACAGCGACCGACAAGACGCACAGCTATCCCCTCCTCCCGCACATCCAGCGTGGCCGCAGGGAAAGGATCGAGATGGCAGAGCGTGGTGTGTCTGCTGATCAAGGATGAGCGAATAGCCCTCAACTCGACCAATCATTTCTGCTTTTTCGAGGCGCAAGTTTAGCCCTTGTTTTCTCCTTCGATTAAACCGGTTCCAAATGCGGTCTAGCCCCCCAACTTTTAGATGTTTCCTTCGAAAAGCCGCCCAGATCACCACGCTTTCCCTCGCTACTATAATAAACAGAATCCCCCGCTCAAGACACGACTTTCGACCTTTCCTCCCCTCCCCCCCCAAAAAACACAACCACCACATTTCGACTACCACCAAGGCTTCAAATCGGCTTCCATTTCTGACTTCGATCCGTCTTCATCTAATATTAGTATCGTCTCAAATACAGTATATCAATTACACAACAATGCCTCCCAAAGCCGCAGCTCCCAAGGCCAAGGGCGCGTCCTCGGACCACGCCAGCTACCAAGGTCAGCAGCTTCCTCTCTCCTCCACAACGTCGCATTATGATCGCGCATATATCATCCTGGTCGCGCAGTTCCTGGGCACATCATGCTGGCTTCCGCATTTTTATGGGGTGTTTGGCTGACGTATTATTCTAGACATGATTACTGATGCCATCATCAACTTGAAGGATGTATGTTGTTTACTTTCCAACGCGCGAAAGACCTCTCATCTCTTACTGATACTTTGCTTCTAGCGCAATGGTTCAAGGTACATTTCTATTATCTCTTCGGCTTCTGGGAATCGAATCAAAAATTCGACGCGTCTTATGTTTATCATGACCCCGCGCTGACCACTTTCCAGCCGTGTCGCCCTGAAGAAGTATGTCAAGGCCAACAACAAGATCGCCATCGCCGATAACATGTTCGACTCCTTGTTCAACCGAGCTCTGAAGGCCGGTGTTGAAAAGGGTATCTTCGCGCAACCAAAGGGTGCGTCCTCTCCATCGGTTCCCCAGATCCAACCTTCTAACTCTCACCAGGAAGCTCTGGTGGAACTAAGCTTGCCAAGAAGCAGCCCAAGCCAGCTGCCGCAAAGCCCAAGACTGAGAAGAAGGAAAAGAAGCCTGCCGCCGCCGCAGCAAAGCCAACCAAGACCACCGTGAAGAAGACACCTGCTGCCAAGCCCAAGGCTGCCTCCAAGGCTGCCCCCAAACCCAAGAAAGAGGCCAAGGAGGCCAAGGAGACGAAGCCCAAGGTAGCAAAGGCAAAGGCTGCTGCACCTAAGCCAAAGAAGGCTGCCGCCACAAAGGCTGTGAGTGATTCTTGATACTACGCCATGTTGCAACATATCTAATGGTTTAGCAGGGTCCTGCTGTGGCAGACAAGCCAGCTGTCCTAGGCAAGACCAAGTCTGGGCGCGTCACCAAGACAACAGCAAAGACGGCTCCTGCTAAGAAGGCCGCTGCGCCGAAGAAGGCTGCCACGAAGAAGTCGACCCCAAAGAAGGCTGCTGCACCTGCTTCATAGGCGGGCTGTAGAGTTGTGCTTTCCTTGGATTTTTGGTACTGGCGTTGTGGCGACCTGAAGGAGTCTGAACAACGCGCTTTGTGATTGGGGGCTTTTGCGGGAATATTATGTTTTGGGGAATAATTGCTCTGATTACCTCTTGATGACCTGGTGGGCTGGGTTTCCTTCCTACATATTGCTTCAAAGATTTATCTTTGTCGACGATGGGAAAATGGGATGCTTGCTGGAATGGGATGGGATGGGTTCAGGTTTGGTCTCGATACTCTTGCTGGCTGGCTGTACTTATAGCGGATCAATGAATGACTTGAAATACCTCGAACTTTTTGATTTTTCTTTTGTGTGAATTGCGGTAGTGTAAGTTAGACTGGCGCGAACCACGGTCGAACTTGGCTGACAAGGTGGTAATCACGACGCGTCGTTTCCGGGGTCTGGTTCGAACGCGTTGTTATGATTTCAAACGGCTGTTATCCACACCCGAAAGTCCCGGCCTATGGTCCCTGCGCCTTAATAGTTACGTATACAGAATAATAGTGCACTACTCTCCTTTTTTTAGAAGCCAACCTAATTTGCAAAGCGTCATTTTCAAAGTTATTTATGGGGCCACCGGAAATCCTCATATTCGACTTTTATACAGATGCTGGGGGAGGGAAGCTAGCGACACGACAACAAGGAGTTGATCATATTATTCATGATGGGATTTCACCGACTACCCAGAATCTTGAGATTAGAGAGTACGATTATTGTATTTCCACAGGCTGTAATGGATTATAGATATGCGGTTGGTTGAAGAACTTGAGGTCTGCGTTGATTCTAGCAAGCCTGGTAGTGGTCAAGTGTGTGGTCCTGCGACTGAAACACTCGAGATTTGGGGGGATAGAGGAGAGGTTATAATTGATGGATGGAAAGGCTTTTACCTACGCCCTACTGGCCTCGCACCTGAAGACTATTACAAGCGCAAAGTCGCACTCAGTTGTGGCTATAGATCCGCATGATTAGGTAGGGAGTTGAGCCTTGGTTCTCATTGCTCACCCACGCGGCATTGCTGTTGGCATCTTACATGCTAGACCTCGGTGGATTCCTGCAAACAAGATAAAGGCGATATTGTTTTGGATTTGCACGGAGACTTGGGCGCTTCTCTGTAGGTAGATGAAAGGTCCTCAGATGTCACCACCAGCCACGCCCGGAAAACATCGAGTGAGGTCGGGCAAACGATAATCCGGCGCCGGCTCAGAATCAGGAATGGCTCACTCTGCCCTCCTCATATGGGCGTTGGTTTTCCGGAGCACGGGTTCTATGGGGACGTCTCCGAATAGCTCCTCGTGAAATTGCGTCGCTCTTTGGAGCATCTCCAACTCCTCTTCCACCGGACCGGCCACGGCTCAGATGTGGTGCGTCCCCTCCGATCCCTGATCACTTCTTCGCATACGAAATCCTGAGCTGGCGGTCCCAGGTCCCTGTCTTCAATCCGACGCTAAATCCGAACTCATACGCTGCACGACGACGAATAACAAAGCCCTCCATGAATCAGGGCCCTGCGCAATAACCGCCCTCGATGACCCCCGTTGGGAAGAGACATGCCGATATACTCGACTGACACTGACGCAGACTCCCCTTTTGCACCATCCAAGGGAGCCTCCTCGACGTTGTTCAGGAGACGCGCAGACTCCTCCGCAGACTCAGCCGCCAAGCTCGCAGATCCGACCTCACTTCGACTTCGACGACTGCCTACCTGCCATCCACGACCCCGATAAGGTGGCAACACCTGACGCCCGTCTTTCGAATGCCACACGCCGTCGAGATGCCATCGTTCCTGGCCGGTGACACGGGGCCCACGTTATCGCCAAGTCGTCCTCCCTTCGACCTGCCCAGCCATGTCCGGCACTCCCGCGAGAAGCTCAATGGAAGTGCCAGATCACACTCGTATACGTCCATCAAGAGGAGTCTAGGAGAGGAATCCGATGGATACCTGGATGGTGGCCGGTCCCAGCTGAATGGGGACATGCTGCTGGAGTCGAGCCTGAGCTCGATACCAAACGGCCGATCGAGCGCGAGCAGTTGGGATCACAGGTCGTCTCTCAATGGCAGCACGCTGTCAGTGAACGGGGGATACAACGGGGTGCTCGAGAATGGGAGGAAGAGCCCCGCATCCCAAAACGGAGTTCCAAGGTTGTCGAATGGAGATAGGAGTTCGGCTGCGTCTACAAACGGATTCGAATACACAATGGATTCGGGACGCCAACTAGCAACAAACGGAGACAGCGAACTCCCCAGGAAGATTCTAATACCGCCGCTACCAACTTCAAATGGCCAAAGTACAACCCAGAGTACAGCTCAGAGTACGGCCCAGAGTACAGCCCAGAGTACCGGCCAAAGTACGGGCCAAAGTACGGGCCAAAGTACAGGCCAAAGTACAGGCCAAAGCACGGGCCAAAGTACAGGCCAAAGTACAGGTCAGAGTACAGGTCAAAGTACAGGTCCGTTAACTTACACATCCTCCTTACTACCCGCAACACCATTGCTGAACGAGTCGCAAGCTCAAGATGAAGCAAAACCACCTCATCGATTTTCATCTCCCCCAGCATACCCCCCACCACTCGGCCCTTCGCCATCAACACAATCTCTTCCATACCAAGGTGCTGGAGCACTAAAACATCGACATACTTTACAAGTGCCAAAAGCTGGCCCCCCAAGTCGAAGTTCCCGCGACGACGATGCCTTGTATACCAGCGGGAGATTCTCACCTACAGCGTTTGCAACAGGCGTCAGGCGAGCCTCATTGAATCTCAATCGACGACCCACACAGTCACTACATTCTAATATGCCACACGACGAGATACCCCCAGATGAAGACGCGATGAGGTGGGCAGAAGCAGTACGACAAAAGCGAGCTAGTAAGAGGAAGAGGAAAGACGAGGAAGATGATGATCGAGTAGTTGTCGGAACAAAGGTTGATCAGAACCATGTGAATTGGGTTACAGCATATAATATGTTGACTGGGATTCGATTCACCGTTTCGAGGACCAACGCGAAGCTTGATAGACCGTTGACGGATGCGGATTTCGAAGCCAAACACAAGTTCTCGTTTGATATAACTGGAAACGAGCTGACGCCTTCCGCCAAATACGACTTCAAGTTTAAGGACTACGCTCCATGGGTATTTCGACACTTGAGGGCAAAATTCAAGCTTGATCCCGCAGACTACCTAATGTCCTTGACGAGCAAGTATATACTGTCGGAGCTTGGGTCTCCGGGGAAGAGTGGGAGCTTCTTCTACTTTTCTCGGGACTACAAGTACATCATCAAGACCATCCACCACGCCGAGCACAAGTTCCTGCGGAAGATCTTGAAGGAATACTACCACCACGTTGAAGAAAACCCCAACACGCTCCTGTCACAATTTTATGGGCTCCATAGGGTGAAGATCCCTTATGGTCGAAAGATCCATTTCGTCGTTATGAACAACCTGTTCCCTCCGCACCGCGACATACACCAAACATTCGATCTCAAAGGATCGACTGTAGGCCGTGATTACAGAGAAGAAGACTTGGAGAAGAATCCTCGAGCGACCCTCAAAGATCTAAACTGGCTACGGCGAAACATGTACCTGGAATTTGGGCCGGAGAAAAAACGAGTATTCATTGAACAGATGGAACGAGATGTGCGTCTCCTTCAACGACTAAAGATCATGGATTATAGCATGCTGGTCGGAATCCACGATCTGAGAAAAGGCAACCAAGAAAACCTTCGCGACAAAACACTTCAAGTCTTTCAACCCGGAGGTGATAGCACTGCCGATGATATCTCTAGCTTGCCGGAAAGGGGAATACTCATGCGAACACCGAGTAAACTCGAAACATTAAGAAAAGCTCGGGAATTGCGACAGATGATTCAACAGGAAAAGCCGATTCCGATGGGCCAGACCGGCTCTAGGATGCCGGACCAGATGGAAGAAAATACTGCGAAGAGAGACTTTATATTTTATAGTGATGATGGCGGCTTTAGAGCTACCCACGAGGACAATTCCCCGGGAGATGAGATCTTCTTTCTGAGTATTATTGATTGTTTGACACATTATGGGGCGGTGAAGAAGTTGGAGCATTTGTGGAGTGCGTACCCCCCTTTCTCCTCCCTGTTGAGCGACTTGATTTGAATGATAAGAGAAAAGGAAGGCTAATATGGAACAGAGGGACTCTCTCACGACAAGAAACAAATCTCCCCCATAGCACCTGAGCCGTACGGAGACCGCTTCATTCGTTTCATCGAAAGCATCACCAAGTCCCCCGAAGAAGCAGCTAGAGAACCCCCACCAGCAGTACCACTCACCACCCATATCTCTTCCCACGCTCACATCCACACCCGCCCTGAATCCGTCTCGGAAACGGCAAGGAGAAGAAGTGGAAGCCAGCCAACGCATCGACCGGCAACGACTAACACAACGGGTCAGAGGTCTGAGTCGGAAGCGATGAAGAGTGAACAGAGAAGAGGACTGGAAGATGAGCCGGACCCAAGATTGCTGTCAACGATCAGGAGCCCGAGCGCTGATCGCACTGGGAGCATGCAGGGACAGATCTTGCCGGTCGTGGAAGAGTTGGGGGAGGCGTCCAGCACAGGAAGCCGAAGCGGACGAAGTCGGGAAAGAGATGACACGCCTCCGACTCCCCCCAAAGATAGGGTGGATGGAAGGCCACCTACGCCAAGGAAAGATGTGGTCAATTCGAATGGGGAGGGGGTGAAGACGATCGGCAGGTCCAGTTTGGATAAAGAGCTGCCTCCGCTTCCGAAGGTCTCGAGTCCAGCGGAGATGTCGAGGGGGTAGAGTATTTTTCCTTGACCTGCTAGCAGGCCGGAGAAACTACGAATGAGATGAAAGGAGCAGGGTATGGAGGGGGTTGAGAGCGAAGCGGGGGAGCATTAATGATACCATTTCAGCGTCCATCCGTCAGCGTGTCATTCATTCGTTCGTTCGTTAGTTCGTTCGTTCGCTCGGTCGTTCATTTTTCTTTTCTTGCCTTACTCGAAAAAAAAACACAACAAAACTCGCCGCAAGGATCCAGAGCGAGGCTTTCTTTTAATCACGAATTTCCTTGGTTTCTGTCAATATCGTAGATAGATTGATGGGGTTGGTACACCTTTGTACGGAAGAAGAGCAGGAAGGTCTTGGGATAAGGAAATACAAACGAGGCGGCAGAGAGGAGGATGGGTCATGTAAGCTAGAACTTTTGGGTGAAAGGGGGATAGTGAGCCCAGCCTAATTGTCAGGTTTGATTGAAAGGAATAGATGAATCCTTCACCTCTCCCTCTCTTCCCTTGGCATTGCGTGAAATGTGAAATGTTTCTGTCCCCATCTCTGCCTGTTGTCTCTTCCGATTGCTCCTTTTGGTTCTTTTCTTGCCAACAGAATATATGTTAGAAAGGGGTTTCGATGTTTATGGATAAAGTCTGCATAATTCTTCTATTCATACACGCTTTTATTTCTAATGAGGAAGTTGAGATGGGAGAGACGGAAGGAGGGGAGAGAGAGAGGGCGCTCGCTTGTTTACTCCTGCCACTTCTCTTCTGGAAAGATGCTGAGCTTTGGTTCTTGCCACTCTCACGCATGAGGAAAACAACAAAAGAATAGATAAATAAAGCAAGACTGGACGATATCAAGCACTGAGTAGTCTGTGGGGCTGAAGAGGAAGACATTACCGAATCGAGATCTGAAGAAAAGAAGAAAGTGAGAGGTATGTTTGTTTCCTTGAATTTACCTGGGATGCAGCTGATCAGTTCCCAGATCTATTGGGTCCTGAGATGGAGAAGTTACTAGACGATCCTGATTTCTCTTGGAGGTCCATGTCGGATGGCGAGGTGGATTCGCCATTCACAAAGATGGAGAAGAGCTACAGCACGCTGGGTACCGAGATTGGAGGCGCGGATCTCCTATTGGGCTCTACTGAGACGGGTGATCTTCAGCTTGAGGGGCTCAAAGGTATTTGTCTTGCGGAGAAGGGCCAAGAGGAGTATTCTTTCAAGCTGGGGCTTAGGGGTGGGAAGGGTGAGCACAACCCCAGTCTAGAGACGTTGGAGAGTCAGGGTATGCTGGCTCTGGGGAATAATCTGGAAGATTTCAGGGCTGAGCTGGCTCATGGAAATGGGATAATGATTACTGGAGACCTTATGCCCGGGGGAGAGCTGGATGGGTATGTTATTGGGGTCGTATACGCTGAGGACACTGCTACTGGGGATATCACCGCCAAAGGCAACGTCGCCAGAGATACCAACGCCAACACGATCATCTTTGACAAGGAAGGATTCCTCTGCTCCAAGTCATGCGAAGAACTTTTCCATCCCGATCATAAGATGCTGGGCCTACTAGCGAATGATGGGAGCATCCTGAGAGTCTTGGAGAACTCTGCGCTACACTTCGCCATCCTGCAAAAAGTCCGTCGGATTGTCTCAAACTGGCCAGGCTGCGAGCTGAGCCCATTGGGCATTGCGCATCTGAGGGAGAAGTCCGTTCGACACGAATTTGTGAGTGCCCATCTGGACTTGGTGAATCTATGGAAAGAGCACTCCGAGACAACAGAGCATGACGAATGCTCGTTGCATGATTGGGAACAACTCAATAGCCTTGTCTCTAGGGTTGCAGACCTTCTAGGCAATGCTAGGGATAGTTCGGGGTTGGAAGCTCTGGGTGCTGTTCAAGAGTCCATAGTGATATACAGTTTGGTGGGAGTTGACTTGCATCTGGCGGATTGGTTGAAGAAGCAGAAGCAGATACCCGCAGATAGTGCCAAGACTCTGGGTGAGCAACCTGCGGTGGAGGAAGGTGGCAATGATGATAAGAGTATGGAGTACATCCCGCCGGCACCAATCAAAGGCATGATCTCGAACACCTGGGGTATTACGAATTTGATGGAGGGGTATGGAGGAGAAGAAGCTAAACAAGGAGTCGAGTGTAAGTCTCGTCAAACTGATACTTACTTATTCTAATTGTTCTCAGCTTCTATCACGAATAACAGTTTCTCTCCAGAAAGGCGCCGGCTTTTCAGATTTAATACCTTCTCTCACCTCCCCAGATATCACGAATCGAAGGCCATTCCAGTCAAAGAAACTGGGGTCGAAGAGAAGAATAAGCTCAATAGCCGACTGAACCATATTGAGAAGCTCCTTTTATCCCTCCATGAAAGACCTGTGGTGGACCTAGAGACTTCGAATATGCTGCGGTGTATTCTTGGAGGTCTACAGAAAATTGAAAGAAGTCGTCCTGACGAAGACCCTTTCACATCCAAAGTCACTAGCAGTGCCTGTCACAATTGGGGTACTACTATCGATAGTTGGAATACCACTGCAGAAGCTCGGCATAACGAACTGTTGAAGATCCTCCAAAATATTGAAGATGCAATGTACAGCGAAGATCCATCTCACCATGCCGAAGACGTTGCTATAGACAAACGCTCTCGCACGTCGGCGCCCCTTCCGGAAGGGAGCGAAGTCATGGAAGGAGAACTAAGCTACCGGAAGCACTACGAAGCCTTGAAAATTGAGTCTTCTTTCCTCGGAGATAATATTGCAGCCCTTGAACAGCTGCTCAAGCTCCGCGATGAGAAGACGAGAAGAGAGCAGAAGGAGCTGGGTACAGAGCTTGAGAGGTTGGGTGCGGATATTAGGAAGTTGGAAAAACAGATAGGGGAAACCAGGAAGATTCGAGAAGATCCCCTTGGAGAGGTGAAGAAGTTAGGAGGAGATAACAAGAGTCAGGAGACGAATGAAGAAAAGGTGTGCACGGAGGATACCGAGGGCCAGAGAACCCAGAAGCTACAAGCCGATAGAGCTCTGCAGAATGAAAACAAGAACTTGGGTGGGGAGAGAAAGGTGGACGGGTATAAGAGGTTGGAGAAGGAGAAATCTCTCTTGAAGCGCGAGAACAGACAGAAGGATAACGAATATGGCGAGCTTTTACGATACTCTTTAAACCTGGAGAAAAAGGAAAGGGCCTTGAAAGCGAAAAGGGATGAATTTTTACAATACGCTTTATTACTGGAGAAAAAGGAAACGTCCTTGATAGCGAGAAGGGATGAATATAATAGGATTATTCACGGTCTGTTGGAAGATAATGTTGAGTTTGATGATGGTGTTGAGTTTGATGATGGTGTTGAGTTTGATGATGGTGTTGGCAAGCTTGGCTCTACACCGGGGTTGATGGGGGTATTGTGGCCACAGGGAACTGGACAAGATATGCCGGCAATGGAAAATCAGGATAGAGCGTGGTGTCTTGTTATGTGATGGGATGAGAGTAGCACGGTTTGACTCGAGTCCTTGACCCGAGCTTGGCTTTGAGCAACAGGTCATGCCACGAGTGACACAGCAGAATTTTGCTTGAAATATTTTATCAGGGTCCATCCTGAACGAAGAGGCAAGGGTTTTTTGGGGATGCAGAAATTCAGTTGAATTGCACCATAATGGGCTTGGCGTGTATAAATAGAGCAGGTTCCCCAGGAACACTTCAATGAAAATACTCCTTGCATCCACAATATCGGCAACTGTTGACTAGATATATAAAGAATAAGCCTCAAGAAAGCAAAATGTTGTTATTTTTTGAAGAATTGGGTCTTTTCATCCATTCAACCAACTTCGCATAATTCGTCCTCGCTTCCCTTTTTGTCCTCCTTAGTAAAAGGATAAGCGGCAGCGTTTGCAACTCTGCAACATTCATTCACTTCCTCTCGGACCTTTAATAAGCAGGCGATCTGTCTCCTGCACTTGCCCTGGGACGGTGAGAAAAGAGGAATATAAATCTCCAGATTCTCCTTTTTTCTCCATCTCTTGAACTTCTCCATTTCCTCCCCAGAACATCACACCGGTTGGATCCCCAATCTCCTCTTCGATTCAGTTTTACCTCCTCCATTCTGATCCCCTTTTGATCTCTGCTTTGGATTTTGTACCTTGAGTTAGATTTACGCGTCTTGAGTTGGACGTCTGGGAGTACGGTCTCTACCGCCATTCAAGTGGACGGATCCCGACAGGGTCTTCTGGGAGGAAGCAAACAGTGAAGGAGATTCTTTATGAACCAGAAAGAAAGCACAAAAGTAGGAATCATGGAGGATATCCGTGATCAGGAACCGGAGCAGGAGATGCCGAACTGTAAGTTCTGCGTTTGCCCCCTTCATGAAACCCTCGAGAGAACAGAAAGAGGGATGGATGCTTTATTTGAGAGAATCTGTGAGCCTATGCTAATGGTAATATAGTCCCAACTGTCCTCGCAACCCTGCATCGTCTTCTGCGCTCTCCAAGTCCAGAACTGGACCGCAGAAGCTGCCATGAGTTGCAGTCCAGCCGGGGTTCTGATCGCACTGGGTCGTATGTCCACACTTCCATTTCCCATTCGGATCCTCTCAATCCAGTCCTCCATGCCCACCCAATTCCTCTTGATTATCAGACCACATTCTATTGTCCATGACCTTGTCAGGTCCTAGAAAGAAACGAGATACTAACGGCCTCATCACAGTGGTACCGCAACACCCCTCACATCCACCTCTCAACCAAATCTACTACTGTCCACTCCCCACGAACCTATCACCAAGCCTGGAAAAGTCTACTCTCGTGCCTCCAGCCCTTCCTTACCCTTCGAACCCAGCACGCCTAGCTTCACCACCTCGGCTTCCGCTTCCGCTTCCACTTCCCAACCCTCTCTCCACCAGCGCAGCAGCAGCATGCCAACCACCCAGCAGCACCCGCTCCGCACCTCCATCTCCACCTCTCAGCTCCTAACCTCTCCTCCCTCTCAACAATCGCAAACCCCACAATCCTCCTCCTCCTCCTCCTCCTTCCGCAATCCAAGAAGCCAAAAAAAAACCACTTCAGCCAAGAACCAGAACAAGAACAAGAATAAGAACAAGAAGACCACCCCCCAAAAAGCGGATTTCGAACTCACCCCTCTCAGTGGTCTGATCGCACAATCGTATTCGGATATTCGTATCTTGAAAAGTATGATGAATGGGGGCGTGGAGCTAGATCAGCAGCAGCAGACCCGCGAGAAGAAGATTGATTTTGAGAAGATGGAGCAGAATCTTAGGAGTTTTGAGGAGTATGTCTTTATCCCCCCTCCCCCCGAAAAATAAAAAGGAGATATACCCTAACACACTCCCCTTCCTTTTTCCAGACTCTACAACCAATTCCTGCATCATCATCACGGCAACGACGACAAGCTCACAGAAGTCCACCTCGTCGCCATGGTCTGCAAACGCTCTGATGTTACCCGCGCAGCCTTGAAGACTAGTGCTAGCGTGCCGCTCTTGACGACGAATACGGCTATGGGTGCGAATGCAACAAGGGAAGTAGAGCAGAAGTTTGATTGTGGATTGTAGATTGGTTTTTTGGGTGTTTTGGGGGGGGGGGTTGTGTAGCATGGATAAAGATTAGACTAATGAATAGATAGAGGAGTGGCATAGAGAGACAGATAGATGAATTAGAACGCATTGCTTTTCCCCATTTTTTATATGCATAATGGGTTATTTCATTATGATAACTAAGCAAGCAAGCAAGCAAGCAGGACGCTCCAACGCCTCTCCGCCCTACCGAAACAAAAGGAAATGAAACGCCGTTTCCCCAGTCCGCCATGCGTCCCATGCGATGCTCGATACACACATATGATATAGGTACAGGAACAAGAAGAAGACGAGAAGGAGGAAGGGGATGGTAGAACTAAGCCGTCCCCCTGGGTTTCGCCTTCGCCTTCGCCTTCTCCTTCTTCTCCTCCTTCATCCTCTTCTTCTTCTCCTCGTTGCGCTCCTCATTCTTGCGCTTCAGCGTCTGCAGCTGCTCCGCCGTTTTCGGCACCGGCTTGAAGAAGCCCTCGAGCCGCGCCTGCTGGCTCGTCTTCAGGTTCTTGGAGAGCCGCGCCGCGCCCGCCCGCACGCGGTCCTCGCTGAACCCCTTCTCCGTGACGAGGAACTGCACGAGGCCCTCGACGTCCGGCGCTTCCCACTTGAAGTCGCACTCTGGGTGCGAGGCGGGCCGCACGTCCGGGTTGAGGAAGAGCTCGCGCGCGTCGGCGAATGGCCAGTCGTCCGGCAGCACGTATTTGCTTTTGCCGGCTTGGATGGATTCGACGAGCTTTTCGAGCGTGCCGTGCTCGCGGATGAGTTTTAGGGCGGTTTGCGGGCCGACTTTGGGGATGGGGTCGAGGTAGTCACAGCCGAGGAGGATGCAGAGATCGATGAACTGCTTGTTATTAGTTGAGGTTGGGGAGGGGGGAAGGGAGGGAGGTTACTTGTTTGCGATCCATGTCCAAGCCGGCAAGAACCTTCTCGAGAAATACTTCTTGGATGGGCTCCTTTCGCATCTCGCTGAAGGTGAGGTGACGCAACAGAACAGGGGAGTCAAAACAGAGCGTATCCATATCCTCACTCGCAGCGGCATAGACCTTGCCTGCTCTCGCCAGAGCTGCGCACTGGGCCTCCGCCTCCGTTGGGGCAATGATATATGGGACACCCATCAACTTCAGCAATCTCTGGCACTCCGCATTATGTTCCCGGGTGACCCTGACCGTCCTCCTTGAGAACTTCTCGACTTCCTCAGCCGTGCCAGTTTCCTTCGCCTCTTCGAGCCCCTCCGCAGCCTCTGACTTGCGCTGGAAGCGCTTGGCGAGTTCCCCGCTCTTGAGCTTTGGGGGCGCGCCGTCGAAGACGTACACGGGCTTGATGCCGCCATCGACGATGCGTAGGGTTCGGTAGAACATGCCCATGAGGTGGGAGGTGGTCTCGCCCTCTTCGTTGGTGAGCATCTCGCCGCCGGAGCGGACAGCGATGAGGAAGCTGTAGATGGACATCGACCTATATATATGAGTGCCTGTAGGAGAAAGAGAGAGTGGTTTCGTACGCATCCTGGGTTCTGGTCAGTCAATTGCGAGGAGAGGGGGAGGTGGACGTACGATGGCTACTTTCCTGCCGAAATGGGTCTTAATATCGCCCTCTTTGTAGGCATCTGGGCATTCCTGTTTGATCAGGGAGAAGAGCTGTTTGATACCCATCTTGGCGGTATTCTGCTCTCCGGTGCTGTGTATGTTCGCGTGGGGTGAAAGAAAAACTTGGAACTGGAGAGGTTGAAGGGGAACGCGAAACTGAAGAGTGACGTGACGAAGCGCGCGCTCCCGCGTTAAGTGGCAGCAACCAGGTAATTATAGCCTGAGGCATGAAGAAAGCCACGCGTGATATCAGCCTTATATATCAGGCACAACATCGGCACCTGAGGGAGGAATATGTCACGAGGAAAAGAGATCTCCCGGCCTCTCAACCAGAGAATCACAACCATTTCCCCCCTCATTCACGTCTCTGCTTTCTCATTGGGCTGCTCTTCCGTTTCCCCGGATAATCCTCCTTATTCCCCCTTATTCCCAGCCTCCCCAGCTTCCCCAGATTCCCCAATGGACACGCCAGCCCTTGAAACGGGAAAGTCACGGGTTGCATTGCCTCGGGCATGGAATCTGGGGAACCGCTGCGGGGCTGGGCTAACTGCTCCCTGGTAGCTTAAAAACATCGGCGGTGTCCCTGTTGTGACAACCCAGGACGATCTCCAGCGTGCCCATTTACTTGTCAGTCAAACATCCACGGATCAAGATGTACAGATCAATCCTACGCACATCTGCGAGGCAGCTGGCCTCTTCAGCGCGGCCAGCTGCAGTCAGAGGCTACGCTGCTCATTCTGCCCCTGATCCATTCAATTGGCAGGACCCATTGAACACGCAGAGCCTCTTCACGGAGGAGGAATTGGCCATCCAGGAGACGGCTGAGGCTTATTGCCAGGAACGCATGCTTCCGCGAGTGCTTCGTAAGTGGCTTGCTGCATCTGGGAACCGTGGCTAATTTTCTGGCAGAGGCATACCGGGACGAGAACTACGACAAGAAGATCCTCGAGGAGATGGGCGAACTAGGTCTGCTTGGAGCTACCATCAAGGGGTATGGTTGTGCGGGCGTGTCGAGTGTTGCATCCGGGCTCATCACAAAGGCTGTCGAACGCGTCGATTCCGGGTACCGATCCGGGATGTCCGTCCAGTCGTCTCTGGCGATGGGGGGCATTGACGAGTTTGGGACGGCAGAGCAGAAGGAGAAGTTCTTGCCTCTGATGGCCCAGGGGAAATTGCTAGGGGCCTTTGGCCTTACGGAGCCCAATCATGGAAGTGATCCGGGATCGATGGAGACCGTGGCGAAACCCCACCCTACGAAGAAGGGATACGTGTCGATATCAGGGGCCAAGACTTGGATTACGAACTCTCCTATAGCCGATGTGCTATTGGTGTGGGCCAAGTACAGTGAGACGGGGAAGATCAAGGGGTTCTTGGTCGAGAGGAAGGATTGCCCACCTGGGACATTAGAGACACCTGCTATCAAGAACAAGAATGGCCTTCGAGCTTCGCTTACAGGAATGATCCAGCTCGACGAATGTCCTGTACCGTTAGAGAACATGTTCCCTGACGTTGAGGGCTTGCGAGGCCCGTTCACATGTTTGAATGGTGCCCGGTACGGTATCGCCTGGGGCATGACCGGTGCCTTGGAGGACTGTATCGCTCGGGCAAGGACATACGCCTTGGAGAGGAAGCAGTTCAAGGGGAACCCCCTGGCCAAGTACCAACTGATCCAGAAGAAGTTGGCGGACGCCGTCACGGATGCCGCCTACGGTACGGTGGCCGCCATCCAAGTCGGCCGGCTCAAGGACGAGGGCAAGGCCACGCCCGAGATGATCAGTATGATCAAGAGACAGAACTGCGACCGGGCTCTCCACAATGCGCGGGTGCTGCAAGAGATCTTTGGTGGCAATGCCGTGAGCGACGAGTACGGGATTGGAAGGCATGTGGCGAATTTATTCGTTACCCAGACTTATGAAGGCCAGTCAGATATTCACAGTAAGTTCTACCTTTTTGCTTCTTCTCTCTTCCTTGGGAATCTATCTGGTACGTGAGCTGACACAGCCACAGGTCTGATCCTCGGACGGGCGATTACGGGAATTCAAGCGTTTGCATAGGTAAAGGGTCTAGAAGGATATAGAAGGAAGACAAGACAGACAAGATACGCAGATAAATCTAATGTGAACATGTCAAGATTGAAACCCTCTCTTTCCCTGCCCAACCATATACCTGACCAACCATATAATGTGAGGCGGTAATGAATCGAGAAGATTTGCATTATTGGACTGGAGCTATCGAGTCCAGACTGGCGTTCGGCGGCGTTCGGAAGGTTTAGACGTCATGGTCAATGCATCCGGATGGGTAGTTGAGAGGGGACAAAGGGGAAGATGAATGTGAAGAGAGATCTGAGATAGGAATCACATTCCCTCTCTTCATTCTTGAGACAGATCTCTATATATATTTTTCAATATTTATATATATGTAGATATACACATAAGGTATGTATGTAATTGTCTTGACAATAATTCGATGCATCAGTCATCACCTCGCTAGACTATTGATGCCTGAGGCCACCCTTCCGTTTCCCTTCCCTTCCCTTCAAAGCCGCCCAACCCTTGATCCTTTCAATTCTCCATTCAACACCAAAACCTCCAACACCACAACTCCCACTTCTTCTCGCGATAGTGAATACCATACACCACTGGTATAAATTCCCTTCAATATCTCGCACATCCCCATCCTCTGCAAATGCCCTCAATCCAACCTCCCTTCCCCCCGTCACCCCTCCCTCGCTCCCGTCAGCGTAGCCGCTCGCCTGTTTTAGTGTCTAACAACTGCTGATAGAACTTCGCTCTCTCCCGGCTTCCTGTCCTCGACACAAACACCCTCGACTCCCCCACCACCCCCCCCACCCCAGATACCACAACTCCCCAAATCCTCACACAACCACAGACATGGCGCTGAAGAGAATTAACAAGGAACTCACGGATCTCGGCCGGTACGTTCAGAGCCTCTCCCTCACCGCCACCCACCTTGTCGAAGTGGGGTGTCTTGTCGTCGGCCAACAAGCGGGGTCACTGCAAATTCATCAATAACCTCATCTACGACTCGACTTCGACGACCTCGACATGGACATCTGGCTGATTCTTTCTGTGCTGTAGTGACCCACCGTCTTCCTGCTCTGCTGGCCCTATCGGAGATGATCTGGTACGTCTCATCCTTCCCGCTCCCATCTCCGACCACCTCCCAGCCCACATCCCATGAGACCCCCCCGTCGCAGGTATCAAAATACCTTCACAAACATACACTGACTTGGATGCGTTCGATAGTTTCACTGGCAAGCTACCATCATGGGACCTGTAAGTGTGGCCTTATCAGCCTGCCCGTGGATGCGGGGAATCCTCGATCGATCCCTGCGGAGAGGCCGAGAATGACACGATCACCAATGCTGACCTCGATGGTAGTCGGACTCACCATACTCTGGCGGTGTCTTCTTCCTTGCGATCCACTTCCCTACCGATTACCCCTTCAAGCCACCAAAGGTCAACTTCACCACTCGGATCTATCACCCCAACATCAACTCCAACGGTTCTATCTGTTTAGATATCCTCCGTGATCAATGGTCCCCAGCCTTGACAATCTCCAAAGGTAACCCCCCCCATCCCACTCTTACGACCTATCGACATTGACCCGTCGTAGTTCTCCTCTCCATATGCTCCATGCTGACCGACCCCAACCCCGACGACCCACTCGTCCCCGAGATCGCCCACGTCTACAAGACCGACCGCAGCCGATACGAAGCCACTGCTCGCGAATGGACCCGTAAATATGCGATCTAGTCGACCTGCTCCGTTGAATGATGGTGGACAGACCTTTCCTACTCTCGATCGCGTTAACGGTTTAGCTGGCGTCAATACTTGAACTATGGATGGACCTGTTTGTTTTTCCCTACGAGGCACGCAGTAGAGGGTGGAGGGTGCGCTGCGTGGCCGTGCTTCATGACATTGGAGGATGGTTGCCTGGGGATGTAGGGGCAGCCAGGGGAGAGATAACATAGGAAGGGCGGGATAGATGACCGTATTGCATTTAATGGGCAGTGTTCTTCCAGTAACCGCTGTCCCTTACGCATCATGATTTTGTCTGCATGTTTCCCTTGGTGGTCAAGTATACATCGCCTACGTCGCAGGATGATTGAAATCTCGACTGCAATCCCACAGCTACGACCCATTTCTTCTCCAAAGCCCAACCCAATCCATATTATATCAACCAACAAACCAACCAACCAATCCAATCCGATCCCCCTCCCCCCCTCCCAGCAATCTCAAATCTCAAATCTCAAACCTCAAACCTCTCCCAACTTTTCTTTCCCCTTCCTCTCCTCTCCTCTCTACCTACCTAATCAACTTGCCATGTATCCAACCTCGCGTGACTCTCTTCATTCATTCCTTAACCACACAGACATACATAGCATGGAATCTTTACACAAATCCAGATTTGGAGATGGATGGATGATGATGATGATGGATGGTGGGATGGAATTTTTTGGTTTTATTTGGGTAGATGGATTACTATAGTCCTGCTCGAGCGGGAGTCCTATATGCTTGCATGCTTTCATAGATAGATAGGTAGATAGGTAGGATAGGATAGGATAGATGGCTATGAGATATGCGATTGCGAAGTATAAAGAAGGAGAAACCCATCACACCCTCCTCTTTTCCAACAACAACTTCCCAATCGGCTGTCCCCCCTTCCCCACAAACCCCCCATTCACGGCGCCCCTCTCAAACACCTTCGTACCCCGTACCCACGTCTCCTTAACGACGCCCCGCAGCTCCCGGCCCTGGTACGGCGACACCTTGTTCCGGAAGAGGAGCTGCTCGCGCCCGACGACGAACGGCGCCGTGTCGTCGAAGACGCAGATGTCGGCGTCGAGGCCCGGCCGGAGAGCGCCTTTCTGGTGGCCGAGTCCGACTTGCTGCGCCGTGTTGACGGCGCAGAGACGCACGATGTCGACGATGCTGAGGGAGGGGGAGCGGGATTGGGCTGTGGTCCAGAGGATGGGGAGCCCTAGACCGACTGAGGATATGCCGCCCCAGGAGGAGAAGAAGTCGCCGCGTTCGCGAGCGTCGGCTTGCTCTTGGCTTAGGATGGTCCCGTTGACCGTCTTCACGGGGCCGGAGCCGCACCCGTGGCTGAGGTGCGAGGGGAGGAGTTTCAGCTCCGGCGTGCAGGGGCTGTGGTCCGAGACGACGGTTTGGATTACCGAGTTGGGGTGGGTGAGTTCGGCCCAGAGACCGTCGCGGTTTGAGGAGGAGCGGATGGGCGGGCAGCATTTATGTCGCGTGTCGCCCTCGGCAACTTCTTCGGCGGCGAGAGCGAGGTAGTGGAAGCAGGTCTCTGCTGTTATCTTGACTCCATCTTCGCGCGCTTTTCGTAGCAAGGGGATGGCTTCGATGGCGGAGAGGTGGACAATATGTAGTTGTAATTCAGGGGCTAGATGTGCAAGCGAGATCACCTCTTCGATGGCATAGGTTTCGAATGAGGGAGGACGTGAGGATAGGAATGTGGCGTAGGAGGATAGGGATCCCGTGGGGGACACTGGAGGGAGGGAGGTTTGATCGGTGGAGGGTGGGATCATTTCGGCGTGGAACATCAGGGTAGTGGGCGTGTTTGCGAGGGTGGTCATGGCGAGTGCCACATCGGCGGAGGACACAGCTGGGAATTCATCAACCTACCACATATGTCAATCTCATGATCTTTGGAACGGCGGGGGCTACTCACCCCGCTCTCTATAAGAAAACCTTTGAATCCCCTCACACCCGCCTCCACAAGCGGGAGAAGCTCGTGGGCATTCCCCGGAATTACGCCTCCATAAAATCCAACATCGACCCAGCATTGACCTTGCGCAGCCTTGATCTTCTCGTTCAACCCCGCGACGGTTGTGGTGGGTGGGATGGCATTCAGGGGCATATCAATGACCGTTGTAACCCCTCCAGACGCGGCGGCCTTGGTGCCAGTCTCGAAGCCCTCCCATTCTGTCCTCCCCGGCTCATTGAGATGTACGTGCGCGTCGACAAGCCCTGGGAGTAGGAGATGCGGGGTGTGGTCAATGTAAGTGGTATTTGGCGGAAAACTTGACGCGGGCAAGATAGTTGGGAGGATAGAGACAATGGTGCCGGTCTGCGGGGAGAGAGTCAGGGTAGCGGGGGAAACGACAAGGTTGTCCTCGTTGTCAAAGATCACAGCGCGAGTCGAGACCAGGACAACCAGCGGGGTGCTGGAGTCGTGGGGTGGGGTGTGAGTGGGAGTTGGGGGGAAAGACTGTTGGGTCGAGCCATCGGTGGCAGACATCGCAAGGGGGTTCAACGAGGGGGCCGGAAGAGGCTGAAAGACGAATCAAGGCGTTTCCAGGATATAAATAGGTAGGTTTAGAGGCGGAAGATGCTTATCGCTGGCGTCGAGGGGTGGGACCAGATAAGGACCGAGGCTGATATCAGGGCAGATACCGTAAGGGAATCTTTTTTCTTTGCTTTTTTCTGGAGATCAGGGGGGGAATAACAGCAAGAAACAGAGGATATAAGAGAAGAGAAAGAGAGGGGAGAGGAACAAACGTTGACAGAACGAAACTGAGGAGGCCAGGGTCTGATCTTGTGGGGTGCAGATATGGCCTGGAAGACATTCGTATCCACAATGCCCCTCCATATCCGCCTCAGCCCGCTCCTTGCCTACCTTACCTTACCACCTTACCTCTCCTTTATGGCTCCCGGTCTCGCTGCCGCGGGAATAATAATCTGAGTCGGCAGAGCCATGACCAGAGCAGAAAGGCGCGCAGAATCGGACGGTTGTGTGTTTTCTAGCTCGCGGGTTGCGAGGCTAGGGCGGAAGGCTGGTGGTATTGGTGTTGGTGTTGACGGATCCGCTCTTTGCCCCGGGAGCCACCGGCCAGGCCTTGCTGGAGCCGGCACGACGAGGCGAAGATGGGAGAGCAGCCGAGCCGACATCTCATCTCATCTCTTCCAACGTCTATCTCCATGGTCAACTCGACGATCGACGATTGGCAAATGCTGTACTGTGAACATAATGGTGTTCAAGTTTTCCTCTCGAACGTATATGTCTCTATCTTTTCAGACAAGAAGTGATGATGATTTATGCGTCTTCCTGCCTGAGGCATCACTTAGGCGACTTCCGACGACGACGAGCCGTCCTTATGTAATACACGTCTTTACCTTACTCGATCATTATTACGGTATTTCCTCTGTATTACTCGATCAAAACTCCTTCTCCTATCATGTCTGCCGGTTGTCACAAGTCCAGTAGGTAATAGAGCGTTGTCAGCAGAATCCCAATACATATAACCCATGTTGCACTACTGTATAGTATAAATCTTTCATCTGTGGGACTAGGGTCAGGTCAATCCGAATCTGAATCCTCGCTCTGATAATCACGTGATATCATGATGGGAGGGCTGCAGTTCCCTCCTTCATTCAGATCATCTGCAGACCTCTATGCCCTTGCTTTCAAAGCTGCAAAATGGGATCCTTCCTGCGCCTCATTCATGATCCCTTGTTCAGTCACAAAGTCGCGTGACACATAGCCGATATACCTTGCCGATAGCCGACGACCCCTTTTCACAAGCGACGTCGAATTTCCTTCTCATTGCCATCCTCATCATCAACTCTTCTGACCTCCTCGTGAGCCAGCACTGCGTAATATGTGTCGTGGATTCTGCCTAACTATATCTTCTCTTGTATCTTATGATTCATTCTTCAGCAAGGATTTATCCCTGGGTTGAGGAAATTCAATGCCGTCTTCGTCGGTGTTGACTTGGACGACATCGCCAAAGGCACCCTCAAGACGGGCCCCTATCGCAAATCCAGTCCCTTGTCCACGCACTTTGGATGCTGTGCATTGCTGGAAATGCTCCGTTCTCGATAGCTGATTTCTTTCCGACTCGTTCTGGACCTGAATATCTGTAGTGCAGAGTCTGGTACATTTACCCCTCTCCCAGTGGATTGGGGCAGGCAAATTCCAAGTCTTTAAGCTCGCATCATTTTTCTTCCAATTCCTTTTAGGCCCCTTGCATGCGATATTCAAGAGGGAATTTTCCGATTGACATCATTATCAGGCAGTACGAAGATTGCGCTTCCTGAGACTATACCTTCTAGTAGGGAAGCTGTCTTACGGAAAGTCAACGAACGGGCATTCACGTACCGTTATAGGGCAACATGCTCCAGTCTTTGATTCAACGAGTCTATGTGGGCATTCTAATGGCCGTCGAAACCCAGCCTGCCCATCTACGCAGGAAGAATTGCTTTCTCGAACGCTCTTTACGGATTCTGAAGCTTCTTCTATGACTCAAAGATAGGATAAGGATTCCTGCAAAATTAATAGGCGGTGCTGAAGATAAGGAGAGTTCTAATTCATCTACCAAATTCTTATACCATCCTTCTACAAATAATCCATCTAGTTCGGAGACTCATTAATTCTCGAAACAAAGGAATAACTGGACAATCTCAAAACTAGATAAACAAAGGAAACAATAAAAGGGCTGGCCCAGCACAGCAATCCCGAGATCCTTCCAGCCGTAACATACCATACAGCACCTATACTCCATTCTTCGCCCACTCTCTGCAACAAGTCTTCTTTCTTCTAAGATCGACTGACTTCTCGATCAAGACGAAGAAGTCAAGAGCAATTTATGCATCAAAGCCTGAACGTCCATCGCCATTAGCGAAGAAAATATAGCGGAGAAGGAATATGGCAACATACCATGCAAGCGACTCCTACTGCCTGCCCTCCCAATTGCCTCAACGCGAAATCCTAACTTCTCCATCTCCGCAACCTCGACTATACCCCGGCCATCAAACACCCACTTTGGCTTCTTCATTCCGTACGCGATTCGCGCCCACTCGACGTTCTCGCTTGCAATCACCTCTTCCACACTACCGCGCTCGCAGTCGCGGCACCCCTCCGCGCAGGGCGGCTCGGGCAGGTAGCGCTGCTCGGCACCGTAGGGGGCTGGAGCAAGTGCCGCGTCGGCTTCGAGGGCTGCTTCGGCTTCGAGGGTCGCTTGCTTTTGCTGCTTGCGCTTCATGGCCATGTCGAGAACGTCGAGCTCCGAGAGAGAGCGGGAGAGCATTACCGGTCTGGTGCTGTTCAGCTGAGGCGGAGCGTCGGATTTGTGGAATGCAGAATCCTTTTGTGTGAGTGGTGGATAGTGGAACTGGTCCCATTCGGTGAGGATCAGAATGGCGCTGGAGTCGGCAGAGGCATCATAAGCGTCTTTGTAGACTTTGTGCGAGTCAGCGGTGTCTAGAGGAGAGAGAAAAGGGGATTCATACCTTCGATTGGCCCATCGGGCTTGAGCAGCTTGAGACCGGTAGTGGCGAAGAGATGCTTGATCTCGTCTTTAACGTTCTCCGGGTTGCATTTCGGGTCGAAGATGGCAATCTCGGCAGGATTGTCCGCCAGCAGGGTCTTGACGACCTCGACCGCAGGCGACTCGCGAGTATCGCTGGTGTCCTTCTTGAACGCATATCCCAAGATCGTGATCTTCTTACCGATGAGGGTGCCGTGCAGATTTCGCACGACTCGCTGGACGAAGCGGTTGCGTTGGTACTCGTTGATGGTGAGGACCTGTGTCCAGTACTCGGCCACCTCATCGAGGTGAAGCGTCTGAGCGAGATAGACAAGGGAGAGGATATCTTTCTTGAAGCAGGAGCCGCCGAAGCCGAGCCCAGCTTTCAGGAATTTTGGGCCCAGACGCATATCAAGGCCAATGGCCTTGGCGAGCTCATCAACATCGGCACCGGTCTGCTCGCAAATCGCACTAATGCTGTTGATAGAGCTAATCCTCTGCGCAAGCATGGCATTTGCCACGAGTTTCGAAAGCTCCGAGGACCAGAGGTTGACCGTGACGATTTTAGAGCGATCGACCCACGCAGCATAGACGTCTTTGAGAGCGGCTGCTGCTGCGAGCCCGGATTCCGTCTGCGAACTCCCGATCAAGATACGATCCGGGTTGAGGAGATCTTTAATTGCAGTCCCTTCTGCAAGGAACTCTGGATTCGAGAGGATCTCGAAAGGGACTCCTGGTCTGTGGACTTCAAGCTGTGAGATGTTAGCACGTGATACATTACCTCGATGCTACACAGTCATGTACAGGCACACCGATGGTACCTGCAGAGAAGGCGTACAACACGTGGAAGAGCAAGATGAGGCGTCTACGTACCGTATCTCGGACGATCTGAGCCGTCCTGCAAGGCACCGTACTCTTCTCCACAATAATTGCACCCGGCTTGGCAGCGATGGCGATATCTCTGGTGGCACCTTCCAATGCAACCATGTTAGTCGCCGCGCCCGCGCCAATACCGGTGTACTTGGTGGGAGTATTAACGCTCAGAAAGACAATATCGGCCTCGGAAACACAACGTGCCACGTCCGTTGAGAAGAAGAGGTTGGACTGCCGAGCCGGGAGCTCGACGGTATCCCCGCCTTCTATAGCGATGGTTGCGGCGTTCGTGCCATCGCGGGCGACTCGCACGATCTCGTTCAGGCCCGGCTCGTGGATAGGAGGATGTTGTGAGTTCCATTTGCGGATCCTCGCGGCATCCTTGTCGACGACTGTCACCCGAATGCCTGGGTTCTGGAAGGCAATGACGGCGGCAGTTGGTCCTCCTGTGGAATTATTAGTGAGACTCCTGAGTGCTACATCTTCTCTCGTGGGTGACGAGGATCTCAGTTACGCCTCTCGGGGTTGGACTTGGCAAGGAGTGATGAGGGAGTCAGACATACCAACATACCCCGCGCCAACGCAGCAGATGTTCTTCACACCCTCCTGTTCTGGCTGAACAACCGCCACCACTTCTTCAACCACTTCATCAGCGGTTAACGCAGCAAGCTTCGGAAAGTCCACCACGCTGGGACTGAACGGCGTCGATGCATTTGTGGATTCAGGCGAGGGGCTCTGAGAGTCAGAAAGGATCTGGTCAGATGCCGTGCTAGATGCTGAGTCCATGTTGAGCAGATGCCAAGCACGTCTCGATATCTCTCTAAGAATGGTTGAAAGTAATATTGTAAGTACGGAGTATAGAGAATTCACACACGATGCTGTACCAGTGGAAGAGCAAAGCTGCCGGTACGCTATATAGCAAAAGCCACAAAGCAGACTGACAGATAACGAGGGGTGCGCAGGGCTGGATCCAGATGGCTAGTCGTCCATCCTACTTCTGCTCCTACTGCTACCACTAGGCAGGAATCCCCAACACAACACCAGGACCAGACCAGACCTCTGTCCCGTCTCCTTCTCCGTGTCCGTCTGGCCCAACCTCTGCACTCCTATCCCATCTCATCATGCCCGATATGATAACGCCATGCTATCCAACCGAGCCATGTCCAGCTCGGGACTCGGAGTATACAGGTTAGGAGGTGGATAGGAAAGATCAGCGCCAAAAGATGACCCTATCATCTAGACCCCCCTATCCCTGCGCTCCCTACTCTTTTTCAAAATCCCTCAATATTATTTTTTTATTTCTTTTTATTCAGAAATAACTTATTTTTCCTCCTCTCTCCTCCCTACGTTGCAGTTCTCATACTCCCTAACCTGATCCCGGACTAGGGTCCTGATGAAGTACTAAGTTAGTAAGTCCATTCGACCCGGCTGGCGATCAACATCCCCTGCTCCTGCGCCCTACCCTTGTCATTTCTACCCCCCGTACATCACATGTGGCACAAGGCGCACAGCTAGATAGTTCTTCTGCCCTGCAACACTACTGTTGTAGAACGGGCCCAGCTCGTACAAGCACTTCCACAATCTGTCGGTATTTCCTGTCTGTACAGTACCACCCTGCCTGTTGCTCTCTAATCAATCTCTAATCAATCAACTCTTCGGTCCGCCAAGCCATTTACTAGTGTACGCCTTCCCAATTGGCAATTCCCCGATAAGAAATCCGAGTCCCATCACCATACCCCCCAAGAAAACGAAGTCTATACGTCGGAGGATCTTTTTCCTTTCCCTAAAAAAAGAAAGAGGTCTAGAAGAATTGCTGAGCTTTTGATGCATTGAGCTAGGGATTAAGCTGCGGAGGAAGTATGCATTGGGCTATTAGAGGCGTGAAATGTCAAGCTACCGTAGCGTCCCTACGGAGTAGACCGTGGGACAGCTGAGACATGCCTTGGGAAAATGCCCTACGGTAGTTTGTATGTAGCTTACCTACCTAGCGGACGCCGGTCTTGCGGACACGTGTGGTGGCGTCTGTTGGTCGTTTGTTTAGTTCCCACGTAGTGTACGGAGTAGTTCGCTCGCTGGAACTTTGATAACTTTTTTTTACTGATTCACGAACTATAGTTCCTGGTGCGGAGGAAGATAGGTATTGGGGGGAATCATGTGATCTAGCAGTTCAGACGTTCATTCTTTCATTCTTGATCAGATGGATAGATGTTGGAAATTTTTTTTAGGAATTCTATGAACAATCGCGTCTACATTATAGATACCCAGGAATTAACTATTAGTCCCCTTAGCCCAATTCCCTCCTTCTACGTATAGATAGTATCAAAATTTGGGCAGTAGAGACCGGACGAAGAAGCTTTCATGATTCCTTCCTTCCTTCTTTCCTTCCTTCCCCATCACCAGTAGATTCATCTATCTGCTATTGCTTCTTCTTGATACAGAACAGGAACCGATGCGCGAAGAACAGATTCATGCTATCGAGCACCAGCAACGGGACCGCATTATACACATGAAAATCCGAGTCGGTGACGGAGCGGTACGCGAGCGCGCCCGCCAGCAAGCCCAGATACGTGAAGATCCAGCAGAAGGCCAGGATGCGCATGTTGCGATACTTGGTATTGCGATGAGATTTGTTATCGCCGGACGGGACCCAGGCGAGGGCGCGGCCGAAGAGGCGGTCCTTGATAGCGGTGAGATAGGCGTAGGATTGAATCACCATGATGAACTGGACGTTGAGGGAATAACTGGCCTTGGCCCAGAAGCGCAGGGCGAGGAGCGAGTAGAAGATGGACGGGATGGCGAAGGCCAGGTTGTAGTATTTGAAGAACTCGGGACGCACCCAGAGCAGCAGGATTCCTGGCAGCGGGTTGATGAAGATGCTGAGCGAGATGGCGGAGTAGTACATCATGCCCGACATGTAGCAGAGCTTCTGCACGATGCTGAGCTTCGAACGCCAGAAATCTGGGTTCGTGAGGAGCGTCGTGGAGCCCATGCACCAGCGCATCTGCTGCGAGAAGAAGGCCTGCGGCGTGTCGGGACACACGCCACATGCGAGGCAGAGCGGTACGTATTTGACTTTCCAGCCGCGGTTGACGGCGTAGAAGCCCGTGTGGACATCTTCTGAGAAGCCGATTTCTGCAGTGCCACCGACTTCAACGAGGGCTGCGCGGCGGTACACGGCGTTGCTGCCAACGCAGATGGATGCGCCCCATCGGTTGCGGTTGACCTCCACCACGCGGTAGAAGAGCTCTTGGATACCACCCGCGCCTTGCTCTACCCACGTCTGGTCGTCACTGACTCGGAAGAATTGCGGGCTCTGAACGATGGCCGTCTTGTCGTCAGCGAGATGCTGTGGGACAAGTTCCTTCAAGAAGTCGGATCTGGGACAGAAGTCGGCGTCGAAGATGGCAAAGAAATCGCCATATGAACGTGCGAATGTCCAGCGGAGATTCCCCGCCTTCTTCAGCCGCGGCCGGTCGTCTCTGACGCTGTAGTTGAAGCCAAAGCTTTCAGCGAGCACTTTCACTTCATCCATTGCTCCGTCATCCATCACATAGACTTTGATCTTTCCCTCGGGCCACTCGAGCGCCTTGACATACTTGTATGTGTTCGCCAAGATCTCAAGAGGCTCTTTGCAGCAAGGCAGGAATATATCCACCGTAGGGGCATTCTCATCAGTGATGGGATGGTCTTCCAGGATCTTCTTGTGTCCTTCGAAATCGTAATCCTTCCCCACGATTGTGATGGTATATGAAATGATGAGGTAGATCTCGAGAAGGCCGACGAAGAAGCCAAACCAGTAGAAGGCAGGCGAGGTGATGACGAACAGCCACATGCCTGCCGATAAGCTGAGGAAGGAGAAAACTCCAATAACGTAGAGAAAGACCCGATTCATCTTCAGATAGCTGTATTTCTCTTCGTCGTTTGGTCCTGAGGGCAAGATGAGTGGAGCATCTTCCACGGGAGCATATGTGGCTCGAAAAAGCGCATATTGTCTTGCAAAGAATCCCTTCTTCTTCGCTGGGGCAGTTGGCACAGCCATCTCTTGCTTCTCCGGGTCCAGCGCAGCAGGCGCAGCGCCCAAGACTGGGTTCTGGTGGTCATGTTCGACCTTTTCAGAAAACTCCGGTTCCTGTGGTTCGGGGGCAGAGACAGGCAGCTGTAAATGTCAGTTCATGACTATATGCCGGGTAGCCTCTTCAGGGCTCTCAAAAACTCACAATGGCATCCTCTTGGTTAGATCCTGATGTCACCGGAGGCATCGCAAAAGCCACAATTGGGGGCTCAGATCGCAGGTCCTCATGGAGGACCGCTCGCGGAGCACCATGTCGTTCATTCAATGATCCCGAACGACTTGATGAGCCCGAGCTCGAGATTGCCCCTGCATCAGCGAAGGGATTGCGAGTTTCAGAGAGGGGAGTCTGAGGAGTCGAAGACTCAGCGGCATCAGAGGCAGGTGCTCCCAGCTCATTCGTGCCCGCGCGTTCGGCCATGTTGGATATGATTCTTCTGGTGTTGACAGACAAGGACTCGAATTGCTCAGACGGGGCAGAAGGTATACCATCACATCCATATACAGAGGACGCACTGGGGGGTCTTGAGCGCCCAGAACTCCTGCGTTCGTCTGATAATAGACTCAAGCTACCCTAGCCCATCTTGTCGGTCAACATCTTCCTCCCTTGGGCCTCTGCCTCCGTGAGCCATGCGCGCCACGTCGCGCAGAACCGCCCGACTGGGCAAGCTGAAGAGACGTGAGATCCACCCGGCGCATCCATGGCGCCTCCGGAAGCAGCTGGTTGAGGGCCTAGATGTTGCATAGGGCAGATGTTGACTCTGACTCTCTAGGCAAGATTTGTCGTCAGATGAGAGCAAGGCCAAAGGTGCACCCAGTATACTCGAGGGTAACTCTGTAGCCTGTAGGGTAGGGAGTTGACATGAAAAGTGGCCCCTGTCTTTCCTTTTTCGAAAGCTAAATACTAAAACGGACGGGACCAAGGATTATGCTAGGGACTGTTGGCGGCTACGGATTAGAGGGATACTCTAAAAGCGACTGGGTTTCGAAGCTTAGCTTCCGGAGAATTTCCCGCAAGGCTTAGAGGCCGGGGCAAAAGCCTACTGTACAGTACCGGCCCCATGAAGTCTCTGCGGTGTAGGACTGGGTGCATTCTGCCGTGCCAAGAGGTGACATGAAGATCGCGGAGCTGCAATCTAGAGATCCTCTTCAATAATCTCGAGATGCGATACCACGGAGTATGCAGAAGAAGTATGTATGTAGAAGCATGCGGGACTCAGGTGTGTTGGATATGTAAGTGAGGGCGGTCTACAAATCAGTATCAGTATCAGTAGCAGACGGTTCCATGTCCCACGCTGGAGAGCATTGGGGGCAGGGGGGCCATGTACACCATGCATTGCCTTACCGCATCGCCCAGGCGAGCAAGGTAGGCGAGAAGAGACGGTCGGGCCGGGTATGTAAGAAGGCAAGCCGATCAGATAGGGACCATAGCCTCCAGGATAACCCTCGCGAACGACAGTCGGCTGGCGATAACCTAGGGGTGCGACGCCAGGCTGTCACGAACTTCGGCGTTGATCATTCGCAGGAACTTTCCGGCAACCACGTACGGTACTTCGTATGTCTGTAGCTGCAGACTGGTTGACATTCAATAAAACGCCAGAAGGGGTCATCGATCGGCATAACTCAGAATCGGGGAGAGGTCCGAGAGTTAGCTGACGGGTTGAAAATTTGAAGTCGAGAGTTGAGAGTCGAATAGTTGCAGTTGAGCGGCGCTTGGTTAAGAGATATGTCATAAGGGGTCTGGGGCGGTCTGGATCAACGGGAGAAGCCGATTCTTCAAAATAGCATAGTCCAGGCACATTGAAAATCATGTCATGAGAGATGCCATGGGGTGAGAAGAGACAAGTGAGGCTGACGGCTAGCCGTCATCAACAACGGCCTTCGTTACCAAGGGAATGAACAGTGACCACCAGAATACGCCCAGAAAGCGCCCAGAAAACGCCCGAAGAACGCCTCTCGACGCCGCGCGAAATTTTGTGCTCCGTAGGCTTGCAGTCTCAGATAACCTTCGAAGTCTCGAAGTGCACCCCGTACCCCATCCAATCCACGGGTTCCATCCGCCTTACGGGGAATACTAACCAGTAGTCTGCTCCGCCGGAATGCAGGACCGAAGCTAAAAATTCCTCCAATCATTCAATGACTCTTTGTAGAATTCCTGTGTTTTCTGGTCCAGTGATTTGGACTGCGATAGGAATCAGTCCAGGCCTCTCTGAACAAGCCACTGTCGTGTCCCCTTTAAGCCTTTTGCCCTTTGTTATCTGAGCTGCTCTGGACCATCTAGGAATCTGGAATCTGGACCCTTGGCAGATAGGGGGGCGTTCCTGGGGTAGGTCGTTATCGTCATGGGTTCTGAGATATGAGAAGAGTTTTCATTCGTCCGTCTATTCCTGAGTCGATCCCGACCAATGGCCTATCAGGAGTGTTAAAATTGCTTCTCATATTGACGTATCATGCCTATATGATCGCCGTGCTTTTCCTGGTGTTTTCTAGGGATCGCGGAAACGTGGGTTGCCACCCTGTCCCTGATACTGCCCCTGGCCTCAGCATTTACCATACTTCCCCAGCAGTACTCCGTGGCTCCCAATGCTGCCGGCGAATCCTTTGCTCTGCAGTGGCTTACCTATATAGGATAAAGGACGTCGTACTAAACACACGCTATATCATATCCAGTAATAATTGCCCGAGGGTCTTGGTTCCCGCTATGTTTTCGCCTTAAACTTTAACTTTAATCAAAGTTTGCGCCGGCGCCAGTGATCAGCCCCAGGACCCCTAACCTATCAGCCGGTCCTTCGTACCTCCGTAGGGCATAGTTCTGAGTTAGGTCGGTATGTTGCCGGGAACGTGTGAAATCCTCTAGCAAAACTGAAGTAGGGCACTGAGAGAAAAAACGATGCAGAAGACGCTCCCGACGCTCCCGATCCGGCAATGGGCCAACGGGGTTTTCCCAGATCGGCGCCGTGGCTAGCTGATCGATCCCTGTGCGCCGGGATCCTGGCGAGAGCCTCCCGATGAGGACTTGAAGCCAGGGAGCGATGCAGAGTGATTTGACACTTCATACGGACGCAAGTAGTGCACATAGCCGTTCGTCTAAGTACTCGTAAAATATTGTTGAGACCTAGCTGTGCTGCACTGCTGACCCATTTACGTATCGCATTCTGCGAGGAGCCCCTGCCCCCTGCGCTGGCGTAGATCAGATTCCTCAGTTCTCTCGCTATCGTCTTCGTACTCTAAATCTGTCCCGACTCCGTAGATCCTCCTAACCCCCACGACCGATTGGGTTCCTGGATAGGAAAAAAAAAGTACCTTACGTCCCGAGGATGACCCAGCTGCAGATAGTACAGATAGTCGTCACCATCATCACCAGCGCTAAGCTCGGGTTGAATCTTCCAGACGCCTGTGATTTCTTGGGATTGGGCGCGCTGCTGGAGGTGCTACTCGGCGTCGCTGCTGAGGTGGTCGGCTTTGGAGTTCCGGCTTCAATACTCATGTTGAAATTGCGGACGGAGAAAGTCACGTTCGACGTGGCGTGGAAAGTCTCGCTCCCGAACTGTACGACCCCTAGATAGTTGGACTCGGAGATGTACTTTTCCCGCCAGAGATAGTGGAGGAGCGGCGAGATATCGGTATCGAAATTGTTGACATTGGACGACGCCAGCCAGGAGTAAACATATTGGCCGTTGGTATTCGGCCCCATGTACAATGAACTGCTCGTAGTCAATGATAGACTCATATATTCGTGAGAGTGGGGGTCACATACAAGTCTGTATCGTTGAGAGTTTGCGTCGGTGGGTTCGTTATCGAAGAACTGTACCCGATGGGCTTCTTCCCATCAAAAGCGGCAAACCAGATCATAACTTCGTACTGGGGGAGAGTGGTGCTGTCGGCCCGTGTCGGGTCAAGATCTGCAAACATATCGACCACAACGTCAGCTGCGGCAGAGATAGCAGCAAGACTCTTCTTCTTGGTCCGACTTGCAGGTGCCATGGTCCAGGAGGCGCCAATGTTCAAAGCTGAGAGATTGGAGAGCTGAAGCGGCAGCTTTGCCGAGTTCAGATTGATGTTCGGGAACGAATGAACAGATTGCGGGTTGTGGCTCCATTTCCAGGTGCTGTTGAACATGGTGCCGTTGTTGAAGATCTGAAAAGAATGTCAGGATATGGTCGAAAAACTAGCAGGGCGCGATCTACCGTGATACAGTCTTCGCCCGAGCCATCGGCTCCCCATTGATTCGTGCTGACTAGAATAATGGCGATGAGTGGGAGGAACTATTCGTGGATAAACGGTAGACCTACACGTAAATGCACCTGAGGGGGTGGTATAATTCTCGTATTTCCCGCACAAGACCACATCAGACGGGGATGCTGAGGATGCCAAGCCGAACAGAACGGCCAGTTTGAGAATTGAGAGTGCTGGGTACATGGCCAATGGAGTGGGCATCTGTCCAAGGGGGGTTGTATACAAAGACTCAAGAGGGAGAGAAAGGAGAAGAAGATGAGGCTGGCAAGGAGAGGACCAAGACCCATATAAATAGAGGAGATGTCGAGAGAAACTATTCTCCGAACCTTTCACGAGATATTCTAGCAAAATCAGCTCAGAGCGCCGTCGTTGGCTGGTTCTGTAGCTTGCCCAGCCCGCTTACGCGTTGGCTGTCCGCTGCGGCATTCAGTGATATCATCTTGTCTATTATCAATGCCCAGCTGTTGATCCCTCGACGCTGATCAGGAGTGAAGTGTTTCTTCGGAATTTTGCTTGCGAGTCGCATAGTTGTGGGAGTTCTCTCATGTCTTTGGTTGTATTCGTAGCTCGTCGCCTGGCAGGGATAAAGCTCTATTCATTTAGCTCTTCGCTTGAAATTTCGGGGCGACGACCTCCTCCATTTTCCCTTTTTCTTCTCTCTTTCTCCTTCATGCTCTTCATATCTACAACATACGTACGCAGACCAGGGTTACAAGGTAGCATTATTGGCTCATGTCTTCCCGCATTAAAGGACGCTGCCCCAAAAATCTCGGCGCAAAGACAGTCACAATTCATATCTCATGTCGTTTCCTGCCCTCCTTTTTCTGTCCTCGTCCCCATCACCCTCACGGTCACAGCCCCACGAGTCAGGAGTTATTCTTATCATCCCAGTGGGAATGCTTTTCTCCGACAGAGATATGCTTGAGAATGTATGGAATGTACACAGAGAGCCATGAAGGGTTGAATCGTCGTCGAGACAGCTGTTCGGAGCTTATCACCCCAGAAACCATAATCACTAGATTGGCCAAGGCTTGCGTGCAATGTCTGTAGAATGAAAATCTACTGAAGATTATCTACTTACTGACCTGCAAGTACGTTCTAGCAGATGGGCGCAATTGCTTCCTCAGATTTCCATTCGAGCAACGTATCGCATTCTGAAATGGCGATCGAGGGAAGAACGTTCTTCCTTTCGTCATGCCTCTCCCATATCGAACTCTCCTCTATCTTGAACTTTGCATTCCATATGTTCTTGGCTTCCCATATTGTTTTCATCGCCATTCATTATCGTCACCTTGCTGGAAGAGATTCCTTTCTTAGGGGAAACTGGTCTTAGCTCCAAGAGCCAAGGCGGGCCTCGACGGCTCTCATACATGATATACTTCATGACAATCTTACTATCTTATTTCTTTGGTTCTGTTTGAGGACCGATGCGCGGAACCCAACGCTCGGATATACACGATCCCCAAGCGATTGTTTCGAAACACCGAAACATGATAGAGTGGAAGTACGCAGGGTGCTGGATAGAACACTGATGCTTCTGCGATATATATTATTTGAAGATTTTTATCTGATGAAAGCCATGCGTTGTTTGGTGAGAGCAAAACGAGTCTCAGTGATACCACAGGGTCTCATTACTTCCTCATTCACGGCTTCCAGCAATATCTCCAACGTGGGCGGCATTGGTGGGTTCTCAATCTCTGGGCTGCAGAAACCATGCGCATGATAGCAATTCCCCACATTACAACCTTCAACAAAGCAGTTTGCAGCATCGGAATCGGACTTTGAAATGGCCTAAGATTCGAAAACCCGAAGGCAGTACAGTACGCCTGGCCATGAAGGAACCCATTACTCGCAACGACCTCTCCCTCTGCAGAACGATCAAACCCTACTTCGCCAACTTCTTCACAAATCTTCAACCCCTCATCGTTCATTAATAGATGCAAACAAGAGCAAGTGCTCACACGCACGCAGTTGCATCGAAACACAACTCTGCACCGGCGCCCACGACAACTCTAAGCTTTACTGAGCTCAGTGATGCTAGCTACTACACTTGGTACGACCCTATAGATAAGGGTAGGCACACTTGGAGGCCAGAGTATTCGAGGTTCCCTGCCATCTAGTGAAGCAGAGCGTTTATTTCTGAAGTCCTGGTAAACCCTTCAACATAACCCCAGCTCCTGTGTCTTTCACGAAAAAGGTAACGAACAAGACGCATACAACGCAGGACCACATTTATAATACGCTTAGATTTATGGGCAGCGATAGAAGAGGTAAGAAGCGGTCTGGATTGAAACATTTGAGATCCGCGATGCTAATGTGGGTTTGTGACGGCGAATCATGGAGGAAAGGCAGTGATAGACGAAAGATATACCAAAAGCAGCGCCGGCATACGATAATTCATGCATGGGATGGCTGACATAAACATCGGCGCTAGCATCCCTACCTTACCTGACGGTCTTCCCAGGTTCTTCCCATTTCCCAGCAACAATTTATTGAATTAATGGCCAAGCGGTCCTACCAATGTGTATTTTTCAAAACCTCTTCTCTTTCCTTTTCTTCTGAGGCCGAGGTGGTCAGCCTTGAACTCTGAATTGTACACTACGATAGTCTCGGATTTGCCAGAGCGCTTCGGTCAATGATCCAGTTGGCCGCGGCGCAGTCGCCAGAATCACATTCAACTCCGGTACAAGTGAAAGTTCAGTGATTTAAAACATGGGGATCCCACAGCCAGTTTCGAGAGCCTCCAGAATGTGGAGATATGCTTGAGAACTCAGCGGCGATTGAATCCAGCGAATACATGATTTTGAATCATCGACATGGAGGCGATCGTCTCCTCCCCCGACTGCCGGTACTTAAACCCCTTCCTGCCACCCAGGACTTGGAGGTACCAGCGTCATTGATTACGATCCAACTCTCAGGTCCACGTGGAAACAGGATGGAATTTTCTGGCAGGCAACGAGAATTGCTAGAACGTCGGATAGAAGGTGCTATCGGTAGATCCAAATGATGCCCCTAAATTCTGACTATCCCAATTCGTCGGGCGAGACTTCCATGTCCGCTCAACTCCACCTATAGCAGAATCACTTTCAACTCCTGCTCCAATCTATGGTCTCTAGTATCGTTTGTTGCGGTGTGGGGCAGACATCCCGACGAAATGGCTCCTTCTCTGGACATCCTGGTACTGCTGGAGATGAAGATGTCTTCGACTCTCCGATTGCTTACGAACTGTCACGGTTCTCCAACTGGCGATTTCGAACGACCATTGAAGAGCAGCTATGAGCAAGTATCGGCAACCAAGTCAAGGCCGCGGCCTGCCCGCCGCGCGCATTTAGCGGATCTCGGATGATGTGCTAAATAAGGACGTACGAGTCAGTTCTGTTCAGCTCCCCGGACACAGTCAGGGTATTGTGGATTATCTGTTGAAGTTGACTGGGTTTATAGGCTTGTATGCAGAACTACGGCAGCTGAGAGTGAAAAACTTAGAGGCCTCCAAAGCAGGAGCTTAGAACGAACATTGAAGGCTCATGATGGCTAGATTCTCTCGACGGATGGAGATATTGAGATGGTGCGGAAAGTTCTTTCTAATGAACAGACAGCATACTCAGCTCGAAACTGAAAACGGGGAACTCCATGCGAAGTTTACGGCTCTGGGATAGATGGTGAAAAAGAAGGATGGCGACCTGAAAGACTACAGAGTAAAGTCGCGAGCCATGACGGGCAGTGGCTTGGGATGAAATACAAGCACTGTTAAAAATTGCTAATCCTGTCTTCAAGAAGCCACCACGGAGTGAAAGCCAGACAAGCATCTTGTAGACTGTCGCAAATCCGGCTGAACTTACCACACTTACGCTCCCATCGCCATGGAACGAGGACAATGGTTACTTTTTCGATGTCCACGACAGTTTAGACGCCATTCATGACGAATATAACACAGTCCACGAGTTCGTTCAATTATTATGTGGTCCACTCTGTTCTAAGCGCTTAGTCTTCTCTGGCAAGGCATTTGACGGTCATGAACGACATATGCTAGCCCCGGAGGCACTTTTCAGAGGAAAGATTGCAAAGAGGGAAGGCTAAAGTCTCAGGCAAAGTACTGAAGAGCTCCTTGAACCTTTTCGGGTCTTGAATACTTGTAGAGTTGGGTATGCTAAGCGGAAGCACGGATACTGCTATCCCGGTCCTTAAGAAGAGATGAGAGAGACTCAGGTAAGATTTCCCATTTTCCTTCCCTCAAAGACGGCCGCATCACTATGAGGATCATCACCAATCCTGCTTTACTTTTATTTTAGACAGGGATCCCTCACGTGGTTGAAAGCCCTCCAGCCTTATCACGGCTACTTCCGATATCTCTCATGATTTGACTTGCGCGTGGGAATATCATGATAGAAAGCCCTGACTGATCCCCAGTCTTAGTTCTTGATTGAAGAGTTAGAGGAAGATACCGGGATTGCTGAGACGTTTCTCGTCCCTGATCAAGCCGTTGCCGACGCTTGACTATTTGGTAAGGTGGAATTTGCGGGGAAGTACGGGAGGCTATTACAAAAGGGGTGCAAAGCTTGACACAAAGCGCCGGAGGAGAGGACGACATTGTGGGAATGGTTCGGGCCTCTCAACCTCCGATGCGTCAACGGCTCTACAGACCGGGCAGTGGTCAGCTTGGTCGGATTTCTTGAAAGTTGAATCTACACCGATTTGGGACTTGACCCGAGCCGACGTCAACGGTCAGAGCCCCTCGCCTCCACCTTAAGGTGGGTTTGCGAGCGTTAGGTTGTCTGAGAATTCGCATGAAAGTTTGTGCTCGTTCAATAAATGGGGTATATCACCCCTTTTCTCTACACCATTACCATCTTTTCGAGTTGTAGATTCAGCTTTTGTTTCAATGCGCCTAATAATAGATAGGTCTACGCGAACGTTTTTTTCGATCTACCGTTGTACAGCAGAGTTTCGGAGATAAGGTTTCCAGCCTCATATATTCATTTCCATGACATCGGTAGCCTCTTTATCAGCTTCTTCTACCAGCCCGCAGTCGCACAGTCCCATGGCCTCGGGAACGGAGAAGTCAAGAGGAAACTCCTCCGCTCAGCTCGCAGCGGGGGATCCGGGATATTTCTGCATTTTGATCGGATTGATCTAGAACAAGAGCAGCTCCGCCCAAGGCTCCCCGCCCCTCGGTGGAGGTTCCGAAAGCAGGTGGTCCGCCCGCCCCTGCAGCATTCCTCGGACATCATGGTCCACGACATGACCCGGAGATGGCATCTGGAATAAAGAAGAATTGTGGGTTCTTTGATAATCAGAACGACTTTTTTGCTAAGTTACGAAGTGCCCGCCTAGTAGCTTCAGCCATATAATAATGGTCCCGCCAGGAGCGAGAAGAGAGAGGGGCAATCCCTTCCGCGTCCAAGAAACACACCATGTCTCAATCAACATATCAAACCGTCGTGCTGGCCCAGCGCCCTACGGCTAACATTGTCCCCGGCGAGACGTTCAGACTGAAGACGGATCCGCTCCTTACAGAAGCTGATCTGAAAGATGGCCAGGTCCTTATCGAGACATTGTACCTGTCCCTCGACCCCGCCATGCGCGGCTGGTTAAAGGGTGATACCCCTCCCGCACTCACTCCGTGCTTCCAATCCTGACGACGCGACAGATACACGCTCCTACCTGCCTCCAGTGCAGCTCGGCGAGCGTATGCGCGGGGCTGCCATCGGCAAGATCATCGCCAGCAAAGCGGCGTCGTTCGCCGTGGGCGACTATGTTGCAGGCGTGACTGGCTGGACCGAGCTCGCGATTGCAGACGCAACATCCATCACCCGTCTCGAGCTCCCGCCGAACGGCAAGCTGACCGACGCCCTCGGCGTCTTGGGTATGACGGGCCTGACTGCGTACTTCGGAATCCTGGAGGTGGGGAAGGTCAAGGCGGGGGATTTCGTGGTGGTGTCGGGAGCGGCAGGGGCGACAGGCAGTGTGGTTTGCCAGATTGCCAAGATAAAGGGGGCGAAGGTGTTAGGTCTGGCGGGTAGCGACGAGAAGGTGAAGTGGTTGCAGGAACTAGGGTGTGATGAGGCGTTGAACTACAAGGCACCCGGATTCGCGGAGAGTTTTCATGAGAAGACGACGGACCTGATTGATGTCTTCTTCGACAATGTAGGGGGCGAGATCTTGGAGCTTGCGCTTGCGAAGGCGAAGCCTCATGCGAGATTCGTCATGTGTGGTGGTACGCACTCCTCAGTCCTTCAACCTCTGAAAGCAGCTAACCTCGAACACAGCTATCAGCCAATACAACAAAACCATTCCCTCAGGGCCAAGAGTACATCCCACCCCACCACCCTTTAGATCAAAGCTGACATTCCCCCAGAACCTCACTCAAGTCATCGTCAACCGGATAAGGTCAGTTCTCCCATCCACTCCTGAAATCTCCTAACTAACCTGTTCTCCAGAATGGAGGGGTTCATCGTCCTCGATTTCGCGGCGCAATACGGTACCGCTCGCAAGGAGCTTGCGCAATGGCTTGCGGAGGGTAAAATTCAGCGTAAAGAGACGATCGTGAAAGGCGGCTTAGCAGCTGCTGAGCAGGCATTGCTGGGTTTGTTCGAGGGGATAAATACGGGTACGTTATTTTCAATGGATTCGTTCTTCATCCCTCATGTATTCATGCGTGGGACGCGGCTGATAATGAACAGGGAAGATGTTGGTGGAGATTAAGGCTGATGAGGGGTCGGGTTCTAAGCTGTAAGTAATATGGCAGGGTCTGTGATGATGGAACTGGGGATGGGGAATAAGGGGTTTAACGCTGATTATTGATGACGGCCGAGGAGATGGGAATTACGGCGGCGTATCCTTGGGATATATGTATGATGAGATGACAGAAACGACATAGAAACAACAGAACTTTTCTCGCGCCCCTTCTCTCCTTCTCTCCATTTCTAGACAATGATCCGACCCCTTTCACACACAAGCCTTCCTTCGCTTCTCAGATTCAGGGGGTGGTTTCCTGTCGCGTGCTAAAGCCATGAGGGGATCTGCTGATTTTGAAATTAAAATCATACATACATAGATGATGGGTATGTACTATCATATTCCTGTCGCCCAATTGACCTACAGCATATACTTGAAGTAGATATTCTCCTTATCCGTCAGGTCCTGAAACGCGAGTTTATCTCTGTCGACATCATTCAACTCCAGGGTCGCACGCCGGCGGTTCTCTCTCGCCAGCACGAAGTACAACGCGCCAGCCGATACGATCGTTATGCAATAACTGGGACTATATTTAGCTAGAAGCTCATCAAAAGTCGTGGATTAAGTTCAAAGGGGGGGAAGACTCGACTCACCAGATAATCAGACCGAGCCACAATTCCGGATAGTGGCGAGATTTGGTCTCGGACTTGATGAGCTGTGGGCCGACGATATTACCGACGCAGTACGCGACGAAGATGGTGGCGGCCATGAAGCATTTCTTGGTCTGGCCAGCGACATTCGCCATGCCGACAGTGATGATCAAGCTCACGACGGGGCCGAAGAAGCCGATGATGGAGTAGCCGGCGACGGGGGACGCGGCGTGGTGATGCCACGAGCTCCTCCAGATGAGGGCGCAGCCGGCAAGGACGGGCAGACAGCAGAGCACCAGCAGGATGATGCGGATGTTCGGGACGCGGCTGCAGAGGTAGCCCGTCAGCAGGATGAAGATGAAGCAGATGCCGCCGAGCGGGAACTGGAAGACGATGGAGTCCAGCGTCGAGTAGCCGAAGGTGCTGACGATGAGCGGGCCGAAGCCGCTGACGGCCCCGTTCACCGTGTATGCGGATGCCATCAGCAGGAACACGAGCAGGATCTTGATGTCGAGGAGGGCTTCGCGGATCTGCGCCCATTTGAATGTCACGCACCGGATTCCCGTCTGGCCGTATCGCAGGCGTTCGGTGGCAACGACGCGCTCCTCGGGAGTCAGGAACCATGCGGACACGGGGGAGCTGGGGATGGCGAAGCAGAAGAGCCCGAAGATGAAGGTGAGTGAGCCGGCCAGAAGGTAGATGTATTGCCATCTCTTCAACGAACCTCCGGTGATCTGCCCAAAGCCATAGTTGATAGCGCCGCCGATGATGGTGAACAGCCCGGTGGAGGAGAACCACCAGCTCTGTCGCAGCGCTTGTTCCTTCTGCGTGTAGAAGGAGCTGATGATGCACATATAGGCGGTCGGGATAATGCTCTCCACAAAGCCCAGGAAGAAGCGTTGCGCGAAGAGGCCGCGCCAGCTCGTCACGGCTGCGGTGAGCATACAGATCAGAGCCCACAGACAGACCAAGCTGCCAATGATGCGGCCCATGTTGAACTTCTGCAGCGCGAAGGTCATGGGATAGAGGCCTGCCAGCATTCCAAAGTAGAACATCGACGTTGCCCAGCTCAGGCGGGACGTATCCTGGGATGGAGGATGCGTGCTGTAATCCAGCGTCGTGAGGGAGAGATCGCTGGTCATGCCGAAGAGAACGGCAGAGCCTAGGATGGCCTGCTCTGATTAGCAATTTGTTTTGCATCCATTTGCTTTCCTTTCAGACATACCTTACCTTGTCGTAATACACCAATCCATACCCAAGAGCCATCGCGGGCACCAGAAACAGGTCGATCTTGCGCACGACTCGCGCCTCGACCGCGGGGTCAATGGCATGGCCCTGCTCCCCCACTATCGTGATGGCGATATCTTTGTCTTTATATTCCGCCGCGGGACTGGCAGCACCTTCAATATCTGTAGCTGCATTGGGAATTGATGCAGATTTCTCGTCAGCGACAGTGAGGGAAGCCATTCTTCTTCTTTGCTTTTCCTGGTTGAAAAGGTGGGGTCGGTCCGGACCTTTATCCAGGTCTTCGTCCCCGGTTTTAAAGTGGGCGGTTTAGACTTTCTCCGCTTTGGTTAAATTAAACTTGCACATCTTTCTCGTGTCGATTAAGCTTAATTCTACACGGTAAACTCAGGTATCACTTGTATTGTAGTTGTCGGGAGCTGTGGGTAGGCTCTCTTATATACACCTGTATTTCGATATTGATTTCCTGTACGTGTGCCACACTATAATTAGGTACAAGCAAGACCTGAACCTAATGCTTTGCATATTCATTGATTCTAAATACACAAAATCGATAATTATGTTCTTTGGCAAGCATTGCAGAGTATGACAGCTAGGAGAGCGAAGGCAGAAGAGAAGGGTGTAATAAAGATACATGTACAAGTGTAAGATAATTCGCTTGAACCTGTCCTTCTTACTTCTCCTACTCTAATTCCTATAGCAGAAGACAATCATTCCTACAAGCCTCGTTATTCAAATCCCAAGACTAGATCCCTGGTATTTTAATAGACTTGCATATCCCTCTTTCTGCTATCATTATCCCAGTAAAATACTCTTCCCCTTCTAATTTCACAGAATCCAAAACCATAGAACATGGGCAATTGACCTATTAATACCCAAGTCAGTTTTATACCAGCTGTACAAAGATCGATCCTCTTAAGATTTTTGTAATAATGTACAACAAAACAAGACCTCTTTTGTCTCTCCTGTTACGTAGCAAGAAAAAAAAAAACAAAGATAAGTTTTGTTACACATTACAAAATCTTTACAAACTACCTCTTCTATACAAAGGCCTTTAAGCTGTACAAAGATCCCTACAAAGATCCATGATGTACAAACAACAAAACTCATGCCTACCTATCTATCTCAAACTTAACAAAAGCTAGGTATGTAAAGAAGTTTTAAAGATTTTACGATGTGCAACAAAAACGCATCTTACGTACGTGAGAAACTAGATTTTTGTCGCACATCGCAAAGTTCTTTGTAAACCTACCTTAAAGATTTCGCTGTACAAAGATCTTTACAAAGATTTGCGATGTGCGACAAAACTTCTGTTTTCACGTGAGGAGCCACGTGAGAGGAGAGAATAAACCAAAGGTAAGGTAAGTTTTGTCGCACATCACAAAAACCTTTGTAAGATCTCTGATAGATCTTTGTACAGCTTAGGTAAAGTCTTACTTTGTATAAAAACAAGTCTAGGTGCAAAGATTTGTCTGTTATATCACGTGAAAAACAGAAGTTGTGTCACACATTACAAACTCTTTAGTAGCATCTTTGTACATATTTGTAGAGCTGTTAAAGTACCTGGTAGGTAAGGTAGGTGGCTGTGATGTATAGATGATGGCTGGGACAATTTATGTACTGGGACAACAACTCAGGTACAAAGAGTTTATAATACCTATCTACCTAGGTACCTTGCGTACCTGCTAAATCACAAGCTCACTCACAAGCTCACTCACAACTCATCCTAGACCTCTCAATATATTTTGAATATCAATCATACAATTACTATCCTCCTCTCATGAAAGGTTAAGGTACACTTGAAACACAGCCATTCGTCAGATCATCCGCCCTCCTCCTATTTCACTTTGCATTCTTTGGTTCTCTGCCTCGCGGCTACCACTGAGTGCGCAACCCCCGTTCTTCCTCATCTCAATTCAGTAGTTTCAGTTAATATTCATGAATGCAATTGTTCTTCCCTCTGATCCCCACCAGCCATACATGCATGCCGTTCCCAAACGCCAATACCAGACCTCTCTTGTCCCTCGTAGTACACGTGCGACTGAATCCGAAATTAAGTAGGTAATGCAACCCGAACCCCGTCTCTGCCAGCCCATATACACTTCCCAGTCACTCAGAAAACGAGCGTGAAGCCAGGAAAAGACTGGATCTCGAGATGGCTGAATCGAGTGACTGTCCTGGGAACGCCTATCCTTCTAATACGAGTTGCTTTTTATGTAAATCTCCACCTCTTTCCCCCGTTTATGATGTGGTTACCGTTCGATGCTCTCGGGACTCATCATACCCACGGCAGAAGCATCATCTTTTTCTGTCTGGCTGACATTGCCTTGACTACTCTCCACACTCTCCATAGATACCGCTCCTCCGTTCGGTAAGCTCGGCTTCAATTTCTTCGCCGGTGTGTTGGCCGGTGTGATGGCTTTGGAATTCGGGCTACCGCCGTTCACGCCAGTTTTGGGGCCAGAAGCTGGATCTATGACCACACCGTTTTCAAGCTTTTTCTTTTTCTTGGCGTTGCCCCCCTGTTCTTTGATGGGCCGTTTGCGGGGACTGGTGATCTTGCCCGTTGGGCCGAGACGAGGCCGGGACGGACGTTGCTTGACCGGCAGCTCTTCATCTTCCAGCAAAGGCTCATCATTGTTTGCGTGCAATTTCGCGAGGAAGAAGTTCCTAACAAGGCCGATTTGATCTTGGAGGTTTTCCTTGGTAACCGGCTCCAGGGGAGGAAGAGGTGGGAATATTTCGGTCGTCGGCGCCGCTGCGACAGGTCCAGCGTATGTATTGTGCAGTCTGGTGTTGATAAGATGTAAGGGCACAGACAGACTCGACATTCCGAATTCAGCGTCCAAGCCAAGCGACCTAAAACCGAAGAAATCTTCACCTAGTTCTTCAGCGAAATCACCTCCCACGAACTGCTCACTGCCGTCGTCGAAGGCTCCAGATCCATCGGGTCCTGCATCTGTTAGAGCAGGACGCAGGAGGTCCGAGAGATGAGCCTTCATGCGCTCGTGCATGACGCCAAGTTTGCCACCAAGTCGCTCGACATCATCCTTGACATAGCTTTCGAGGCTCTCAATGTCGAGACCGTTTTCGTTGAGACTATGGAGGAGGATTTCTTCATTCGTGAAACGTTCCTGAAATCTCTTTCCACTCTCGGGATTCGTTGCTGGTACTTTGGGAGCTTCGCGGTAGACATTGAACGTCCGAGCAAGCTTTCCAAAGAAATCCCCAGCAATATCCGTTATGACGTCTAACGCGGAAGGCTGGAGTTCTTCGAAACCGGCATGGTAACAAAGCTTAGCAACTGACCGCGATAACGCAGCCTTGCAAACCCAAGTGGACATTATAGGTCCATCGTCAGATGTAACGTGAGGTTCAATATCCGCCTCAACGAATGGCTCAGGCTCATACTTAGGAAACTGATTATTGTACATCTAAGGAAATGGTTAGTGGCGGCGTACGATGGAACTACTGTTATCAAGACATACCTGCGCTTGAAGTTGCATCTGCTTTATGACGCCAATCTTAGAGCAAAGCTTCCTCGTCTCCTGCATCTGCCTCATATTTGCTTCAACTTTTGCAGTCAGAAAGCTTTTGGGTGCGGTGAAGTGGCCGGGAGGGACAACGCGGAGGCATTCTTCTGCCCTATCGATGACATTGCCCTCAGCATCTTCCACCCACTGGAGTCGGGCAGGGATGTCGGGAATAGCTGATAAGGTATCATAATAGTCAGGGAGAGCTATCTCGTCTTCACCCTCCATTCTCTCGGCTAATGTCTCCTGAGCGGTGTTCTTGACTGCACCGTCTGAGCGTGGGGTTTCCTGGGCTTGTTTTTGTTGACGGAGCCACCTCCTCATACCAGCTTTGGTTCGAAGTAAAGCGGGCTCATCAGGATTAAGTCTGTCGCCTTTGAAAAGTCGATTGCGTTCCTTTGCTACTAAGGCACGATCTTTCTTCGTCACTTGTTTCCAGATCTTGTACTCTTCATCTTCTCGAACATCGCTCTGGCCTAAAGACAGCCCGTTTATCGACGGCCCGTCTAGATCCATTCCATCAGCTTGGCTGCCAGGTACGCCGGGCATACCAGCAGGGGTTACAGAGTCATGTCCTCCAACTGGCGGCGTTCCAAACCCATTGCTGCCATCGATACCGGCATCTGAGCCCTCCGGACCGAGGTTGCCAACGAGACCATTAAGCTGAAGTGTCGGCTTCTGGTCCACACCGGGCGTCCCTTCTTCGCGGCCCGGAGCATTCTTCCGTGCCTTGGAGGATCCCTTAGCGCCTGTTTTACGTCCTCTGGAAGACATGATGGGCTCATCGTCACTGTCGTCCACTGCATCGTCTTCGCCACCATTCTGCTTCCGGCGCTCTTCAGCCTCAACCTCTGCACGAGGTCGGATAACCAGATCAGGAATCAGAGGGACTAGCTTCTCCGCCTCCTTTCTCATCGCATTGGCGTTGCGCCGTAACGGGTGGTTCACATCCGCATTATACTTTAGGCAATTGGACCAGATGAGGTCGAGGTCAGCAACAAACTCCGCTTTTGACTTGTATGTGAGCGTCTTGAGCTTCTTGGTCATAGTCCCAAGATCCATGGGGTGTTTGATAACTATCTGATGTTAGCTGCTGTAAATTGCGAAGAGGCTAACTAGGGACGTACTGTTATTGTAGTCAGGGGCTTCTCTCTTGTTCACCCGCGTCAGAAAGGGAGCAGAGTACTCTGTCATCGCCTTGAGTTCACTCAAGACCTTCTCGGCAGCCTCATAAAGCTCCTCCTGGTGAACGTTCTCTTCGCTTGCCCATTTACTCCTATTCTTCCGGACCTCGTTCATCAAAGACCGCAGCTCAGCATCTGATGCCCGGACCTTCTCGCGCTTCAGGTCAATCCGTGCAATGAGATGCTTCAGCGTCAGGCTTGATGCGCCCAGGTTGGCACTACTCAATGTACCGTGGTGCTCGCCGTTAGCGTTCCCATTACTAGTATTGCCATTATTATCCATCTCCGCATCGATTTGCTTCTCGGATTCCTCCAGCTTCTGCTGCTCCAGCATAGCAATTCGATCATTCTCCAGCGTGTAGAACAGGGTGTGGAAGGAGCGCTTGGCGGCCTCCTCAGTGGCCTTCTTTGCCTCCTCCAGCTGTTTTCGCGCGTCTTCGGATGACTTGGGTTGCTCCTGCGATGCATCTTCCTTCTCCGACTCGCCTTGTTTGGTTGGAGAGACATCGGACGAGACGGGAGAACTGCGTGATTTCGAAGGAGATAAGAGGGCGTTGTTGCCCTTGCTCTTGAGCGGGGACGCTTGCGCGCCATCTTCATCGTCTTCGTCGTCGTCATCGTCGTCGTAGTTATCTTCATCAATCGTTCGCGCCGACTTCTTGGGGGCTTGTTCTTTGGGTCGCTCGGCCGCGTTGACTTCATCGCCCAATTGACCAGGCTGCGCCAAGTCGTCCTCGCGCGGAGTCTGCTCGTCGGCACGGCCGCCCCCAAACAGCGCGGCTATCTTGGCCTCGCTGCGCCGGTAGAGCTCCTTGAACAAGGCCCGCTGATGCTCGTCCTCGTCCGAATTGTCTCCATCATATGGTACGGCGGCCGGTTCAGCCACTGTGGCATCGTCGAAGAGATTGGGGGTATGCGATCTGGTCGGCGTCGCGTCGCGCTGGAGAAAGCTCTTGCTGGGATGCGCCAGGTGAGCTGGAGGGAGCCATGATTGCTGACCGATGGGAATGGTTGGGCCAGAGGGACCAGGTCTCGACGACATCTCCCCCTCCCATACGCGCACGAGCGCGGAGACGAGCGCGGAAGGATGGTAATCGCGACAAAGCACGAAGCCTCGTAAAAGCGTCTGCTCGTCCTCAAAGTGGCCTCTAATGAATGTCCTTCATTGGGGCACCCCGTACCGCGGATTTCCGATGGTTTCTCGATGGGTTGGCGTGCAGGCCGTGATGGTGAAGTGCTCGACTTTTTGGTATGCGCGAGCGGTTGTCGTCGAGAATGGGAAGGGAAAGCGATACTAGCGGAGCCGCTCTCCAGACACACATAGGAGCACCATGGGGGTTGATCGAGGGGCAATCCGGGGGAACCCCAAGCACCAATAAATCCGCAAAATCGAGGCAATCGACAGAGGAGGGTTATTCTGCAATATCTACAACAATGTCGACCGTCTCTTTGCCAGCTATTATTCTTGTGCAATTCTCAGCGCTCTTCCCGTCCTCTTCGCCAGTCCCTGGCCTCTCCTCCGCGCTCGTCCCAGCCGCATTACGTGATCCCCTCGCTTCGAGTTCGGTCACGTGCGCCCCTCCCAGTGAAGCGCAGCTCTGGAAACAGTGGAAACGAGAAACGAAAGCTTCTGCTGTGAGCTCCACTGCAAGAAAACACGAGGATCAATCTCTTCCCCCCCGACTCTGATGACTGCGGCGCTCATTGGTTAAGGTACCAATTGCTTCTGCTGCCACTATGCGCGTAAGGCTGCCCTTTGCCGGTTCGTCGCTCTCCTCCTGTCCAGCCTCGTCCGGCCCTTCCAGCTAACTAACGTCTTCCTCTCCCCCCTCTAGGAGCCTTCCTCTCCCTGCTCGCAATCGCAGGCTACGCCGGGCTGTCCGCCATCCAGGTCGACGCCGTGATCAACGACAAGGTCCTGCACTGCGTCACCTTCTTCATCCTGACCACCGCCTTCTACTGGATCCTCGACACCACGCGGCGCCGCACCCTCAACCTCACGCTCGTCGTCTGCACGCTCGTGCTCGGCATTGGCTCCGAGGTCCTGCAGGGCCTGCTCCCCAATGGCCGGGCCTTCGACTTCTACGATATCGTGGCCAACCTGGCGGGCTCGCTGGCGGCGCTGGGTCTGAGCACGTGGTACCACACCCGGATGCTGGAGCGGAAGCGTGCGAGACGATACCAGGCGGTGCCCGGGGACGAGGAGCGGGATGTGGAGCTGGGCGAGGGCGTCGTCGGGGCGCAAGAGTCCGGCATTACGAGTGTGGCCCCCGAGCCGACGCTGGATGAGCAGGTTGATAATTGGGACGAGAATGCGGAGGATCCTTGGGATGAGGACGACCATGCTACGGGGACGGATGAGGCGGATGGCCGAACCCCCAGTGCCAGCAGTGCTGGTGATGTGGATGGGGAGCGCAAGAAGAGAGTGGACTGATGTGCTACGATATGATGGATTTGCTAGGCGTTGGATGGGGTTCCATTTTGCAAAGGGGCTTGGATGTCATTGTTTCAGGAATATAGGCCACTCCAGACTTTTAAAAACGAATAAGGACCATGTCACCGTCTTCATAACACCGTTGATGTGTTTGATATTTAGCTCGTGCAGCGGTGATCGTGAAAGTTCACATCAATGGATTCCCCCTCTTGCTCTACCTAGCATACCCGCTCATTCAAAATCTGCTTGTTGGCCGTATAAATAGATTTTACAATCCCTTCCCTTATTCCCACAACGAGTCCACGAACCCGATATAATTCCAGCCCACCACTGCTACGTCCCATTTCAGCATCTTCTTTTCATTCCGGAATCCAAAATAGCCCTCAGGACCCCATCTGAACTTTTTTTTTTCTTCTCTCGAAGTGAAGGATCTGCCCCAGGTACCATTGAAAGAGGGACAATGTGCGCTTTTCTATTTTTAATAAGTTAATAAGATACAAATAAAACATGGTTTTGCTACTGGTTTTCGAGAGAGATGGAAGATTGAAGGAGAGGGGGAAAAAAGAAAGAGGTGGAGGGGGGGGGCTTTCTAATTTTGACGACGTCTTGTCTCACTTAGAGGATTAAGCCTACAGTATTCACAGCGGCTGGCGGATTCTTGGATATAAAGGAGAAGAAGATGAAAAGGGAAAGCTCCTCCTTCGACAGTTCGAGATGGGGAATACCTCTGTTCCGAACTTTTCTATTTTCGAGACTTACGAGATATCATCGGCATAGCCGTTAAAAGTTCAAACCACCAACCTAGTAGGCTTTGCAGTCCCAGTTTAGAAATATTGTATCATTTAGTTCTGTACTCACAACTAGTACCTACCACCCACTAGAGATCGCAATGTCAGCATTTCTTCGTGGAAAGAGGAGGGGAAAACTCGGGGATAGAATGAACAAAGAAAAGAGAGGGTGAGGGGTTCCATACAAACTCTCGTCGTGCCACCAAACCTCCCGACCTTTCATCACCCAACTACCGACATGTTTCCTCAGCTCCCTGGCCATTTCTGTCGGCCCGCAAACCAAAACAGCAACCCGTTCTTGGTTGCCTGCCCTGAAAACATCATCCACAATCTTCTTCAGGTTCGGCCTTTCTTTCCCGCCACTAGGTTTTAAAGGCTCTTTAACTGCTTGCAAATCATCCAACTCCACGCTTCCATCAGCCGGTTCGTCATGTCGCCTATCGTCTGCGCTACTCCTTGTTAAGTAAATCTTAACATGCTCATCATCTTTCAACGAACCATTCCCAGTGGTTTCAACGGCCCAGAAAGCTTCGGCAGCTGAACGCATAGACCAGATGAATGTCAGTCGATCCGGACTCTTAGAGTCACTTTCTATCTGGTCCCGTAGGTCGCGGTAGATAGGCAAGACAAAAGTAGCACCTACTCCACCCGCGACTAGGAGAATCCTGTCGTATTTTTCGACCAAGTTGGGGAATTTGCGTGTGGTTCCGTAGGGGCCTTCGATATTGATTGGAGGTCTAGCTTTGGAGAGTCCAGAGAGTGTATCGAGAGCCAAGGTTGTAGGGCCGTGGAGTGAGCGTAAGATGAGGGTGACATCTGTTGATGAGACGTCGGCGATCGTAAAGGGGTTGAAGAGAAGGTTATGGATAGATAGAGGTGACTTGTTCGGTGGGACACTTTCTGGTGGAATCGACAGATAGACATGTTGACCCGGAGCAGCTTTGAATCTTGGAAGCTTTGACGCTGGAACTGGAACCTTCAAGCTGAGAAGCTTAGTGTGAGGGATTTTAGCAATTGTAGCAAAGCCGGTCACAGTATCAAGCTTCCGGCAAACAATATCGAAGACAAACAAGGCAAGGGCTTCGACCGTGTAGAGGCGTAGTTCTGAAGCATGAAAGAAGAGGAGTGGCAGGACCGAGACGCCGATTATGACATGGAACACAAAGAACACTCGATAGCTCCAACGTCTTATGGTTTCAAGACTCGTCGTAGCAAGGATTGTGATCATCAAAAAGGCCACGATCCCAATGATGACAACTAAGGCAGTGAGACGCTTGTAGAGAATGCCAGCTTGGACAAAAAAGTTGATGTACCAGATAGCATGATTGAGTAGAAGAAAGTAAATGATTCTTCCAGAAAGTCGATGCCAGGGGTTAAGCTGCTCATGTGACGACTGGAACACGAAAGCAAGAGGCGAGTAGAGCGATTTCATGGACAGCGCATAGTGGAGGGGGAACTGTGAAGCTGCAATATGACCAAAGCGTTTGGTTATATGTAGATAGTCTAGAAGAACAAATTAGTGATGGCTTCAGGGAGTCCCAATGCAAAGTAAGGGTACATGGAGGATGACATGGGGGGAAGGCCCAGTGGTCAAGGCCAATGGAAGGATTTCCAAATGAGCAAAAGACATACCATCCCCAGTCTTATGAATGCAAAGGAACAACAACCAAGTCGTCCAACACCCTGCCGCAATCCAGTGACCCCTTAATCCCCATCCAGGCGCAACCTCGCCCTGCAGCCACCACAATGTGGTTCTCCACTTTCTCACGATAGTCGCCGAGGTGGTATGTCTACGTTTCTTGGCCACCGGGGAACTTGGAACCTCTGTGTACTTGACTCTGGGTCTCTGCCTCTCAGAGTATACCCATGCTCCTAGCCGGTACAATTGATAGGCTAGGATGGGTATCAAAGCGGAGAGCTGAGCGTATACTCCGTATCGATCTAGGAGCAACCGGCGCTCATGTCTTTGCTCGGCAGTGAGATCGACCAGATGGTAAGGCCAAGTCATACTGCAGTGGAAGCGGGGATGAGATATTTTTGGATATCAAGTTGAAATCTGCAGGTTGGCTCAAATGGTGAAAAATGAGCAGCGATTCTGTCTGATCAGGAAATGCGGAGAATCCAGGTCAGCTCAAAGCATTAACATTGTAAGGTTTTGGTTTGAAGATAAACTCTTGTCTTCATTGGAGTTCCACGAGGAATTGATCTTGAAAAGTGTCCAACCCGGGAAGCCGTATATCACTCGGTAAGCAGTTACCCCAAAGGGGTTTAGCATTCCAGTGCCACACCCTTCGCGCCACAGTGGCTTCGCGACTCCTATCTCACCCCTTTTGCCTTCTTCTCAAAACTTCTCGTGCAGGGTTCCATTAGTAGATATTGGTAATATTGATATTGATTCGCTGAGGGCGACCTCGCGTTTGAATATGAACTATACGCGGAAAGCGTATTATTCATGAGATTGGATTGGTGACAGGGCCGTGGTAAAGCGTGGTAGCGAGCGCTGCTTTCCAACCATTCAGGATCATGTTCATCATCCAACGTTGGGTTTTTGGTACATTTGTAAAGACAAGGAACTGATCAGATTGATCCGCAGATGAGGATTCCATAGTTGGTTGGAAGGTTGACGTTGATATCAATGTTGAAAAAGGCAATTGACGACGGCAATGTCTTAGTAAGTGGGAGAAAGGATGCGGAAAGGCTGTTGTACTTGTAGGTTTTTGTACTTCCTGTTTTACACTCGTAAATCCGGGGACTCCTAGTTGAATTGTAGGTCACCTTATCCATCCTGAGATGTTCTGGCCACGATATGGAGCACAGTATATGAAAAAGCTTGCCTTCTCTCCTTTCCCATAGTCGCGTCTCACTCGCGTAAATCCGGCAGCATTCGAAACGACAGACTTGAAGACGGAGGATTGCTTACTGATTCGCCCTTTTGCTCTGCTTGACGTAGAAACGGGAAAAGTCTTCGACGTCGACCAAGGATGGCGCCGAGGCACCTTTGGGAGATGAATCTGCGCGTTTCTGCTGGACTGAGGTGCCAATACCTGCAAAGCTGCTCGTCCGTCTGCACCAGCTCTCCTCCCGCCCTCCGCTACTCCTCCACCACCACATCCCCATCCCCACCACCGACCAAAGCCCCCTCCAAAGTCAACGGGCCAATCTCGACCCTCCCAGCCCCCCTCGCCCTCCCCGTCCGCGCAAAGGACCAGCCCTTCTTCCCCGCCTACGCCCTGGCGCTGGGGAAAGCCTATCTCGCATTCTACAAGACCGGCGTCAAGCACATCTACACGAACTTCAAAGCTGCGCGCGCTGTGCAGAAACACCTCGACGACGCGCATGCCTCGTCGCTGAAAGCAGCCGTTGACGCGGGCGCGCTGACCCGCAGCGATTTCCAGCTGCTGGTCCGGAACTGGCATGATGTGAAACGGGTGCCGGTCTTCGCGCTCGTCTTTGCGGTGTGTGGGGAGCTGACGCCCTTGGTGGTCGTCGCTGTCAGCAGTATTGTGCCGTGGACTTGTCGCATTCCTAAGCAGATCGAATCTGATCGGAGGAGGCTGGAAACGCGACGTGCTATTTCTTTCCGGAACCTCACCTCTGCCCCACCTGAGAAAGGAGGCGTAGATGGCCTCGGACGAATGGAGTTGCTGCATATAAGTTGGAGTCTGGGGCTTAGTAGTAATCTGTGGGATTGGCTTGGCGGACGATTACCTGGGTTGCCAACCTGGGTGTTGAGACGGAGAGTGGCCAGACGGGTCGAATATCTGAAGATGGATGATGAGCTGATAAGGAACAGTGGAGGAGTCAAGGAAATGGAGGATGAAGAGTGTAGGATGGCGTGTGTGGAGCGCGGTATTGACGTCCTGGGACGGTCAGATAAGCAGGTTAGGGCTGATCTGGAGGCGTGGTTGAAGAGTAGCCAGATGGTGAGCGTGGAGAGGTTGTTACTCACACGGTAGGCATGCTCCTTTATTACCTTCGAAACGTCAAAAGGAGGGTAGGATACTAATGCACGATAGACCATCTGTATGGCCAATAGGTGTCACTGAAAATTCCAAACAAGGCACGATTCTATAATTTGTCGGATCTCTTTTCTTCTATGTACAATTTTGGTATACTATCATGGGGTATAGAGCGGCGTTTGGAAAGTAAGGACGGAAAAGTCAATCTTGTATCATAGACCCCCAGACCCGTATCATCAGCATAGGACATGACATGCAGCCTCCCAATGAATCCACCAGATAATGTAACACGTATGCCCTCCGTAACGCCCCTTTTTCTTTGTAAAAGCCCCGCGCTTAGAGAACTCCAGATATTCCCAGGGAAAGAAGAAAGGAAAGAAAAGAAAATCACTGCCGAAATCTAGCAAGCTGAGCCATAATATTCTGAACTTGCTGTGCAGATTGCTGAGGCTGTGCTTGTTGTTGTTGAGAAACACCGTTTCCTAGCAAAGATGACAGTGCCGGGTTTCCTGCAAGGCTAGCATACGGATCCGGAGTTGGGGGGTAGGTCTGCTGGGGCTGCTGGGGCTGCTGGGCCTTGAGACCACCTAGTAGTCCAGCAAGATCGACCGCCGGATTTGTCGCCATTGCAACAGGTGCAGTTTGTTGCTGAGGTGCACTCATACTGCTAAGAAGCTTCTGGAGCGTGGTGTTGTCGAGTTGGCCCACCAAGTTTGCCAGGTTGGGAGCAGCTGGTTGGGCGGGAGGCGGCTGGTAAGCTTGACCTGTTACGAATCCAGAATCATACGTAGGCTGTGCTTGCGCAGAAGCCGAAGCATTCTTTGCACGGAGAACAAGCTCAGCAGCAATCTTGGGCTCTAGGTCTTGATACTCATCAAATCTGACATTGTCGGTACCTTGACGATCGAATACTTGGAGTGAGATCTTGCTGCTGTTCTGTGCTCTCATATCCAGCTGCGAAACGGCATGGACACCTTCAAGGATCTGTCTTCGGATGACTGTCTCCAGAGGTAATCGTGAACTGAGGAACATGATCTCAACCTTCAGACCACGAGCCGCTAACTCGCCTTCGACCCAATTGACAAATCCTCGATCCAATTGGTCCATAAGAATAATCTGAACATCGGGGACATTGGGGGGTTCTCGCCGAGGTATCTGAAGCTCCGCATCCTCGCTCGCCTCACGTCGTCTCCCGTTCGAAGGTCTCTCCCGATATCTATTATCCCGTTGGCTGTATGGTGACCGCGATCGACTGCGACTGCGACGCCTGTCACGTCCATCATAAGAATCTCGGCCTCCGCGAATTCCATAGTCGTCCCGGCCACGGAAATTGCCCCGGACTGGCGAGGGCGATCTTCCAGGTCGGTAATCATCACGCCCTCTCAATATCCTGCCATATTCATCTCGGACAGGTGCGTTGGAGCGAGAATCGTAGCGATCATGACCCCGACCAGGCTGCCCCTGCCGATTACCTCCTGTCCCTCCCCTAGTATAATCTGGAGAGCGCGATCTTCCAGCCGCCGTAGATTGCGCGTTCCGGGTATTCTTTTGTGGTTTTGATATTTCGAGATCTGAGAACTGTTAGCGCTGATGAGTGATACCTCACTGGCAAGCTGGACTTACGCATTCTGCGTCCTCTTACTTCTGCGCCCTGTTCACGAGCTAAAGCAGTATAGCATGCAGCGCTGTCATGAAATTGAACAAAACCGTATGCTTGTTTGATTGCAACCTGAGCAAGACGACCATATTTGTAGAAGACGTGGAAGATATCTCGTTTAGTAACTTTGTCCGATGGAAGATTTCCTGTTTGTTCAAGTTAGAATACTTAATTGCAAGTCCTAGATTAATTGCTTACCTATGAACAATCGCGAACCAACAGGGAATCGATCCCACTGTCCCTCTGTTACGTAGGTTCGCTCCTCGGCCAGAAACTCGTCGTATAGCTTCTGAATCTCAGGTCCCCATCGCGCATCGGCATCACTAACATCCCCAGATAAGTCAGACCTGGTCGACCCATCCTGCCCGGGTAATCGAGATGTCTGTGGGTATGCGCCTGGGCTGACAGGGCTGCCAGTAGATGGGGGAGGCTGACGGAAGGAGACGGTGGGAGGAGGGGGCAGTCCATTTCTGGGATCAGTGTATGTGCCTGGAGCACCAGCAGCAACAAGAGGGACGTTTACGCCGGGAGGTGGTTTATACGTATTGTGCGGTTGGGAGAAGGATGCAGCTCCTGCATGATACTTGGATATGTCATCGTGGTAGTTTGGACGTGGAAGCTGTGGGCGTGGTGGAAGGCTGGCATGAGCAGGGAGGCCGGTGCCAACTTTGGGGAGGGAGACATTGCTAGGATTGGCAGATGGAGGGGTGTTGAGAGCAGAAGCCGCTTCATTCTTCTCGGCATTCGCAGTGATGTTGTCCAACAATTGCTGAATGTCTATTTCGCCATTTGAAATCTCCTCATAGATAGGGACGGTGGGTTTGGTCGTCTCAATTCGAGTCTGGGCAGCAGTATTTTCAGAAGAATTGGGAGCTGTGGCATCAACAGCTGGCATATGGGTGGGGATGGAGTGGGACTGGGGAGCTCCGGCGTCTGGGCCAAGCTGCGGCGTGTCGATGGGAACGTCGGGAGAAACAGTAGAGGAGACTGATACAGAAACAGGTAAAGGCTTGCTCTCTTGCTCCCCACTCCTCTGCGACAATTCCTGACTATCTGAGTGTTCTTCCCCATCGGTATCAAAGGTCATCGCATAGTCATCGCTGACGGTGTCTTGATTGACCATCCCGTCTTGTTTTCCATCTTCTCCATTCGTCTCCTCTTTGTACGCGTCGGAAAAGCTCGAGTCAGCTGGAGAGTCGGGAGGGTTGGCTGATGCTATGGGATCGAAATTGGAGTCCGCAGGAGCAACTACAGCGGGTTGGGGTGGGTCAATATGCGTCGAAGTCATGTTGAAGACTGGGTCGGTTTGGTTCCGGAGGACAGCAATGTTCGACGGCTCCGGAGGATGGACAGGGACTGGGGAGAGGGGTGACAGGGTCTTGGTATGGAACTCTGGGGCTTCAGTCATGTATGCCGCCGGTCCAGATGACGAGGGGGGATATCAAGATGGTCAATGTGATGAAACCCACATGGGGGAATCAGGGAGAGCAGAGATGGGTGTCAGGAAGTTAAGTAAGTTGACGTGGAAGGGAGGGAAAAGCAGTAAAGGTGAGGAAGTGGGGTGGTCTGACGGGAAGGCTTGGAGGGAAGCCTGCCAGGCGGACAAGTTGTTGCTGGTGGGTGGGTCAAAAGAGCAGTGTTATTGAGGGACCGACATCTGCTCAAAGCAGTGTTGGTATCAAATGCGAATCTGGTGGCAGTGAAGGGGGGATGGGAGTTGTGATGAGAGAAGTGGAAAGAAAGATGGCAGAACGAAGTTCGACGATGGCTGACTGATAAATTCCTGCATCGGGTGGAGGCGGTCGCTTAATATAACTTAAGCGACAACCTTAAAATCGACCTTCATATGTGTTTGTTTGGCGGGGACGATTCACGACTCAATGACAGAGGTTCAAACAATGTCTTTGTGCCGGTCAGTGACAGTCGAGTAGAACGGGAGCGAACAGTTTGTACATGGGGCACCTCAATCTCTCTTTAACTGCCGGGTTGCCTGTGCTTCAGGGGAGTGAGACCCGTGACACGGACGAGAGCTTAAAATCTTGAGGGGCTGCTGCGAAGGAGAATACAGTTGAATCCTTAAGCTTCTCTGCTTTAGTGCTTGCGTTTGCGTTCTGTCCCTCAGATCTTGCTACGGATAAGAGCCACGAGTACTCTGTTATCAAATATCCACTCAATTGACGATCGCTGATCACTGATCGCACCACCACCATGCTTCGAAGTCAAGCTCTCAGGTCCCTCTGTTGGAAACCTCTCTCAGAGCAGTTAAGATTTACGCAGAATCTTCGAGGATATGCGTCTCAATCTGTTGATGCAAACGAAGCCGACCTCGATGCAGCGCGCAGATGGTTTTCGAACTTCAACAAGAATACGATTCCAGAATCAATCTCACGCACTACTTTCTCTAGAGCATCTGGAGCAGGGGGGCAGAAAGTGAATAAGTAGGTTGCCCCTTCAAACATCTGCTCAAGCTTTGTTAATGTTTCAAAAGGACTAGTTCAAAAGCCACCACGGTCTGGGCCATTAGCTCCCTTCAGCGCTACGTCCCAAAGGTCCTGATCTCCGAGCTGCGCTCCTGCAGATACTATGTACCATCATCTGATTCAATCTCTATTCAAAGTGACACATCTCGAAGTCAGACTGATAATACGGAAGACACCCATCGCAAACTTATGGAGGAGATCAAACAGATCTACAAGAAGAGTGTTCCTGGTGTAACCTCCCCTGAGCAAAAAGAAAGGGTTGATCAATTGTAAGCATCGTATATTCTCCTAATCTATTGATCAGACGTTCTGGGCTTTGATTTATCACTCATCTCACAGGCTCTTGAAGCCTAGAGGAGAGCTTCAGAATTCGTTGTCTGCCCAGAAATTTGAGAGCGCTGCAGAGATATCACAATAAGGTGCAGGCAGATCTGGTGCAGAATGAAGAAATATAGCGGATTTTTCTGGTACTCCGATAAGAAGCCAGCTTTGAAGCAAGGTCAGCCAAGTCGGCGACATAAAGTGAAACGGTGAAACCTCGACTCATACACCTTGACCATCTGCGCCATCTGCCTTGATCGAAGTGCACCAGCGCCAATTCCTTGAGAGTATTCGCTAACTTTCCTCGACCAGGAAAAAATCGGAAAATTTAGCACGGCTCAAAATGAAAAAGAGGCATGGTGATAAGAAGAAAGCCAGGAGTGGTGGCCGTAGTGCAGACTTTTAGTATATGGTTATTAGGATTCTTTGTATCATGCATGTATTATTCCGTGCCTGTAGCTGTAAGCAAGGTTCAGGGCTTGAAAAACCCCCCAGGGGCCCAACATAGACCGCCCATGATCATGGGTGCCCCCACACATGTCTTCCCATAGGTCTTTGACTCTTCCCCTTTCTCGCTAAAACAATATTGGACGATATGTTCATTAGTTCTCTGCAGGCCTCTTTAAAGGCTGTGATGGTGATATATACCAGGAGCCCTGACCCCTCTGGCGGTTAAGTGTGCCTCTTTAATGTAAGAGCTCTTAAAAAAGCCTTTACAAAGGCAAAATCTTTATTTCTATACAGATAGGTATATCAAAATACAATACCTAGGTAGGTACCTATGCACAGGATACTATCACGTGCTTTTATCGCACATCGCACATCTTTGCAAAGTCTTTGTACAGACTTTACTATTAAATAAACAACTTTTGTCGCACATCGTAATTCTTTGCAGAGTGATCTTTGTAGACTCTTTGCATCTATAAGCTATAGCCGACATGATCACGTAATGAATTCTGTCTTTTGTCGCACATCGCACATCTCAGTCAAGTCTTTGACTCTTTGTACAAACGTTTACTAGAAACTACCTAAGGTATTCTTTACTTAAATGAATAACTTCTGTCGTACATCACATATCGCAAAACCTCTACCCAATCTTTGATAAAGGCCTCGTACACAAAATCTTTGTCATGTCCTTAACAAAACAATTCTTCAGCATCTTGTTGTTGTCGTCTACAGATTTGTACTAGTTCCCCTGGAGTGGCGTTGCGGGGAAGATCGCCAACCAGGGGTGCAGTTTAATGCCTGAGGCATCATTCAGGCACAACGCCTTTTGAAGCTCATCAGAGCTATCTATGCGCGCGCCATCAACTGTCAACTCTTAGCAACCTCAGAATTCCATTCCATCACCTCACCTCCTACCACGCCATTTCTCTTTAGACCAATGGCGAGGCTGACTTCAAACCCTTCATCATGACTACCGCCGAAGAAGACAGCTCCTACATTGACTACGAAACCTTCTTATCGCCGACCTTCTCCCCCTCCCAATTCGCCAACACCCTCGTCCTAACCACCAACAATGCTTCCGACACCCCTCTCGATCTCTCGACTCCCCTTTCCCGCGTACTCTTCGACGCCCAAGAAATAAATACTCACATTGATACCTTGACCACCAAATCCGCTTTGCCCCTCCTCTCACATACCCAAGAACAGACTACTTCTTCCCAGAATATTGTCAAGGAAATCGAGTCTCAAGTACAGAGTTTAAATGATGGTTATAAAAGACTGGAGAAGGAAGTGTTGGTGAGATACGAGACGGCAGATGAGGTTAGGGCTGTTGCTGAAAGATTATGGGAGACGGTGCGGCTTGGGCGGAGTGTGGGACGCTGTTTGCAATTAGGAAGGCAACTGGAGATACAAGTTGCCGAGATCGGGAGGTCGGGCAATGCTGGTAGGGGAGCAGGGCAAAAGGAGGATCATGGTGCTCTGGTGAGGTGCTCGTATACTTTGCTCAGTTTACGGGAGTTGTTTGGGAAGAACGGCGTCGGTGAAGAGGGGGCAGGATTGGACAGAGTAGATGTTGTGCGAACATTGCGGAGCTCCATCATCTCTCCCGCAGAGCGGGCAGTGCTTTCAAAGTCCCAGCAGGTGGTCCGCGAGTTCTCCATGTCGAATGTCTCATCGGGTCCCAACACAACGACATATGCCCAAACGACTGACACGAAATCGAGGACGACTTCTGCGCTACAGTCTCTATATTTACTCTCCACCGTCCCACATCCGACTTCAAAAAAAGAGAGATGGGAACCAGATTTACTTATTGGGGCTCTGCAGGACTACCTCCGCACCTCCCTAACCTCATCTCTCGCCTCTCTCGCGCGCTCCCTTGCCGCACTGCCTACACTCGACCGCACACTTCTCGAAGTCTCCGCACGCTGTCAAAACCTCCTTGCCCTTGAGTCTCTCCTATCGTCCACTACCGCTCCTGCCCACCCGATCCTCTCTTCCACCTTGCCTCCTAAAAACTTCTTGGAGCCGTTGTTGCAGAGTCTAGAGACGGGAAGCTTGGCGTCATATTTCTGGAGGACATTGGCTGGTGGTCTGAGTCCAAAAGTGGTGGATATTATCAACAGAGGGGGTGTGGCCGCGCGCACACTGAGAAGTAATAAGAAGAGTGTAGGCGATGCGGTGAGGGAATGTGTGGTTAGAGGATGCCAAGCGCCGGGGGGCGCTAACAGGGATGGAAAGGAGAAACAGGAAGTGACTTGGGAGAGAGAGATCGCGGTCATGGTTGGGAGTATAACTGGGCCTTTAGGGAGATGAAGCTCCTGCCCAGCGTATGAGAAATAGAAGTCTGTGCTGGCACGTCGAAGGCTCATCACCATCTACGAATTGGTCCGAGTCACCAAGTGGAGATGGACAATTCTGCCATAACCTGAAATGAAGAATACAGCAGACATATCAATGCTCGTGCCTCCTGAACAATCAAAGAGTAGATGACGGCATTGTATATCAGTAATGGCAAAGATCTATCTTCCTTCGCTACTGTCTCTAACCGAGCACAAACCGGTAAATACTTTAGCTTACAGGCTTACAGCTGACACAAGTATAAGATGCCCTCAGTCTCCACTGACTTTCTCTCTATCCAGACGACGGAATGAGGTATTGCTTGATCAAAGGGTAGATCTACGTGTAATGTTCCTTCTGATACAAGGGTTCAGAAGACATTCCTAAGAATTGATTGCCTTGAATTGCCGTGAATATGTCTCAAGACATACGCTCAAGAAACGATAGTTAATCGTTGCCAACTGATATAGCCGTGTCATTTTATCCACTTTCGTTGCGAGCATTATCTATACGACGATAAAATAGCCGTGTCATTTTCTTTTCTCCTTGCGAAGCAATCATATACGCCGCCGAAAATCGTCTGAAGTTTCAGGCGGTGATTCATTGCGATAGAATATGTTCAGAAGATGGGAGATGGTGTGCAGAAAATACAGTATACTGTATCAGGGAAGTCTCTGTTGACAGTCAATCACAAGAACTAGATAGTTCCTCAGTGTCTCAATGGAGAACAAGAGCAAGAAGGGGTCTTGTGTTGGCAACTTGGGTTCCATACGAAGGGGCTTTGGTGGATCAGTTGTTATTCCTAAATCGTGGTTCGCTGTATTGCTACCTAATATACTATTTCCATAAGTTTGAAAGATATCTATCTAGATAGGCGGGTAGAGGTCATTCACTTGAGAATTGTGTTCTGATATTCGGCAACGCGCGACAAGGCTGCAGTATTGGCGCCTGATTCTGTGCAGCCAACATATATACCTATGCAAGGCCGGGCAACAATGATTGGATATCAGAAGAAATGTTGCATGTTATTCCCTGGAGAGTCAGTTCAGGTGACTTGTTTATTGATACTTTGAGATTTGCTTGCATGAAGGCTCACGTGTTTTGGCGTTTTGGTATGTTGGTGTCGCGCGCCTCGCGCCTTCCCCCTCTTTATCTACTTAGCTACCTAAGGTATAAAATATATTATATCTCCTCATCTCTGCTTGGATTTCACTTTCTATTTCTTCCCTACCTGACATCTCCGTAGCTCAACCAAGATCCAACCATCTTGTGTTGTCCATCCCGCCCCTTACACTTCCTATCTCTGAGGGCAAACTTGAACTCAAACAGTGTCCACATCAATCATCATGGGTACCCGTGGTCTTCTAGGGCTTATCATTCAAGCGCAGCGTCACGCTGCCTACAACCATTTTGACTCCTATCCCACTGGTCTTGGTCAGGAGATCGTCAACTTTATCAATGGTCTAAAGCCTGAAGACTATGCTACTATGGAAGAAAATCTGCGTCAAATCACCGTAAGTATAGCATTCTATACATTCATCCAACTATTGAATCGTGCAAAGATCAGCCCTCCTGGCCCTTATTTTCTTTCCTACCTCTAATCTTCCTGTCCCATTGGTTAATTGAGAACAAACAGTGGCTTCCTACAAACGCAGACCCTCCCAGCCCTGAGCTCCAAGAGAAGTACTCCAAACTCGGATACTCCAATCCTGCAGTCGGTGAGAGGACTCTCGGGGACTGGTATTGTCTTTTACATAAGACTCAAGGAGCCGGAGCACTGCCTGAAATCTTGAAGGGCAATCTGAAACATCAGACTGAAAACAGCAAGTTTACAATATCTGTTACCCATTTCAAGAAGTTTATATACTGACTCTGTTGGCAGTTCAATTCCTCGATGACTGTCTCTTCTGTGAATGGGCCTACTTTATCGATTTCGGTAATAGGACGCTCGAGGTTTGGAGGGCTGGGCAGAAAATCGATGAGATCACATTTGGGAAATTGGCCCAGCAGGATGTGGCATACATGCAGAGACTGGAGGATATGGAAGAGAGTGAAGAGGAAATCAATCAATCAAATGGAGCATAAAGCTGCTGTAGCAGCTAGCAGCAAGTGGTACAGGACCAATTGGGAGCTGATGGTAGCAAGGGACTTATTTTATACATTTCAGTCAGCACAGATGGCAAAGTAAGGCCAATATTATCATATATGGACTTAAGAGAAGAGTCTCTTCCACGGCATCATTTTCTTCCTCCTGTCATTCTTCACCTTTTCTTTTTTTGCCTTCTCCGCCTCCTCCTTCATCTGCTCATACCGGATTCTCTCATTATCCCTATACGTCCTTACTTTCCTCACCAGCTCCTCAACGAGCTCCTTAGTATTCCTCCCCGTCTCCGCCTCCGCCTCCCAAAATGCACACCCCAAGGTCTCAGCAACGCCCATCCCCTCGTGCACACCCACCACCCTCTCCCCCTCCAAATCCATCTTATTCCCCACCAACCCCATCTGAAACGGCTCCCACATCCCCATCTCCTCCTTCACCTCCCTAACCTCCCCCCATATCTCGCGGATCTTCTCGAATGATTCCTTCGACGTGATGGAATACATCAATATCGCTGCCTGGCTAGCACTGATATATTCTTTCCTGAGTGCGACGGATGAAGAGCTGGGACCGGCTTCAGAGAGAGAGATTTGACAGGGCTGATTATCGACGCTGAGTTGGATTTGTTGATGGGGAAGGGTGGACGGGGGTGGTGATGTTTGGGCCGGGTGGTGAGTGGTGGTGAACTGGGAGGTTTGCGTGGTTAGTTTAATCAGTCAGTCAGTTAGGTAGGTTAGGTGTTGATTATATTATATCATCTCCATCTCCAACACATAAACAACACACACGGATCCCATTCTAACTAAGTAGGTAATTAGAGCTTCTTTCACCTGTGTTACGAAAGTACTTTTTCCAACCCCCGGAAGCCCAAGGACCACAAAGTTATAGTCCTCGAGAAGATGCGATTCATTGGGAAGATTAGGTGTTGGAGATGTCATGGTGCGTAGTGTATTTATTGTATGTATGTAGGTAGGTGGGAGCGCTGATTATGGAATGGGATGTGATGGGCGATGAGGAGGATGGCGGAGAAAGCTGCCTTGCAAGGTGTTGTTTGAAGGGAAATCCGGGGATGTGGAGATTGCGGGGGTAAGTACCTAAGTAAAGTGCTTGCATGCATGTGATGAAGCGCTACCTTATTTTCTTGTGGTTATCGTCGGGTTCAAACCTTACTTACGACTTACATTAGATAGCATAAGGTATTCATTGTTTTGTTATCTGTATCTGTTTGGTACATAGGTAGGAAGAGATGGTTGTAGATAGCAAAAAGAAAAGAGGGATTTTGTGAATTAATACTGAATTTTATTAAGAATCGTTTTTTCTATCCAGCTATTCATTCATACAGCAGTACCACATATCATAAATCAAACCCCCCTAACCCGTAGATACACAATCCCAATATCAAGATATATTATTATATGGTTTATAAATTATATCTTTTACAGCCCAGGATTAAAGAACAACCATCGTATGTCCTCAATCTGACTCCTTACCTTACATACCCCCTCGAAGCCGCAATCTGCCAATCCCCATCAACAAACTCGCGCTCCAATACACCAGCGGCGGTCCCGGCACCCCCTTCCTTGCGTACATCATCCCCGTCACACAATGCGTCGCCATCAGCAACCCAAAGATATATCTCTCAAGCCCGGCCGCGACGCCGTGGCGCGCCCACTTGAAGCAGAGGAGCGCTATTCATTATGTCATGAGCTGGGAGAGCGAGATAGATGGAAAAATTGGAAATGATTCGCTGAGTTGAGTTGGATATTGGAAGGAACACTTCAAGGAACAAGAAGGGGGGAATAGAAGGAGAGAGAGAGGTAGGTACCGGATGTGAGGAAATACCCATTGGCCTGGTTCCAGCTCACTTTGCTGGCGTACGCGGCGGGCGAGTCGGAGAGTGTCTGGAGCCCAGGTGACAGGACATCGAAATACATCTGGATGTGGCCGATAGGGATTAGGAGGAAGATGGCGCCGGCGGTGTTGAAGAGCGTGGAGGATGACATGGTTGAGGCTTGGTTCTCTATTCCTCTGGGGGATTTATTGCGGTTTGATAGAGTGATTGTTGGAGTTCTGGGATTGGGAGGGAGGGATGATAAGGTATTGAGGAGAGGGAGACCGAGGTCGAATGAGAGAGGGGTTGGATGGACTCGGTTATGCTCGCTAAAGCCCCCCGGGTCTCTGGGTGGGAGGGGTTATAGGGGGGAGGCCGGATCGTCAGGAGATTTTGTTGGGTCTTGATGGCTAGGGATGGGGAGATAAAGGGCAATATTGTTTGTGTTGCTACTAAAGGGCAGGCTGAGTCGCGGATGAATGAATATGCGAACATCCAAAATACCTAGTACAGATGTAGAAAAGAAAACTGCAGACGTCTGAGAATCTGGGAATGTTTGGCACTAGACCGTAATACCGCCAGGCTAGGCGCCGCAAAGGAGCTCGAAGTCGGCCAATTTATTCCATCTTAAATCACTCGATAGACCGGAAACGCGAATCTCGTTGAGATACCGATGAACTGGTATCAAGATGGTAAGTAACGTCACTCTACTTCCATGTGCAACTATCACGGCTCACAACGAAGATATGATTCCCTTGACATTCATCCAGAACATGCCGAATTGCGGCGGGGGAAAGGTTACACACTGAAATTCGAACTTCAAGAGTTGAAAGCGCTGGCATTCTACACAATAATGATAAAAAGTATTGCCAGATCTGAGCCTTCATCATATGTCAACAAGAACTAAGGGGAGTGAGTACACAGAATGGAATCTATGTGCAAGAGATGATGCATAAATCCGAACTCCTCCTTTGCAATCTTCATGTGGTTCTCATAAATATCACCATCGACCGTTCCCAAGATCTCCCTCAAGAACACACCAGGTGCTATCCCGACCAGTCCCGATGCTCAACCGATAGGTACTGTTGTGGCCCATCATAACCCGCAGGTTTCCTGTCGATATTGGGATTACCATCTTTGGCTCATCCGCTCCCGTAACCGCTCCCTTTCCCGCTTGCTCCCCACCGAACTCACACTATCGCTCGGTGCGACACTCGCCGCATACCTGGAGCCTGAGACAACGCTCTCGGGAAGAGGAATATTTCTTGCAGAGACCACGCTCTGGGCCGCACTTTGCGGAAGTGGTATGTTTCTCGCCGAGACAACACTTGGGGGAAGTGGGATATTTCTTGCAGAGATAACACTCTTTCTATCATCTCTTGCAGCTGGAACCACGGTGATGGTAGTAGTACTGGTCCCGCTCCCGCTCCCGCCATCGTACTTCGCATCCACCTTCTCTGTTCTGTGACTTCTTGTCGAAACATAGCTTTGCCTATCACCATCTTGGTTTCCGTGATGAGAAGAGCGTCTCTCGTCACTGCGGTGGGTCTTCTGACTCTGGCGGGAGACGTGGGAGGCTGCATGAGAGGCTGCATGCGGACTCTCCGATTGAGCGGGGAGGATCGTAAGCGCTCGAGATTCATGGCGTGAGCCGTGTGCGCTCCGGCTCCTTTCCCTTGTGGACTTCTGTTCCGACCTCCCACTCCGATAACTCACATGACTCCTCTCCTCAATCCGCGCCAGATCGTTTACCCTACTCGGAGGCGGGCCAGCAATCGTATATTGAGCCAAATACTGGGGCTCCCTTGGCTCCACGCTGATGGAGCTCCTCGCCGGGATCCTTTCCATCACTCTCGAGGGTGGCACCGCCTGCTGCTCATAATATACCTGCGAATGCGTAGGTACGGGGTGATCGCCGTAGCTCGCCCGTCGTGGTGGGCCGGACTGACGAGGGGGCGATTCTGATCGCACCATAGCATAAGCCACAGCTGCGCCGGCAGCGGCTCCAAGCAAGGTACCGACGAGCTTCATGCCAGTCAACCCACCCCCACCCCCACTGCTCCTCTCTTCGTCGCCGGGAATGTGATAATGATCCGTCTGCACGGTTTCTCTCCTTATCAGGCGCGGAGCCCGCCCAGTGTCGAACTGGGACTCGGCAGGGTAGGTGTCGACCCGCCTGTAGCGGATTGGTTCTCTCTCTCCATCACGGTCTCTCACAGTCACCATCTCAGCACCAAACTCACCCGCTGGAGAAGGCGAAGGCTCAGCGCCAGAAGCAGCCACACTCCTCGCAACTTCGTGCTGCCAACTGAGCACGCGTTGTGCCTGTTTTGGCGTGCTCGCAGTCTCGATCTCCATGGTCCTTCTCCGGGGTAGCGCGTGCGGGGCTCGTGCCGAGTAGACGGCTTCCAGCATATTGCCGTCCAGATCCCTTGTCCGAGCCTTGCTCTCCTCTCCGGAATGCACAAGCGTATGGTCCTTGTTCGCCTCGTTGCACAGCACGCTCTTGTTGTAGAAGCTTTCAACGGCACCCGCAGAATTTGCTACCAGAGTGATGAGGCAGCGGTGGGCAGAGGAGGCTGGGGATTGTCGCAGGGAGAAGACGACGTGTGGTTGGGGTGGTTTATCGTCGACGGGTTTTGAGACCCAGCCGAAGTTTAGCCGGTCGGGCAAGGCTGACAGGTAAGAGATGCCCAGCGGCTGAGTGATCTCTGCATAGAAAGACGCCGCAGAAGGGAGATGCGAGACTTCGATAACCGGGTGCCCGTCGCTACTCATTCCTACGCGGAGAGGGACGAACGGTCTTGCTTATAACTACCGAGTATGGGCGGGGAGTAGCCGCCGAAGATCTTGTGATATGTGCGAGCGGCAAGGTCAGGATGAGCAGAATGCCACAGGGTGCGAACGGTGAGGATGGGTGCACAAAAAACCTACCTATATACGCAGAGGACGGTAAGGCGGGAATCACTTCTCAAGAAAGCAATGGCTCACAACACCGCCGGCGTGTACCAACGAAATGCAGGGCCTCGTCGTTTACAAGACCCCGCCATCACCATTCACGGGGCTCCGTCGTCGTGACAGCACCAGACGGCATCAGACAGCACCAGTTGAGCGTGTCAGGAATCAGGATCATCCGCCGGCCGGTCAATGTTGGGCAAAGCCAGGAACAGAACACATCATCCCGTGTTGTGAGGACCAGCGATGTTATCCTCCGTATGCCACGTTTCTCCCTCATCCACTCCTCTGTGGAGACTTGATGCTTTGAGTTCCCGAACGCAGTTTGGCGCTCGACAAAGTCCTGGAGCTGCATATGCGGCTTCAAATTCCAATCCTTCTGGTGATTGGCTGTGTCTATCCCCACATCAGCGAATAGGAAGACCTCCCTGCCACGGAAGAGCCGACCGTTTCTGATATATGAGCTTGAGGCGACGCTTCTGATCGAATAGAATCACGCGACCGGGGTTGAGAGGGTCTTTCGGTGTACACCGTAGGTCCGTAGGAGAGTCGCCTGAACGGCAGTGCTCTCTATTCTAACCCCCTCGCTCGCAGCACGTCCAACGGTCCGCCAGACGTGTCTGTGTGTGTTCACTTGTGGGGAAGGTCAGTGACGAGACAAGATGACCAGGTAAGGAGTGCATAATAGGATTCTCTTAGTTCGGAGTTGGGCTGAAGACGAGGCTGTCATATTCTTTTTATTTCTGTCCATCCAACTCTTGTCCAGAGCATTGCTATCTTTTGTTCGAGAACGAGGCCATTATTCCCACCCTGCCAACCATAGCCAATCCTCGACATCGCGGCCCAACGACCTCGTGCCAGATCATATACCTCTCCCGCGATATATGCCGATGATACTTACCAAGAGCAACTAGCCGAAGCAGATGCAGATAGAAATGATAAAAGAGAAAGTGGAGCCAAGTTGAGTTGGTCCACGAAGACGACTAAAGCGTCTTGGATCTGATGTTGAACGCCTGATGTTTTGGTTGTAAAAACAGAGACAGAGCCACACAGACACCCAAGCCCGGCGACCAGCACGCAGAGCAGACGATGTTGGGATCGTAAGCTTCACATGAGGTCCCGCTTTCACCTTTTTCGAACTCTCTCTTCCATTCCATCATCGTATTGCGTGCGGTTCTCTTTCCAAAAATCGGCGCCCACATGGTGGACTAGATGATGCCCCAAACATCCTCTGCCGCATGGCAGAATTTGCTGCAGGCGACACTGGCCGACAGGCTGTAATTGCTGATCGCGATCTTTTCGTCGACAAACTCGTCGGCGAAATTGTCGGATCCCTTTGCCATTGCTCCCACGAACACACAAATGCTCTCCTTCGGCCTCAAATTCTCCACGTATTCCCTGACTCGCACCAACTCTGCATCGAAACTCAGAGTAACCTTCCTGCAATTCGGCGGTAGGTGGTCAGTGATCGGATTCGGGATGACTTTTAATAGCTTCTCTTGTGAATTGACAGATCGGATCGATAGGCGGTGAAGCAGTTGAACCATGAGACCTGCGAATCGTTTGAAGGTACGTGGGATTCGGACAGTGGGGCTGACTTCGATTAAAACGCCTTTGGCAGTGTGGATAAAGATTTGTAGCCTCCCAGCTTTGTTGATCGGGGAATCGAGAAGAGTGAGGAGACACTGCGAGGGGGTCAGCGTTGCGCGCGATGCTTTATATTACCTAGATATCAGACCTGATGTGTGATGTCCGGTCGAGCATCACTGATATCGCGATTCATCTTGCGCATCACCCCAATATGCTCGTCGCTGTTTAGTAATGAATACTTCTCATCTCGAGTACCGGGTCTGTTGCCACCATGGGATGCTTTGTACGTCTCAAGACTGGCGTTGGAGAGGACAACGATCATCCTCGGGGTATCTTTGTCGGTTGAAGGGATTGGAACATGTTGTTCAGCGACGAGGTTTGGAAGTTCCGGTGGTGGTAAGGATTGGGTTCCTGGCATCATCATGAAATATCAGCAGATCTGCCTGGAATTATGTTGAATAATTCCTTGTCTAGGAGGGTCGGTAGAGTTGGGATGGAGGGGTGGAGGGGTCGAAAAAAAAAAAGAAAACTCGTGCGAGGTCATTTTCCCCTTGGTTAGATAGAGCTATAGAGCCCTCACGGAAACCCAAGACGCCAAGCAAGCAAAGACAGCCAAAAAACGTAGAACTACAGAACATATGCTTACTCGGTCGCTTGACAGATCTCTCTGAAGGAGAAGTCATTTTCTGTGCTCCAATGGTCAGCGGCAAAGAGCTTGCAGATAGCTTTCTTGTTTCCAGGGCGTACGAAGTGTATGAGATTGGATCGGTATTGGGACGCACGATCAACTGAAGCTCTAGTAAGGAGGGGCGGCTTTCGACAAAGACACTGAGCCTTGAGAAAAAATGCGGTATAAGAAATGTTATTACAACAATTGAGGGGTTGTAGAGCAGATTAAAGTACAAATTCCGGAGAAAATAGAAAAAATTCGGCACGAAACGAGGGTCACGTGAAGCCCTAACACCACCTCACCTGCAGCGCAAGATGCCGAGGATGATGGCTCATCTTCTGTTGACCGCCTTCTGTGCCTCTTTTACTCCCGCCTGTCCTGCCACGGGCCGACGGAAAATGGATCCGGGGCGAGCTTTCAGCTAGGAGAATAGCCTTTCGAAAGACATTTGTTACATGGACTCCAGGGGGATCTCCCATTTTCCCGGGCTCGACAAGCGGGAAGTCATATCCTGATATAGGGCTTATATGACACCAGCAACTCAGGTCATGCCATATGATCCGTACACATACCTCTATAATAAAGAAAAGCCAATATTTTGGCTGACCACAGTGCTTTTCCGTTTCATCCTCTAAGCAAAATAGCTTATTGCGATTACTACGGCACCGAGGATAGAGAATTGCGGCTGATCTCGGCGCATTTAGTCCAAGAGGCAGTCAGATTCCAGGTCTACCCTGAGACCGTTATTGATTTTTCTCTTATGCACACTCATCACTGGCTCAACTTCACTTCTTCTCAGATCAGACCCCAAAAATGAACGCCAAAATCTACTCCAAACAGAGAACATGAGCCCAAATCCAAAGCTGGAGAGCGCGTATGGCAGGGTCAAGGAGTGGGAAAGTTCGATGCTTATGACCCAAGACCGCGCTCTAGAAAGACTGAATGATAAAGTAAACGAATACTGGACATCGGAGCAGGAAGCCCTCTGAGAGAACTTTGATTCCCTCTGTATTCTGGACTCGAGAGGAATCATATAATGGGATGAGACCATCTTCGTCAACTTCTTGTCATGTTCATGTCCTCCTTCGTCTATCTCTTTGTTCGCTGAAGCTGATTCTATTCTTGACCCCAGCGCGGTCTACCTGAGTGACTTTCCATTTGGAAGAGAGATGGATGATACACTACCTCGTATGACCTATGAACAAGGTCTAGGTGCTCTTTTTTGGATGCTCCCGGACTGTGTGGATCGATGCATCTGTGGATCTTCAATGGGCCACGGGACAATCGATAAACTGGTCGTCCGTACCAGGACTCTTTGCGATCACAGAAGACAGCTTTTCCAAAGTCTAGCAGATGCAAATATAGAAGACTCGGGACTTGATTTTGACAAGGAGAAAAGAATTGCGGCTCAAAAGGTAGCTGAGTTGCCTGAAGAACGACTACGGCTACGAATTATAATGACGATGGAGACGAGGTTTACCATGCTATCCTTGACGTTCTTTCTAGCACTCAGTCTAGCACTCAGTCTAGCACTCAGCCTGTCAAAACTTATGAGGCTCCTATCTTGCGGGATGCCCTCCGTCCACTTGCAAAGGATTATCATAATTCCCAGATCTGCGTACGCCAGTTAACTATCCGACCAGCAAAATTCCAGTGTTTGGTCAAGCTATTACTATCTCAGAACCTGGCCCGTTTCAACTCACCAGAGCTGACCGAGTTTGAACATGTTGCAAACCGCATTGTCGATTTAGTCAAGGGCCGGATCAAAGGACTACATGGCAGAAATTTGAATGTGCGCTGACTCGAGTAGCTGTAAGGTTATAATACACCTCGAGTGTAAACATCCATTCCTCCCCAAATCACATTGCTTACTTACCTCAGCCTTACCTCTTTCCTTCTCTCTACCACATCTAAAGTTCTCTTTTTGCAAAGTCGTCTTCCGCAACTGAACTTCCGAGGTCACTGCCTCACCCGGGACGTATTCTCACACTCCCAGCTCTTAGCCAACTTGGGTTGTTCCTGTCTGAAGCTGTCGCATTTGACGATATGCGCATGATCCATCAATCCATGCCGCAAGCTGCTCTAAGTAACTCCTCCACTGTTACCAAAGATACTACTGTCTCCGATGTGGTTGTTGCTGCCCTTACAACCTCCTCCGATTTCAGCCTTCTTTTCATCTCTGGCAAAGTCTCATCAACCGGTGAGGAGGTTGTTTTCGTCGCCTTCTTCCCATCCCCAACCCAGGACGAAACCACAATCCGTACACCTGAAAGCCCTGCTTAGGAGCGTAACTTATTGTTCTAGCTTAGTCCTGTTTTTGATGTATTCCGTGGCTACGCAGGCAGAAGCGCCTGGGTGCATACAGGTTAAATCACTGGATCTCGCTGTAGGAATTGGATCAAGGTCTGATCAAACGATAAAGAGACATCTGGATGTGCCTGAAAAGAGCACTTCATGGGGTCCCGGATGGATCTCACAGACGATCGAGAAGAAGTTTAAGGGTCAAAGGTCATTCCCGGCTGCCGTAGCTTCTCGCTTCACGGAACGACAGCCTCATCAGGAGTTCGAACCTCCTTTCAACCTCATCCTTCACCTCCCATCTGATATACACATCGAGGATATCCTCCCCACAAAAAAATCTGGTTCCAAAACCCCCGTCCCATCTGATCCCCATCTCTCCATTGCCCGGGCCTTGTTCAAGATACGGACGATGGTTTCGCATCTCGATGGTCTTGATCAGACCTCATGCCTCACTGTCGCCTGTGGGTTCGTGGTTTCAGGTTTGACCAAGTGGTCCCCAGCGTCCAAAACATCAATGGTTTCCGCTTAGGACTGATCTGGAGTAAGCGCTCCCCTTGAATCCCTTTTCTCTCTTCGCCGCACTGCAAGTATCAGTGCCAGTGCCAGTGCCAGATGTAATAATGTACAACTGTGCCGTCCGAGATTAGATCGGACTGTCGGAGCGCTGGACTAAGTATCTGATCGCGATGATCTTCCGCCTCCCTTTTCATGCTGGCACATTCTTATCTCGCACCCCCCGCCGTCTTGGTCTGTACTTCAAGTCTGCGACGCCTCCATCCTCATATCCGGTTTCAGTGCCTTTCTGCGACGACGTGATCCGCAGTGCCAATACTCACAAGATCTCGCTTGGCCCTATCCCGCTATCAAAGGACCGGCCAAACTCGTCGGCCAATATGCCAAGCACTTACAATAAGTACTCTCCTTCATAACCTTCGACCTCTCCTCTCTTCCACGCATCATCCCCACCCATTCTCTCTATCTTGCTTCCACTTTTCGGCGGGCTCCTCTCTTTCAAGTTCCCTCTTCTATTCTCATCTTGCCAGTCAAGGAGATCACGTTGACCGTGCATCTTGTTATCACCACCACACCCCAACGGTTTATATTCATTCATTCTCGATTGCTCTCTGTAAAATTCAGCTTGCGCCGTCGTCTCCTTTCCCGATTCCCCAATCACCAATACCTAAACAGAATGCTCTTCACCAAGCTTTCGTGTGCGGTAGCGCTCTCCGCCATTGTCTATGCTTCGCCTTCCCCTGCAGGGAACAACAACAACAATGATGCAACAGGAACGACTTTGTCTCCCAATGCTATTCAAAGCGGATCTTTCAATGATGGGAGTAACGAGATCGGATCCGCTGAGGTTGGGCAAGCCAAGTCTTTGACATCGCAAAATAACTTCATCAACAACTGTGCCGGTAAAACTTTGACAAACGGTCTCCAAATCACCACTGGGTCATGTAATGGTATCCGTAAGTAAAGCATCAAATTCCACCAGGCGAGACAGAATCTAATAGTTCATAGCAATGGGTGACATTCCAGCCAAGACAGCAATGGTTTCCTCAGTTATCATCAACCCACAGACAGGTGGCAAGGCGATTCAATCTGACACTACATTCAATATCACTGTACAAATGTCCAATCTTGTCGCTGGTTCCTTTACTAATGCAGACGCGACGTACTATTCTGCACCCCAAGCCTTGCAAAACGGACAGGTTGTTGGACACACCCACGTTACTGTCCAAGACATGGGCAACAGCTTGAACCCCACTACTGCTCTCGATCCTACGCAATTCGCCTTCTTCAAAGGTATCAATGATGCTGGTAATGGAAAGGGCCTCCTCACCGCCACCGTGACTGGTGGTCTCCCAGCTGGAAACTACCGTGTGTGTACCATGGCATCTGCATCCAATCACCAGCCTGTCCTCATGCCTGTTGCCCAACGTGGAACAGCTGATGATTGTACTAAGTTCGTTGTCAGCGGCAATGGCAACACCGCCAACGCCGCCTCAAACAACGGTTCAGGCGGACAAGCAGCGGCTGTAAGTTACATTCCCACTTCCCACTTCCCAGTATGCAAAGTATGTTCTAATCTATCTTCCAGGCCGAGGCTGCGTCAGCAGTTGCGGCAGGCCCTGATGTTGCCGAGAGCACGAGCGCTGCATCCGCTGCTTCAAGCACCAGTTCGGCCGCTGATGCTAAGTCGACAGGAAATGCTTCTGGAGGAAACGCCGGTGGTGCAGGAGGTAAGGGTGGCAACCAAGGAGCCAAGAGCGGCCAGGGAGCAGCAGGCGGCAGGGGCGGTCAAGGAGCAAGGGGAGGTAGAGCTCGCCGGGAGTTCATCGCATAAGTTACATGTTTGAAAGGGAAAGGCTAATCATTTGAGATGGATGAGGGGTGTGGTGGAACTGCTGGTGTTTTCCAATTTTGCGTGGAGTAACGAATGTGTTGATGTACTTTCTAATTTCCTTCCGGGTTTATCTGCCCAACGCTCTGTCTATAAATCGTCTTGATAGCAATCTTAATGACATAGATGGTGTGGTTGCCTTTCTTTCTGCTTTTCCCACTCAATGACTCGATGGCTGCCCGCTGAGTTCCCAACGATGCGCACCAACTCGAAGAATTTATAAATCTAGAAAGGTTTTCACATTGCATCTCAAGGGTCGATCAGATATCCTGGCATCTGATGCCAGACCAAACGATACGAGTCTGATTTCCGTCTCTGCTCTGCGACACATGGTTGGGTCGTGAGACGAGAGTTGTTTGACCGACCCCTGAGCTATTTCGTGCCTTGTTTTTAGGGTCAGGCACCACAGTATCAGGCCAACATCAGTCCAAACAGAACAGAACCGCCTCTCAGACCACGACAACTCCTCCTCCGCCGAGTCAGGACTTCCTGTCTCCAAGCACTGCCAATCCGCAGTAGGACAACAAAGAAATGTTGATACGATGTACGGAATTGCTCTAACCCTCTCGTACCAACTCCCAAGTCCAGTCCATGAATCCCCAGAAACTGACAGCTCCTCTCTACTTCAGGATCGACCCCTCCCTCCGCCTCCGCCGCGCAATCCACGCGAATGATCCCCTCCTCGTCTCCCGCATCTGCAAATCCCACCCTCCCTACCTCCTCCAGAACCCCGACTTCTCTCCCCTCGGCCTGTCCAACACCTCCCTCCACCTCGCCTGCTCCCTGGGCCATCTGGCAGTCGTCCGCACCCTGCTCGCCCTAGGCCACGAGCGCGACGGCGTCAGCCTGAACGAGGAGCACCAGACGCCCCTCATGATCGCCAGCGCCGCCGGCCACACCGAGATCGTGCATCTACTATGCAAAGAGTTCCCCGACAACATCGCCCGCCGCGACTCCCGCGGCCGCGACGCTATCATGGAGGCCAGTCGCGGCGGCCACGATACCTGCTTGCAGATCCTGCTGACGTTTGCGCCGGGCGGGCCTGCCGCGCTGCTCAACAATGCGGATATTGACGGCAACACGGCGCTGCATTTCGCGAGCTCGTATGGCCATCTCCTCGTTTTGCGGACGCTGCTGGCGGCGGGCGCGGACAGCGAGAAGCGCAATGCGTGGAGTTGGACCCCGGTGAGCTATAGCGCGACGGTGCAGGCGGAGGTTTATTTCAAGGGCCTGGTGGCGGAGGTTGAGAAGAGGAGGACGATGAGGAAGGAGGCAGAGATAAAGGGGACGGGGGCTGGGGTGAGGTTGGTTTCTGGGGAAGAGGCATGAGCTGTGTATCTCAGCGTTGTGGTTATGGGCCGCTCATGCTATACGAACCGGACGGGCGGCACTTTGGGGAGGACATCCGCATATCTTGATTACGAGCACAGCGATGGTTGATGACGGAACACAAAGATACATGTGGATCATGTAGTTCAATGACATATGTGACGGAACTGGGCGTTTGGAGCAAGGAGCATGGGTCCCTGATATCAAAGTGTTATTATACCCAAAACATGTATTTATGTAGAATGCAAAGCGATTCGAATGGGTAAGAAGTCTCACCCAGCGCATTTGTTGTTTATTCCAGGCTTCACTACAGATGACTTGGCCACATCGGGGGGGAGGTTATATGCTCGATAGAAGCAGACGGTGAGATATACGTCCGTGATAGGAGGGTCAATTGCTGCGGGTCGGGCCGCCGCCGAGATGCGGGGATTAGTTTGTACTTTGTAGCCCTCATGATATTGAGATATGTGCCCGACAGTAGCAGTGGGTTAGCGAAACAACCAACGGTGTTGGAACGGTGCTGGAAATCCTGCATTACTGGCTCTGGGGAAGATTGCAGGTATTTTGCTTCAAAGCCTGGCATCCCCGTCCCGTCTCGGTGATATCAATATCACCCTGGGCGCGCGAATAGCAGCGGGCCTTCATTTCTCTGTAGATGTCCTGCGACTCTCTCCGTCTACTGTATTTTGATAATATTCTACCATACCTGTATCGTATCTCTGAGCTTCATCACCGTCGTCTGAACCGCCGAACGATGTATAGTATGAGCGCAAGAGATCCCAACAATCGAGCCGCGATAGCAGCCCAGACACCCCTTCGAGCAAGGTCGTAATAGCCCTCTAACATGGTACCCATAGCATACGACCTTGACGCATTATTTCTTTTCGTCCCATCACCGAGACTATCCTCATTGCCTTGAGAAGTGGCAACGGCTTCCGTCTCACTGTCCATTGCGGTTTGATTTCCGCTCTGCAGCCGGGCCTGATTTCTCTTCTTGAGACCGGCTGTAAACACGTTGATAAAGAACCGTGTATCTAAAGTTGTGAATGTAGGATAAGACCAAAGCTTAACCGCATTGTGGGGAGGCAGCTGATCCAGGAAATCAGCCATTATGCCCAGGGTGAGACCCCAAAGCAACAATGGTCTTGTCTTTTCCGAAGAAGCTGCATGCTCCCCAACACACAGCCTGAAAAGCTTACTGGGCAGCGAGGGCTCCATCTCTGCATGCGCTACTTCAGGAAAGAACTCCGCGCTTGAGCTACAATGTAAAGATTCCGACGGTATCAACCTAATGGCCGAGAAGCGCATTCTTCCTAATAACGAGCGTATTATAGACCGCACTAGAAACCCTCCTTGCCGCGCAAAGCGATCGGATGTATCCACGTATTCGTATGTGCGAACTGAGGGAGAGAGGAGGACTCGAAGAGGAACCCAGTGCGCGGCAGCTACCTCCGTAGGCTGTAGCTTTAACGGCGGGATATCGGGTGTCGTGTAGAGAAATACAAAAGGGCAAAGGACCATGATACTGACCAGTTAGCACCTACTCAACATCGAGATAGGAGGAGGTACATACGGGACCTTTCCCCAGGAAGTACTGACGACTCTCTCCGGTAGATTCCCCACAAACAAAGCGTCCGCGGACGTCAAATCTAACCCGATCTCCTCCGACGTCTCCCGTATCGCCGTCGCTTTATCACTCTCGTCTTCAGGGTCGCGTTTCCCTCCCGGCAGTGCCACATGCCCGGTCCATCGATCACCGACCCGCGTGGCCCTCTTTATAAAAACGACTTCGGCATCACCATTCTGGACCCACGGCTGCGCGAAGAAGTTCTCGAGCTGCCCTGCGAGAGGCTGGCTGGGATCGAGGGAAACTGGTTCGGTGGCAGAAGGCCAATGTCCGTAGCTGGGCCGGATGCGTAGAACGACGGCGACTGAGGCGCGTTTCTTGCAGCTTTCGGGGTTCGGGACGTGAGGGTAGGGATTTTGGGAGAGGTGCGTTAAGAGACTACAAAGGTGCTGCGACATCTCTGTGGCGGTCATGGGATTGGGCTATGAGGTGAATGTGTATGTTGAAGTAATTCAATTGTTCGCGTTGTCTGGCTGGAATGACAAGGCTGACGCAGCCGGGCCCCGAGTCCTGCGTCCTGACGTCGGGTCGGGACCGGGTGTTAAACATTTAGCCGGTTATATATACGGGAACAGCTAGCCGACAACCCCTTTTCTCCTCGACACTCCCACAACAGAATATTGAATCTCCCTTACAAAGGTACCTGTACCTAATTTTCCTTGTCTCTTTGTCTTGCTATAGTAAACTCGGTTATTTTGTCTCCATTGGAAGAAGTTGGGGAAACTCTGGAAATCATTCTTTACCCTTAAGGTATATTTCAGTTGCCATTTCGAAATTTGTGCTCATATTACGGATACATGTTCTAAGACCAAGTGGGATAGTTGAGCACTCAGGAAGGCTAATTGTTTTCCTTGCAATAACTTGAAGGATGTCCTTGTCCTTAAAATAAGAGTGGTTAAGCTTTTAAGCAGACAAACAGTCTCCACCAATTTATGGCGATTTCACCCGATTTCATGGCACGTAAAGTTGCATTTGCGATAATGCCTAGGTTGAAATTGAACTTGAACTGGAAAGATAAGATGAAGTATCCAGGGGGGCAGTTCTCAAGGTGGTTTATAGCATTCAAGGGATAGCAAGCTTGCCGGAAATAATTTGACTTCTTTGATTCTATTCTAAGACTCCAGAAATCAGATAATTGGACCATATCAATGCAATAATTGCTTGCACTGGTCCAAGTTTCTTTACTCTTAGTTTTCTTTCCTTCCCTTCTTGACCTTGCTCACAATATCAAGCTCTACCATCCAGCGACTCCAGCCCCATGCTCCTACAATTGTAGCTGTGCCAATACCGTGTGAACCTGCTGCATCAGCCTATCATGTTCCAAGATCCCTTTCCTCGTCTTCAACGCCACCTTAACATTCTTCCTCCACACCTTCACCCCCTGTTCCGTGATTCTTCGAAGCCTTTCATCGACCTCAAACTCCGCTTCGTACATTCTGATCTCCCAGTCTTGGGCTCTAAGCTCGTTTATAGAAGCTTGGATAAGCCAGTATTCGGCATGGTGGGCTGTGAGGCCTTCGTTTTGTCGGTAGATTTCGAGATTGTGGATGCTCACGGCGAGGGATTCTCGTGTCATGCAGGTGGGGAATGATGTTGGGTCGGGTGGTAAGGCTGCCATGGTACCTCCCGTATGCCTCCCTAGATAATGGTTAGACTTTATCTCTACTTGAACTTAACCAGAAGAAATAGACTTGTAGTTGACTTGCCCAAATGGCAGGCACGTTTTGCGTCTCAGTCGATTAGAGGAATAAGAACTGTTCCTTGGTTGCTTGATCGTTGAACTGCAGTGGATTTTATATTGCCAGATGCTGCAATGCAAGACCTATTCATTCTTGTACCAGAGAGTAAAACCTCATGGATTCAATTAGTCTATCAAGGTGACCAAGCTTATATATAAAGGGTAAATATAGATTTGGGTTTGAACTGCTCCCCATCGGAGGTCCCAAGGTGTCGACATCTAAGCTAAAACCGAAGTTTAGTAACTTACCACATCAATTCACACATAATATATGTAGTATTATTCATTCAGGAAATTTCAGTTATGATTTCGGAGGCTCAATAACCACCTAGCTTTGTTGCACCTTTTCAGCTACCGAACCAACACTCATGAATAGCTATGTAGGTATATTTAGCCTATAATTGATTTACCATCATGAAGAACTGAAATAGTTTTAGAACTGCTTGTTACTAACCTTGTATATGATTGCTGGTACCGCTCTGCTCTATTCATCGCATATTCCTGGTCATCCTACCATAAGCTTAGGTAGGACATGCCATTGATAGTTGTTACATCAGTTCCTCTTTCTCATTACCTTTTGAAAACCTAAGAGTAATGCCTCTGCAGCGTCCAGCAAGCGCCTTGTGAAATTTTAGAATTGAAGATACCGATGACATGGTGAAAGGAGTGGGCAAAGGCTGAGGGGAGCGAAGCCAGATGATTCAGTGGGAATGTACAGGATAATAGCAACAACGTTAGAGAGACGATGCAACGAAGGCTGGTTCTGAGGGAAATGCGTTCTAATACTTTCCTGCATCACGGCACAGCTGTGCTTCATTTGATTAGACCCTGAAGTTGAGGCATTTAAGAAGTGGTGCCACAAAACGGTGGTGCAGATATTGATTTCCTATGCACGCTAAATGTATTCACACCTTCCATCACTCCGTGTGCTCCATGACTACCCATCCTTTTGATACATTTCTGCCTCCTACCAGTACGGAGGTCTCAGCCCTGCAAAACTTGAAGCGATGGAATTATCACCACTATCTTCCTTTTTTCTTTGTCCCGTCAACTGTTTCCACGATTAGCATCGCCCATTTAATACATCGTCGAACGGATAAATGAGTGGGAACGTACCTCCAGCTGCACATGCCGATGGATATGCACCAACCAATCAACATAACTCTGCGCCTCATTATTTCGGTCCTCGACCAGTAACCTCGCAAATTCATACTCCGCACCATCGAGTCCTTGCCGTGCAAGCTGGATAGTCAGAGCTTTGCTCCCTCTCACCGTCTTCAGGTATTCAATAATATTCCGCACCTGGGCGCTCAAATGAGTTTCCAGGACCGGAAGCGAAGAGCAGTAAGGATCCAGCGCCTTCAAACTGTCCATTCCCTCACCAAATAAATCGACGAGGAGATTTGGGGAGGTTTGAGCGTGCATCCATAAGTAGCAGTTCTGACCATTATCGATCAGATACACCCCTCCCTCTTCGACACGAGAAAACGAACATCGTATTGAAGGTGGCATTTGGAGATGCCCCTCCGCATTCGGGAAACCATCTTCTGGAGCAAGGTTGTGTATCGGGATCATTCGGGGATAGAGATACAGAGAGAGTTCCAGGGCTCCCATACTCTTAAGCATCCGCATATCATGCACACGCCGATCCGTGGGCTCTTGTCCACCCTTAAAAGCACGAGACTTAATGAGGCTTAGGATGTACATACTGAACTCCTTCAAGTTCTCGGGCAGAACGAGTTGCCCAGGTGGGTGAGAGCCGGAGAAATTCTTTCGATATCCGGCGAGGATGTCAACATTCTTTTCTGTTAATGCACCTCGAATATCGCGCAATGAATTTGTGCTCATCTTTGTTGCTGCCTCCTTTGCAATCAGAGTACAGACTGCGTCTTGATCCACAAACTTCATGCAATCCTTGGCAAAATCGGTAACACTTGCGATGACGTTCGAGCATCTGACCCTTCGCTCACCACTTGCTGTCGTATAAAGCAAGGCACTCTGGAAGTGAGCGTCGAGTTTGGCGTCTAGCTTACCATCATAGCTGAAGAGAACACCCATAGCCTTATCAGCATCCACGACACCGAATTCAACATCTGCTCCAAATGTATGTTGGATGAAGTTTCCGTGATAAGAAGCCACTTGCAAACCATTCGAGCAACGGACTTTCATCAGCGCCTGGTATCCAGTCTCCCGGGTGACAGTATGGGTTATTTCTTGAGACAGCTTCTCATTGTCACGTGGCGAAACAAAATTTGGGTAATAAAATGTCTCCCCTCCGGTGGATGCAGAAACATGTCCTGGGCTTATGTCAGAACAGAGACATCTTTAAAACGATGATCAAAGGGACTTACCAATTGTAGCAATGTCTAGATATCCGCCGCCTGGGGCAGCCAGGAAGAAATCGATACCAACTCCAGCTGCTACCATTTTGTCCGCAGTTTTCCGCCAGCCAGGATGCTCCGTATTAAAGAGTTTTCTCTCGGCATCTCCACCGTGCTGCTTGCCATCATCGCGCAGGAAGAGCCGGCCGGGCCCCCAGGTTGGTAAAGCAGATAGAGAACAGATGATCTTTCCCCCTGTCTTTTCCAGGGCCGCCAGTGCTGCATTGAGAGTGGGAAGTAGCGCGGGTTCAGGATTCTTGACTTTCGAAAATAATGCTGGGAGCTGGCTTAGCAGTGATATTATATTTGACCTACAATCATCAGCAACTACCGACAATACAATATCGGAGCAGGTTCCTACTTCGCCTCGTAAGGATCCACAAAGAGCCCGTCACTCAAAGGCACGAACGGATCTTCGATATCGGGCATGATCAACATCTGTGCTTGGTCGAGGGCAGGCTGTACAACCAATCAGCATTTGGATATCATGAATTGATGCATATGACCCACGTTCATGTTGTAAAAATGTATATCTTTATCGAACGTAACGAAACCCACTTTGGATCCCTCCGGTATCTTGCGCTTGACTTCGCCAGTTTCTTCAGGGGTATCTCCTTTACCATAGAGGGCTGCCATGACCCCCTCACAAAATGCTGTCAAGAAGCCTTTATTTAATGCCTCCTGACCGACATCAATCAAGAACAGCCACCTTAGCCCAACAGGTTCCTTATTCCAGTATTCCTTTGGGACTAAGAACTCGACAGTTCCTCGCATCAGTTCCGGTCTCTGCTCCCTATCAACACGGGCGCCTTGTGGAGTAAGAGCACAGAAGTACTCAGGAGGGACGTCATTCGCATAATTGCACATATTGCACACAAACTTATTTCCCCCCGATCTGAATACCATGAAAGGGTTGATATAAGCTCTACATCTGTGGCATCTTGGTGGACCAACCTCACCAAAATCCAAGACTGGGATTTCGAGCTCGCCAGGTTGCAAAGGAGCAAGTGGCTGTAGAACAAGCCCCAGAGGTAGCCCAGTCGAGCGGAGTGCGTCAGAGGTGGATGGGATGTTATTCAGTGTGAGACGAGTAAATTTCGGAGAAGCATTCCCTTGGTCAAAGGCAACAAATGGTACGGCAGCTGGTGGGGGAATATGGTGTTCGAAAGTTGGGTATACATGGTTGAGGTAATATTGTGCAATAGTGTCCCTCGATCTGGGCACACTGGGGATCTGATCTGGGTCGACACGGCCTTGCGCGGATGTTTGCACGTTCGCAGAGAAGCCAGCTGCGGTGCCATTCTGTTGTGTAGAGGACGTTAGATTTGCGGGGTTGAATGGTGGGTTCGCAGGGGCAGAGTATTGTGACGGCAGGGGTGTGACGGGTCTCGAGTTCAGGAACTGGCCTGCTTGGGTCGGTATCGACGAAGGATCCGCATTCAAGTATGGCGGGGATATGTCCGCATGCTGAGGCATGTCGTTGAATGTTGCTGAAGGTCCTGACGACCCCTCCATGGTATGGTATGCATGCCTATCCTTCTTTTTCTTCCTTCCATGCGATGCCGCCTCTCCCAGTGCAAGACCGCCCATCTGCGCTGCCAGGCCCCCATCCTGTGTTTGTACATCTTGGTATGGTGGGAAATATCCTTGGTCCTGAGGTTGGCCATATGGCGTGGGGCCTCCCACTGGGGCGTTTTGGTACTGCGGATTCAACCCTGGGGCATTGTAGTTTGCGCCGGGTTGTTGGTAAGGAGAGGGGCCGACTGGAGGTTGGAACTGAGGAGGAGCTGGCTGGGCATAGGGGTCCCGGTTTCTTGGGTCATTGTTTGGATCTCCCTGGGCCAGAGATTGGTATAGTGGGTAGTCCGACATCTCGAAGACCGGTCTGGATCGACGGGCGCTGTCACTCTGGCTGGTGGGGGAGATGCGGCGTGTAGGTACTGTTGGGGGGGCTTCAAGCCGTTAGGAGATTCGTATCATCATATGCAGAACAGAGAAGATCGAAAGAGGGAGAATGTCGCGTGCAAAGGAGTCTATGGGCAGCTTGGTGGTGTTGACACCTTTTCGATCCAGCATCACAGATCCGCGACCCCTTCGACGTGCACGTGCATCCACGCTAAGAGACGATCCCTGCACGACGCGATCTCTCCCCTTCGCTCTCTTCTCCCAGACTCCCACCTCCCTCTACATAAACCTTCAACCCTTCAACATCCTTATATTCACGCCAGGCGCATCGCATCTCACCGCGAGCACACTGCGCATCCGGCTCTCTCTCACTCGATAGCATGCGATTAGGAGGTGACCCGGTGGCAGATGCTCTAACAAGGAGGTTGCTCCGCTCAACATGTTCACATTCTGCTCGCTGCTGGGAGCGCAGTCCGAATCGTCTGCCTCGCAGTCGCTGCTGGAGCTAGATGGAGGTGTCAAGGTCTTGATTGACGTCGGCTGGGATGAATCGTTTGATGTGGCCAAGTTGAAGGAGCTTGAGAAGTAGGTTGAGCTTCCCTTTGTTGGTGTTGATGGCCGAAGGACACATACAAGAAGCAATGTATAGCAGACATCAATGAAGACACATTTATCCGCCACTCTGCCTTGCCCTGTCTGCGTGCACCATTGCTATTACCCTTCCCCTCTGTTGTGTGGTCTTCGAACAGGTACTGATTTGCGATCTCTAGACAAGTCCCTACTCTCTCCATTATCCTCCTTACCCATGCGACAGTAGCACACTTAGCAGCTTTCGCCCATTGCTGCAAGCACTTCCCTCTGTTCACGCGAATACCGATCTATGCGACCACTCCTGTCATATCACTCGGGCGAACACTTCTCCAAGATCTCTACACTTCGACCCCTCTAGCCTCGACCATCATTCCCAAGGAAGCTCTTTCTGAGGCGTCCTACTCCTATTCACAGTCAATCTCAACCAGCCAAGACTCCAACATCCTTCTGCAACCTCCGACTAGCCAAGAGATCGCATCATACTTCTCTCTCATCCACCCACTGAAATACTCGCAACCTCATCAACCCCTACCTTCGCCATTTTCACCACCTCTCAACGGTCTCACGATTACGGCCTACAACGCTGGGCATACATTAGGAGGGACAATTTGGCATATTCAGCATGGACTTGAATCAATTGTGTATGCAGTGGATTGGAACCAGGCTCGTGAAAATGTATTGGCTGGTGCGGCATGGCTAGGAGGAGCAGGTGCTGGTGGAGCCGAGGTCATTGAGCAACTGCGGAAGCCAACGGCATTGATCTGTAGTAGTCGAGGAGGTGAAAGAGTGGCGCTACCAGGTGGACGAACCAAGCGAGATGAGCTTCTACTGGATATGATCAAGTCATCTGTCAGTAAAGGAGGGATTGTTCTCATTCCCACGGACTCCAGCGCGCGCGTCTTAGAACTGGCCTATCTATTGGAGCACGCCTGGCGAACAGAAGACAAAGATGACGATAGCCCTCTGAGAACCGCGAAACTCTATCTCGCAAGCAAGAACATCGGAGCGACTATGCGATATACAAGAAGCATGCTTGAATGGATGGATGATGCCATCATTCGAGAATTTGAGGCGCTGGCCGGTGGTCAACAATCAAAGCAGGGTGGTGAGCAAGCAGGGAAGGGTTCGGAATCTGGTCCGTTTGATTTCAAATTTTTGCGGCTGCTCGAGCGCAAGGGACAGATCGATCAAGCACTGAACGAGACGGATAATCTCGGACGCTCAGTTGGGAAGGTCATCCTAGCAAGTGATACATCGTTAGAGTGGGGATTCTCGAAAGAGGTCTTACGGAGAATTACGGACGATAGGCGCAATCTTGTCATTCTGACTGAGAGAATGTGCCCTCCCGAGCAAAGCGGTTCGAGAATTGGCCTTGCGAGAATCCTGTGGTCCTGGTGGGAAGAGCGTCAAGATGGATTGGCCTCCGAGACGAACGCAAATGGGGATATCCTAGAACAGGTCTATGCTGGTGGGAAGGAGATTGAAATTCGGGATGCGAAAAGAGTGGCATTAGAAGGCAATGACTTGGCTGTGTACCAGCAGTACTTGGCAACTCAGCGCCAACTACAAACAACACTCCAAAATGGGGGATCTACAGCACTTGATTCTTCGGCTGATGTGGTTGACGATGCATCATCTGATTCATCTTCTGACTCGGAAGAATCCGAAACCGAGCAGCAAGGCAAGGCTCTTAACATCTCTGCCACGATGGGCCAAGCAAATCGGAAGAAGATTGGGTTGAGCGATGAGGATCTTGGCATCAATATTCTACTTCGGCGGAAAGGTGTCCACGATTACGATGTCCGGGGGAAGAAGGGTCGCGAAAAAATGTTTCCTTTGGCCATTAGAAGGAAACGAAATGATGATTTTGGGGAGTTGATTCGCCCTGAAGACTTCCTCCGAGCTGAGGAGCGGGACGAGGTTGATGGTCAGGATATGCGTCAACCAGGAAGATACGACACAAAAGATACTCTGGGAATGAAACGGAAATGGGATGATGTTGCAGTACGAAGCGATCGTCGGATGTCCAATGGAAGTAACAAGAGACAACAAATCGGCAAAGGGCCTCGGCATGATCCTGATTCGACAGATCTTAGCAATTTGGCTCCTGGGTTTGACGATGAGGACAGCTTGGAGGATGAAGCAGAGGAGATAATTGGTCCTTCCAGATTGGAGTTCTCCACCGAAAGATTGAGCGTCAATCTACGGCTCGCGTTCATCGACTTTGCTGGATTACACGACAAGCGGAGTTTGCAAATGTTGATTCCACTGATCCAACCTCGCAAGCTCATTCTTGTCAGCGGCATGAAAGACGAAACATTGACTCTTGCCAATGACTGTCGCAAACTCCTCGCCGCTCAGATCGGAAGTGCCACGGAGACCGCGGTGGACGTTTACACTCCAAAGATTGGGGATGTAGTCGACGCAAGCGTTGATACGAATGCCTGGGTGGTAAAATTAACAGATGCGCTGGTAAAACGAATACGATGGCAGAAGGTCAAGGGTCTTGGGATCGTTACTGTGACAGGTCGTTTAGAATCACCCAGGAATGACGCAGAACTGGATGGCGGAGGCAGTAACAAAAAGCAGAAGATGCTCAAGGGAGAGGACGAGGAAACCCCAACACGCGAAGCTGTTGATGCTGCGACGTCTCGGGTTGAAATGCCAACCTTGGATGTCCTTCCATCTAGCATGGCTTCCGCAACTCGGTCTGTGGCCCAGCCTCTGCACGTTGGTGATCTTCGTCTGGCTGATTTGAGAAAAATAATGCAATCTTCTGGCCATACCGCAGAATTTAGGGGCGAAGGAATCTTACTTATTGACGGCTCTGTCATTGTACGGAAGACCGGTACAGGTCGGATCGAAGTTGAAAGCATTGGAATATCGGCAGGAGGCCAAGGAAACACCTTCTATGCCGTCAAGAGCAAGATATACGAAGGCTTGGCTGTGGTAGCCGGTGGGTAACCGCGATGCAAGGTAATTTTTTCCGTGTCGATTGGATGAGCATTGCATACTGGGCGCTTTCTGTAACATCAGTGTACTTATCTATCAACTATAGCCTCAAGGATGGCTTTGAACTGGTATTTCTAGGCCACGCCCCTATAGTTGCTGTTCTTGTATCCGTCGCTGCCTCAAAATGAGAGTGGTACAAATGGTGCTGTGAATCAGGGTTTGTCTGAATCCGTCGCAATTTCCCCATCATTCAATCGATGATGGGAATCATTCGGCTGAATAGATAGTCATCGGGCGTTTACTACTTCTTCCCCTTTACTTTCTGTCACTTCCATCTTCCTTCAACCTAAATTCAGTCCCATTATCACAACACGTCCATACATACACGTTCCCATACACCGATCATCAAGTAACCAAATCCACCAAGACAACCTGGCGTCTTTCGAAGAACGCAGTTTTGAGTTCCCGTTGCCATATCCCATACGGAAAATCATCTTCACCTACGCCGCCATTTACGACCCTGAACATATCATTAACCTAGTCAGGTTCTGCTCCATCACTGTTTATAATATCCACAACCAGCCCATATTCTACATCCAACAACTCGAAGCTGTGGCCTCACCATCTGGTTGGAACTCCGTTCACGGACGGGGCCCAGGTCCTCACACCACCGTTGGGAGCTTCATCCCTGCCTCCGTTCATCCACCGCCGCCGTACGTTACCAGCGCAGCTGCGGATCCCAACGCCATGGCCGGACGAGGATACAATACCTTCCACGGCTTTGACATTGGGCCACCACCTCCCGGTTTCCCCCCAGGTCAGCCAGCCGGCATACCATTCTCCGCATTCTTCCCCCCGCAAGCTTCATTTGCCTTGCCACAACCAACTTTCGCCCAGCCCATGCCCGCGGCCCTCTTCCCTCAAGGCTGGGGTGGACTACCCAATCCAGCCACGGCCCCTCTGCGCAATGGTGGGTTTCCTGGCATCCATCTTCGAAACCACACCGGCGGCGTGGGGCTGCCCCCAGGATACGACTACGCATTCCCGCGCGAACACACCAAGATCCATGTCTTCAAGACTGGGCCGACGCCCCCATGGCAGCAGACTCTCTGGTCATGGGATGGCACAAACCACGTCAAGCTTCTCGTGCCCTGTACCACCACGGTGAAGGAATTGATGCAGAACCTCGGATGCACGAATGGCGACGCGAATAAGAATAAGTTGCATGAGATTCAGGAGGCCGGTAATGGGAGATGGGTCAAGGGTATAACGATTTCGGGGGGTGATAAGGATAGGGTTAAGAAACAGATTGCGGAGTTTGGCTGGGATAAGTCGAGGACTGGGGCACCGGGGGAGAGACCGGTTGTTTGGCTTTGGTGTACGAAGGATTAGGGGAATGATGCACGGAAGTGGTCGGTGGGCATCGCGGACCTTCTATATCGCAGTTGGTAATCCTGGATGTCGAGCGGTGATATTTGGATAGATATAGTAGTCAGCTTAAAATTCATCTTGGTTATGGGGATTTAAATGTCTTCGCTGAGAATATAAATCGGCAGAAAAGGGTTGTCTCACTGTCCTCGCATAGAAAGATAGGTAGGTTTAAATATCTCAACCAACGTAGAAAAAAACAAGATCGTTATTTGAAGGAATATATGTGAAGGAACACCATCTAAAAGCCTCACATGATCAAACAAGAATAATCTGTCTCTCGTTCTTCTTCCGCCCCGAGTCTGACCACAAGACCAAGCTGGGCATGGAAACGACAAGATGGACAATAGAACAGCAGACCACCCATCCAGCATTTCTCCCTTCCCAACTCCCCAAAGCCGCCACATGCAGCACTCACCAGCCAGCAAACACCCTCGCACAACTTACAACTTACAACCCACCGCCTGCCATCCTTCCGTGAGACCAAGGCGCGTAACTGCAGTCTTCCAGAGGCCTGTCGTGTCTCGGCCTTCCCGCCCTCAACACCCAGTGGCTTCTTCTCTCCCCTCGCACAGGACTCGAGGAGGAGTGCGTGACGGGAGAGGATGCAGCTGCCGCTGGTGCAGGTGGCCGCCGTGCAGGCGATGGATTTGGGGTGCTCACTTGCTTGCTCCCGCAACTCGTTGGAATGTGGGGGGGCCTGACCTGGTAATGGAAACGGGAGGATAAAAAGGCAGGGCTTTCGAGATGCCGCTGGGGACTGTGTGACTGTGAGACTGTGAGACGGCAAGACGAGCGCCTTTTCAGATCGGGTCAGACGGAAGATTGGAGATCGGTCCTGCACCTGGATGCCTGCAGCCCCGATTACACCAATGAGTGGCGGGGTGAGGGCGAAGGAGTAATGCCGCCATATCATTAGATTATAAATACATTAAAAATTAATGACCATGCAAACATGAAGGAAATGTTCCCTTCTCATCCAAGCCCAACAAGCCCATCCGAATCCCCGCACCCCAGACTCCAAACCCCATACTCCCATTCCAGCTCACGATTTGAAAGCGCCGTGTATCTTAGAGGGGTTGAAGACATCCCTGAATATATCGATGTCGCGGCTCGAGGATGAAGCGCTCTTCGATGAGGAGCTCTTGGATGCTGACTTCGACGCAGAGGACTTGGACGAGCCGGAGCTAGATGTGGCGCATTCGGGCTCAAAGGCAAAGACGACATCGTGGAAATGGCCCACGAATTCCGAGTCTTTCAAGAAGGCGTCTTTCCACATAGTTGCAACCTCCTCTGGTGGGTTCCGGAAGCCGGGGCCGAGACCAAAACTCCCAATGCAGAGGTTGGGATAACCGTAGTAGACGGCAATGCGGAGAGCCGTGCGAATCTTGTCTCTCATAAGCTCCTTCTCTTGCTTGAAAGAGTACTTTTTGCCGGAGCTGTCAAGTTTGGGCCGCTTGACCGGGCAGACCGATATGATAGGCAGAACTGGCTTTGTGTTACAGAGAACTCTGGAATGTGACTGCGCGGCATACCTTTCATTTCGGGCCACACCTCATACTTCTCTGGGCCACTCCGGAAAACAACTTGGGAGAATATCAGATAAGACTGACCACGCGATCATCAACCTACGAGAGACTAACCGACTTTCTCTGAAAAAATACCTGCTTTGGGAGGAATGGGGTAGTTCGAGGATGCGTAGTTTCCCTCCGCTGGCGTCGTGAGCGTCCCATACAGGTTGCTTCTTCTGCAGAGACATTCCTCGGGCGACATAACTCCTAGATTCCGTCAGCCCAGTGCCAAATGCGAAAAATGAGTAGCGAATGCGAAGAAGTGGCCCAACCTGCTTCCCAATCACCTCCTGGTCTCTTGTCATTCGCCGGCATGATCACAGGGATTGGGACATTCTCTCCCGGAGCCCAATCAAGAGCCACATCAACTGGGTCGCGGTCGTAAAACGCTGTAACCGACGTAAGTAATGTGCAGACAGATGAAAGGTGCTAGTGTACGGACCGAATCGAATGGGCAGCTTCATCGCGGGAGGCTGAGCAACCAAAGTCTCTGAATAGCACAAGAACGAGGTCGCTGGCCACTGCGCGCCAAAATTCTGGCGGACATAGGGTATATATATCTTCTTGGCTTCCGCAGCTATCTCTGACGGTTTTGGCTTGGAGGCGGGCATCTCGGAGGGTTACACCACGCGAGCACTGAGGAAGGGTGGAGATGAGCAGCAGGCTTGTTGGAGGCAGCGAGAACTGCCGAGGGACGCGGTACTCTTGAAAGACCTGCGATCCATCTCAAAGATTCGAAGGACATGGGTCTGCATTATATAGTAGAGATGATGCAACAGAAGGGGGACTGGACACAGGAACGCTTGGGCCAGCATTCCTTTCCTTTTGGTCAAAAAGACAAGCATAGAAGTGATACCCGCGTACAAGACAACCGGTTCAAAAGCAGTCCGTTCTGCACTCCCCGCGCCTAAAGCGCAATATAGGGTTCCGGCCACCTATCAATCACCCTATTGATCTCGCTTCTTGAAGACGGCAGGAAGACGCAAGGAGTTGGGCCACGAATAGATTGAGAAACAACGGCCTGGATATGAAGAGAAATCACACTTATGCGGGCGCCCGGGTCCTCAGATCGATCTGTGTCCCCCTAGCAGGTGATACCCAGATTGGCGAGGGAGATCTGTCATTTTGCCTTTTGCAAAGAAACGGGCGTGACTGAAATGCATGAAGCACGGAAGGTCATAGAGTCCCACCAGGGCTTCCAACGGGGGACAGGATCTGGAGTAACAGGGAACGAGCAGATACGCCTCCCGCGGAGAATCTCAGCATTTCGCCACGCGTCGGCACTGGTCTTTGGGAGAGACACATAATGGACATTGGGGCTGGAAGGGGGAGCAACTTGCAAGAGAGTTGGAAGCAGAAGCAAGACCTCTAGAGGGGTGGACAGCATAACACTTGAAAGGGTTAAAGGGTTGAAGGGTTGAAGGGTTGAAAGGGGGGGTTCAGGTGATATGATTGACTTATCATAAGAGAGGGGACGGCAGTGAGACAGTGAAGGATGAGAGGTCAGGTGTGAGATGTGAGGTGTGAGGTTTGAGATATGAGATATGGGACTTCTGGTATGGTATGGCATGGTGTTGAGGAGGGAGGAGTGAGTAAAGGTAAAGCGGGAGACGCCTTCGCTTGTGTCGCCTCGTCCCGCGTCAAAAGGAAAAGGGATTTTACCGAGGCGCGCCTCGCCCTTCTCTTCTTCCGCGCCTCTCAGCCTTGCTTCCCTCCTCTATCTTCAATCTCGCTCCTCTTTTGCTTCTCCCTTCTCCCTTCTCCCTCCTCCATTGCCAGATCGCATATTGACTTGACTCCCGCCTCTCGCCCTCTCTCTTCCCGCCGCATGAACATGGTGCAGCCGCGTCTGGCGCCGTATGTCAGACGGGCCTTGCGCAGCTCCAGGGCATTCCACTCCTCCCCCAGAAGCTATGCGCCCGCACCTCTGTCCGTGGCACATCTCTTGGATACGCCCCCGCCAGACCCAGACAATGTGACAGTCAATGGGTTTATCCGGTCAATCAGGAACCAGAAACAGAGGTCTTTTGCTTCAGTCGGGGACGGCTCGAGTCTCGAGCCCCTCCAGGCTCTTCTCACACCCGAACAAGCTCAAAAGTCTGGCCACCCCCTTCCACCCTTCGTATTCTATCACTAACTTATGTCTCTCGCAGTCTATCGACGGGGACGGCCGTGCGACTTACCGGTTCCTGGAGACCGTCGCCGAATCCGAAAGCCCAGAGCCACGAGCTCCATGTTGTAGGATTGGATATTCTTGGATCAGCCGATTCTGCCGTATGTAAGGGCTGGAGTCACAAATTTGGCCGAAGAAAATACTGAGCGGGTCCAGACGTTCCCATTGCAGAAGAAATACCATTCGCCTGAGTTCCTTCGGACGATACCACACCTTCGGACACGAACCCCTTTCAACTCCACCTTGCTTCGTTTTCGATCACAAAGTATAGCACAGGTTACGGATTTTTTTGCCGGCCGGGACTTTACACAGACGCATCCTCCTATAATTACATCCTCGGATTGTGAAGGTGCAGGAGAAGTATTCTCGGTCGAAACGGCAGAGAAGGGGCGAGCTACGGCAGAAAGCGATGGGTCGTTCTTCAGATCACCGAAATACCTAACAGTCTCGAGTCAATTGCATCTAGAAGCTCTGGCACAGTCTGTGGGCAGCGTTTGGACGCTTTCTCCAACCTTCCGAGCAGAGAAGAGCGAGACTGCTCGGCATCTGAGTGAGTTCTACATGCTCGAAGCGGAGGTCAACTTCGTGGAGGAAATGGAAGAAGTCATGAGCCTGGTTGAGGATATGCTCCGACACCTGACCAAGGGACTATACAACTCGCGAGTAGGACAAGAGTTATTACACGGCAAACGATCCGGCGATCAGGCGGAGGAGGCCTCGAAGCGATCCGAGGAATTGGAGCGTCGGTGGCAAGGCATGATGAGTGAGTCCTGGCCGAGGATAACGTATACAGAAGCCATATCGCTGCTTGAACCGCATTCGGAGAAATTCGAACACGTCCCGAAATGGGGATCTGGTCTACAAGCCGAGCATGAGAGATTCATTGCCAGCACGGTCGGTAATGGCCAACCGGTCTTCGTCACCAACTACCCGAAAGCCATCAAACCGTTCTACATGCTCCCATCATCAACCGACGGATCGCGGGAGACGGTCGATTGTTTCGATCTGCTCGTCCCCGAGGTATGCGAGATTGTCGGGGGATCGATGCGTGAGCACCGCTTGGAGCCGCTCCTTTCTAGCATGCGGGAACACGGCCTGATCCCGCCCAATGCATCGTCCGCAGAAGACCTCGGGACTTTGAAATGGTACATTGACCTCCGACGCTGGGGCAGTGTTCCCCACGGCGGATTTGGTCTTGGCTTCGACAGACTGTTGGGATACTTGTCGGGGGTGCCGAACATCAGGGAGATCGTGACGTTCCCACGGTGGGTAGGCCGATGTGACTGTTAGTTAAGCAGCCAGCACGCCATGTACTTATAGATAGAGAATGTATGTATTATAATTCAGGATCCCAACGCACCCCTTCAAATCCTGCCGAGCCTCGCGCCCACACCAGGTGTCTATTCTGTCCATGATCTCCTGACCCATAAGTGAAGAACCCGCAATATCCATCCACCAAACCCGGGCCGATCCTTCGGCAACGAAGATCTACAAATCTGGCATACAGCACATTCCCGCCGCGGTAGTAGCCAGGAGGAAATAGAAATAGCAATCCCCACGGCACAGCAAAGCCTTTATTTTGGGCGTTTATAAAAAGAAAAGAGAAGAAAAGAAATGCCACAATAGCTTAAATAGTGAAAAAGCCATGTGGAGTGGAATCTGCCCTGTCCGCCTCTTGACGTTGGTTAGAACCAGCACGTGCTAACAGGCATACAGGATTCTGCGCCAAGTTGGGAATTCCTCCTTGTTTCATCTATTTTCCCCTTTTCTCTTTTTTGGAAAAAAGAAAAGGCCTTTTTTGTTCTTCTCCTCCCCCCGTCCCCTCCCCCCTTTGATCTCCAATCGAGTTATTCTGGGATTTGGTCTACCTATTCTTTCCTCTGTCCTCTCCTCCATCATGCGCGGATTTCCCTCTGTGGCGCATCGGCGGCAGCGCTTGTGACGCCGCCGCCGCGCATGAACATCCATCCCCTTGCCTCATGTCACTTACTTACATACCTTACATACCTGTTAATCATTTGAATACTTTATTAATTTATCAGTCATTAATATAGTCTTATGAAAATAGCATCACTATATATATACACACAGCTCCCAACGCTTTATGTACATCGATTTGCGTACATCTCCATCTCTACCCTATCCGAGGCCTCCTCAAACTCCCTTTTCACATGTGCTGCTACCCAAGAACCCACGCACTCTCTCTCTCTCCCTTGTTATACATCTGTAATATCCTACGTAGTCAAAATACTTAATTTTGATAATCCCTGGTGTAAAGAAGAATAATAAGAAACAAGAGGATTATTTTAAGATAACTAAACATAGGTACTGAGGACTACCCGTTGATTTGGTAATTGAGCCAAAGGACATTTGATGTGGAGAGAGGTGATGCGTGGCGCCGTGCAGTATAAGACTCTGCATGGCCGTGTGCATCTGTACCTTTAATGAGAGGGGACGGCCCTCGGTGTATAAACATAGGCTATACATACACGTGCATCACGCAGCCGCGGTATCCTGCTTTAAACCCAGTCGAGCAAAGACAGAGGTATCAGTATCTATCATATTCGCTCTAGCTATCTGTGCCTACGTGTTGTCTGTCATAGGACCGGTGCACCTGTAAAGATGCCACTTTTGTGTTCTCCCCCTCCCACCCCAAAACCCCCCCATAGCAGAAAGCCCAACGCCAGACGCAATGCAAAGTAAAGCCAAGCCAAGCCGCAGCCGTGCGGGGGCAGTCCTCCCCGAAGAATGCGTTGCCAAATCGTCGCTGCAGATCTGGTAGTAGTGTACAATCAAAGGATCCGAAGTGAGATAGCAAAGCAAAAGAATGTCTGAAGAGAAAAAGAAGAAATTGCAGACAAAAACAGTATGGTTTCTTTCTCTGGCACCCCCGCTCTGTAGCATTATTTAGAGCCAGGAAATTTTCATAAAAATAGGTCGTTTCGAGAAGGTCGCAACAAGATTGCTTCCTCCATTGGGTGACGTGGGTCAGAAGGCAAACTTATCAAGGACCCGAATGGCCCTCTGGTCCTCGACCCGGATGTTGAGTTTCTCGTGCGGGATGTCCTTCGGCCTCTGTTCTCCATTCTCCCTCGGACTTCGGCTACCAGCGCGACTGCTGTTGCTCTTGTTGTCGCTCATCACCGACACGGAATCCGTTGCATGTACCAGGTGAGAAATGCTGGGTATGCTCTGAGCTTGCGATGTATTCGTGGTTGGTTTCGGTGTTCCGTTTGGTGACGGGCCCCGGCCAGGAGATTGGGGGGTGTTCGCTTGTCCGTTGACGTGGTTGTGTGGGGGAGTGGAGGATCTGGTCATCCCGTTCACTGGTGGTAAAGACGTCGGTGGTAGTGCCAGGCGAGGATCGGCCATGGAGGCTGATTGCAATGCTCTCTGCGCGATTGCTTGTTGCTCTGCCATGATCCGTGCTTGGGCTATGCGAGGACTCGGGTTTGGTTGATAAGCGGGCATTGTGTTCTGGAGGGTTGCATTGCTCACGCCACGGTGCTGAGATGGGGGAGGCGGTGGTGGAAGTGATGAGTCCGAGAGTGGTGGAGGTGCACGATCAAACGCGGTTGGCTGTGGGGGTCCATGGGCCATTGACGTTGGGGGAGGAGGGTGGTGATGAGGATTTTGTTGGATATTCTGGTATGGTGATGTATGAGCTGATCCGGGAGGCTGCTGATATGGGGATTGGTGTTGAGGTGGAGGTGGCAGGGCTTGCGGATACACAGGACCTTGGTAATGACCCGGAAATGGAGGAGTAGAAGCAGGCGATGGAGGCCAAGCGTAGCCCTGGGAATACCCGTATGGTGGTGGAGCTCGCTGGCCCGTGGGAGCTTGCATCGGGGGTTGATGCGGTGATTGCATGTATGGACCTGGCTGCATGGGTGCTCGTGCTGGCGCCGGAGTCTCGTGGACCGTGGACTCTGGGTACATCCCTTTGACGGGGACAATGTGTCGAAGTTGCGGGTCGGTCGTAGGCTGTGGGAGCTCGGGAGAGTTGGGATGTGGTCGAGAGTAGTATGAGATGAGGTGGAGGTGTTGGCCTGTGGAGGTGGTAATGCTGAACGACTGCTTCATCAGACCATCTGGCTTGTATCTGTATCCGTCCTGTCCATCCCCATCCCCATCTTGATCCTCATCACTCCCCCGCCCACTGTCTGGAGTCTTCCCTGCTCCCCGTCGTGATGAATGTGGCACGAACTGGCCTCCTCCCCGCTTGCCCTCCATCTCACGGTAGGTGAGAAAGCTTCCGGATACTCTGCTGGCGCTCCAGGACTTTCCATCTGTCCATCTTCGCATTCCTGCTTCCCGCTCGTCCCAAACAAATACTGATCCCGACTTTATAGATTGCCTCTCCTTTTCTGATAATCTTCGTTGGACCCGAGGTAGCAGACCCAGGCGGCAAGCTTCAAACAGCTTGATTGCATCTGCAGGAGTCCGGACATGGCCGTAGTAGGTATCCATCTTGCTCGTGGTTCTCTATATCACCCAATCTACCCGGAGGTGGGCAGATCAAATACTCGACTGCGAAGGGAAAAGGCCGCCGTCCCCAGCTGAAGCGAACAAGGAACAAGGGCCTTCCCTCCCCACAATTGCTGGGCGCTGTTGTGGAATGTCAAGTCCCTTGGACTGCCCTGCTCACTGCCCGCCCGGGATCCTTCTGGTGTCCAGCCTCTTTACGCGGCGTCTCGCGGCGTCTCCGCCAGCTCCCGCACCGTGATGTCCGGAAAGGTCAAGTATTGACGGTGCGGCACAGCTTTTACGCAGGTCGAGTCGTGACGACGAGACGTTCTGTGATTGATCGGCTATGCCCCAGAAGATTCGTTAGCAAACAGATCCGACCCACGATTGCACAGTTCTGGGATAAGGTGGAGTCCGGGCGAAGATGAGACAGCTTGAGGCACAAGGTGACAGAAGCTTAGACTGCGCTTCCCAGGATCGCAGGGAAGAGTAGGAGACGGGTCGGAGGTGGGACGACGGCACACACAATGTGGAATGTGTGCAGAGATTTTAAAGAGGATGATAGAGTGGAGTTGGGGGGCAGTTGAGTTGAGTTGATGGAGAAATCTTTGGGCCAGGTAGTGCTGGTTGGGTCTGATTGAACGAGTTGAAGATGACGCGAGGTCAACCGACGCGATCAACGGTCGACGGCAAGACCGGTGTTCTGCAAACTGGACTCGCAACGAGAGAAAAAGAAGAGAGATGAAAAGAGGCATACATACAGTTCAGAGGGATCTTTCTATCACATGCATCAATCCGAGCCTCTTTCACAAGACGCCAAGCGGGTTGGGTTGTCTATTGGCGTGACCGGGAATAGAAGACAGATGCCGGGTTTGCGCTGAGGTACGGGAAGAGCTCGAGAGCTGCAAGATCGGATCTACGAGCAATCTCGAGACAACTCGGATCAACAGGTAGTGAGTCTTCGACAAAGCTCAAAGGTGAGAGGAGCAGAAGAGGTTGGCTGTCTTTGTGAAAATATAAGCAGGGGATCTCCAGACGTCGGGCCAGAGTTCGTACTACAAAGCACGAGGGATGTCAACCGGTTAACGGAGAGCGAGAATTAGAAAGAAAAGCCCAACAATAAACATGGTTGGAGGACGGCTAACCTTATTTTTATTATTTGCTTATTGACTTGCTTATTATTAGAGTTTGCGGCTGCGGCTGCGGGGGCGGAGGATCTTGAGTCTTGACTGTCGTAAATTCCCGCTACGCCCTGCCCTGCCCTGCCAATTCGACCGTCGAGTTATAACGGGACTAGGTAGGGTTCGAGAATCCTCTGCAACGGGTTGGTTGGATTTGCCCACCTGTTAGGCCGTCTTGGGGGTGCAGGGGGTGCAAGTGATAATCATCAATAATCGGCAATCAACCAACCAGTCCCAGCTCTACAAGAGACCGAGGGAGAGCCAAGAAGTACGGAGGGAGGTCAAGTGGCAACGTAGCAGTAGTAGTTGATGAGTGTGAGTAGCAGGTTCAACGGCAACGGCACGGTCTCCCTTTCTCTATCCCGTTCTCCGTCTACAGAGGGCTCCTCTCCTGTTGGTTGGGGAGGCTTCGAAAGAAGGTCTGACGGTCTAGGACAAAGGAGAGCTTTCCGAGGCCGTGGCGTTTACGAGGGCGTGCCGCTACAGCCTCGCCGAAGTCCACTTCTATATCGGTTGGCAGAGGTTAGTCTCGAAGCATCGAGATTCGAGATGTTATTATTCCAGGAATCGAGGCGTACGGTGCAGTATCTCTCCTCCGGGGTGGCCCACTCTAAATTGATTAAGAGCCCCCTGTGCTAGTGCGGCTATGCTACTCTACGTCTACAAGGTCCTTGAGGGTTGGAAGCCCCTTGAAGAGTAGTCCTTGATCTGATGATTATTATTCTTGTTGGATGTACGGCGGATGACTTTTCAGGACGCCTCAGGAGTGGAGATGTGTGCCCACACCACACGTTGATCTTCCCACACTTCGTTCTCTCCCCCCTGCTTCGGAGTTTACCTTTTTCCACGTACTACTGCGTGCACAGGGCAAGACTCAAGAGGGTCCTTAACTCCGGAGGGGGGCCGTTTAGATTTTGCAAGAGTTCACCTAGCGGGCCAGACTCCAGTTTAAACCACCTTCCCTAAGGTACCTTACCTTGCACAACCTTAGACGAAGGGAGTCGGTAGGTACGGTATGTACTTTATTGTCTCACCTCCTGTCCTGAGTCCTGACTCCGGAGAACAGGTACCGTACAGTCCCCTCCGCGACAAGTCGGGAGAGGCAACGCTGACAGCCTGACAGGAGTCGTCGATAGAGATACGCCGATTGAGGCGAGCTTATTCTTATTTGCGGCGCTTTTGTCCCGTCTCCCGCGCCTCGTGTCTGTCAGCATCCTAATTCCCTATTCCCTGTGGCATTATCCTACCTTACCTAGGTCTACTCTGTATTAATCCCACCTGCCCCTAAGCATTTATCCGGCAAGCAAAAGAACCGCGCGGGAACGAAGGCCTCGATTTTTATTTCCATTTGCATGATTGGCTCCATCGATGGTCATACGAGCGAGCTAGCTGAGGCAAAAAAGCAAAGTGGGACGCAGCCATCAAGTACCTAAGTCATAATCAATGAAGCTTAAAGCCATCCGGCCCCTCATGTCTCAACCTTAAACGCAAGATTCGCGTCATATCCGGCCCACGACTCACGCCCTTCCACGAGTCAGAAGCGCTCTGTCAGGAGGAGGTCAAACTCTCAAAGGAGGAAAAGAAAACATAAGACATCAAGGCAACCCTAAACACAGAAGAGACCAGGCACAGGGGAGTGCACAAGAAACATAACTATCATCATAGACATAGACATAGGCATAAACATAAACATGAAAATAAAAATAAACCCCCTACAATCTTCTCTCGGATTGCCTTCCGGACGCAGGAAAAGAGTGGGGAGCGGCATGACATCGCCCATCGCTCGTTTGGCAGCTGGACGCGCAGTCGACCAGGAGCATAAGGAGGAGCCTTCTCATGAGTCGCGAGGAGGAATAACAATAACTGCGGTGACTTGCACCGGGTAGAGGTATCAGAGGACGCAGTACTGTACACAGGAGATATAAGATTTTGTGCTGTCGATCCGCCGGAATAGAAACAGTTGTGCTCCCAATGCTCATCGCATGATCGGCGTGTGAAAGCATCGAAGGCCCATGTAATTCGATAAAGCCACCGAAGAGAGAGGAAAGAGAAAGCATATCCATCCATCTTGTTACACGAGTGCGGCGCGGTCCTATCGTCCACGCAAGCTTTTCTCCCCCGGCCTCTCCATTCCCACCGCATCTCCCTGCGGCGTGTGTATTTCTATCGCCGTCGTTTCTCGGTTTCAACTTCTTTTTCTTTCGTTCCATGTACTCTCGCCCTCCATCTACCGTCTCCTATTTTTTATGCATCTGCATTAGTATAATATCATATAATATCATCTCATCTCATGCAATATAATTCTACGCACCCCCTGTCGAGATTTGTTTTCCTCGATTAAACTTTCCCCTAGCGGTTCTTGGCGGCGCAAAACTTTTCCTTGGCGCACAACTTGATTTAAGCATGATTTTCCTGGCTCGGCTACGACGGGCCCACCGCCAGCCGGCCGCCCGTGGGAATTTTCGATGGCCGTGGATATGTGAGGAACAAAGTAGTAGATGCTGCTGACGACGGTGTAATGCTCTGCTGGCCTTCGCCCTTGACTGGGTACTACTGCATCATAGATATGTGTATATATATACGTGTATATATATACACCCTCCCGATCCGTTAGGGGCAACACATCTCCAGTCACACTTGGTGTGTCCCTATACTTGGGGGTCGGCACTCGGACGTTGTTCTGCTCCGTGGTCCGTGCCGCATCTTCCTCTCGGCGCCACCAACCCGGCTCGACTCGGCCCGACAATCGCCGCCACGTAGATGTATTGAACCCGATGCGGAACTCGACACGTGAGCGAGTCTGCACATTTATACCTTAACCTTACCACATATCTTACCTACCTTAGGTATCTTCTATTTACCTTGCCTACCTAATCCGTCCGCATTCCGCTAGGTATCTGCCTTTCAAGTTCCCGCCCTGCTCATGATGCCCTTGCCCTGGCCCCGCGCAGAGACATCATGTGCGGCTCCTCTCCTCGTGGGCCCGGACTCCGGAGCACATACGGGAATAATAACGCGCGCAAATTTAAGCCTTTCGACATGTCCTCGAGTCTCCAGTCTCCATACGCCTAAAGGTTTGCCGCGTGAAGAGCCTCTCGGGAAGCTCGGACCGTCGGACGCCCATCATATTATTGTCCGGAGTAAGTGCTCACGTAAGGTAAGGCCGTGGTACTCCGCATGCCAAAACTCAAAAGACTGAGGCTCTTGACATAAGCACTTCCGAGGTATAGCCATAGCCGATATTCTGCCGCCCCTTGCTCTACGCCGATGCTGAAGCCTGAATCCTACTATTGTGTACACGAGATCCGGAGCAATAATAATGTCATATTGGGGAGAGAAATAAGGTACCTTAGACGAGCCAGGTCATTTGGTGGAAAGTGGCTGCACGAAAAGAGAGGCCCAGAGCCTGTTACACTGCAGTGTCGACTACCTACCTGCGGTATTGCGGAATCTACCTACCCATCCATGGACATCGATGCGACCGTGGATATCAATCCATGAACCCACAGCGGGAATCCTAAGGGTCATTGCCGGATCCAGTATATATTACGATAGCATTCGTGTTGTTATTCCCGTATATACGATTATATATGCTTACCCTATCTTTTCCCAACGTCAAACCCTCGCGGAACGTCGTAACAAGCTTAAATCCGCACCAACGGCTTCCCACCAGCAAGGGCGGAGGATGACGCGGCCTCGCCTACTAAGCTCACCCCCCCCTGGCCCGCACTCCACTCTCTTTACCCTTAGCGTTTAGCCTAAACATCCCCATGGCGTGTCTGCCGTGCTCCGGAAGGTAGCACTAAGAGAAGGTACGCCTCGTCTAGGACTAGCGTCTTCAATAGCGCCCTCTCGAGATAAGAGAAGAATTCTCCCTTACCCAGCTAGGTAGTAGTACAACGTAAAACCTCACCCCTGCTGCATGATGTGTCTTCTTCTCGATCTGATAACCTTATCAGGGATAAATAGCGAGTTTGGCGATCACGTGCTCTTCCCGCACCAGTCCTGTGTCAAATACACCCGCAGGAAGCTACCTATCTATATCAAGAGAGGAGAGATTTCTGGCAAAACGGATTATTCGCGATATTGTATCTCCTCAACACGTCAGAAAGTTGGATCTTGGCAAAGAGATCAGCCCTGTGATGCGCATCTTGGCACCGGATCTGCGACTCGGTCATTCATAACGCCGTCTCGGTGGTTGGTGAACGATATCGGACCTGTGGTGATGCCAAGTAAGAGATTGGGTAAGCAGGGGCGGCACGGTCTTTTCATCAAGCTTGATCCGAGCCCCGAATGAACGTCTCGTTAAGATTTATGATTGCCAGCATCAAGGACAAGTGCAATGCAATTATAGTAGTAATATCTTCTTCTATTGAATAGGTACTCTCTCCTGGGAGTACCATGAATGGCTGTATATATATACCTCTCTGTTATTGTTAATCTATCAATCTCTCTTCTCCGAGCTCTTCCAAACGCTCTGAACCCAAACTCCCAATCCATGTTTTATGTTCACATGTTTTCTATGCCAGAAGTACCATCAAGTCCTCCAAGGCGAGGCTCTCTTACACCCTGCCACGTGGAGCCGGCAACTCCTACCAAGTCATAGGAAGGGGGCGGGCGATCTCAGATTCAGGAGGTTGGTATTTAGGGTTCGAAGTGGTCTGTCTCTATTGTTCTTAACTTCTCTTCCACAATGTCTATTCACATACAACCCTCTTCCTTACTGAACCTTGCCTAGAAATAGACAAAGGGGTTCTCCAACACGGCTTTCCCTTTCACACGTACTCCTACCCTTCCTCCCCTAGCCATGAATAACAAGTAAGTGTACCATTCTCACCCTACTCTGAGTCTTCGTTCTCGAGATCCGTAAAATGAACTTCTGCATCCACACCTTCCCTCGATGCCCCCAATAATCATAAAATCAAAACAAACATACGGACTTACGGAAACACCTGCGGAACCCACACGTCCAAGCATCTCTCTAATCAAATATCCACACCAAGGAACCTCCTGGCATATCCTGACTATTTGCCCACATCATCAGCATGTGCACAACAATCCGACTGCGCTGCGCATCCTGCAACCGCGAACTCCCCAACGCGGTGGAGCGATACGTCTGCCCGGCGGCAGGCGACCCCGGACATATGACTGAGATTCTCTATGAGAAGGAGCCTGGGGTGTGTGGGCGAGCACAGTGCGGAGCGTGATTTTTTGAGCTGTACCAGAGCATTGGAAGTATGATTGACAGGTCCGGAAGTGCAGATATAACTCCTGATCAGAAGTTGCTTTCTTTCGCGGACTTGGGATTGTGTGGAAATGCCGTTGTCCCCTCTGTTTTAGGGTTTCAATATTTTTATACCCCGATAACCATTCCTTTGGCACGTCAGCACTCTGACGAAGAGCTCGTGGATTAGTCTTGACTTACCTGTTATCCCGGTTTTTGTAAGGCAACCCATCCCTCCGCCCATATAAAGCATACTTGCATGGAAGCGGGCAGTAGCCAGCTAAGAGCAGTTTGACGATGTAAACACCAAATATCATATTCACATAGTTCTAGATGTGCATATAGAGAGCAATACGGAACTGCAGAAGAGACGGTTCTACATACCTTATACATATGTGGGTAGAAAAGAAAATCGCATGTTCTTCGACCCCCCCCCCCCTCTTTTCCTGTCACTAATTTCACCAAAATGTCATCATTCTTCTCCATCTTCTTCCATTTTTTATGAACAAAATACCATGAACTATCCTCAGCACAAGATCAGACTTTATCCATATCCATAAATCAACCCATATATATATACCACAACCCCCTATTAAAAAAGCGGATCCTTCCACCTCTCCAACGTCTAGCTTTCACAACCGTAAACCTCTTTCGTCTGTGCCTATCAGATAGCTGCTTGAATCCAATGATCTAGCATTATACAGAGCGAGATATGATAACAGCATCAACGAGACTATCCCAGTTCTCGGAAATCATATAGAGAGATACTAGCCAGAATCCATCCAGCGGACGAGATCTGGTGCATCTAGCCTTGACTTGGAATCCTCCCGAGGATAAAAGAATAGACTTTCTGCCCCTTGGCCCCAAGAAAAGCATTCGAAAGCTCGGGCTCAAATCTATGATACCTTACCTATGCATCCCCCACGTTGGGAGCCGAACTAGCAAGCGAACTGAGATGAGAAATCCCTCGCACTTGACAAGTCCATTTCCATGGAACAGAACAGCGATTCGAGCTTCATCCCATTAAGAACTTTTCGGAAAGCTACGGTTGAATTCATGAACAGTGACATTTAAATACGAGGAGCTGTTTCTCTCGGGCAAGACGTAGCTGTCGTATCACGTTCCAGGTATCTACCTATCACCCTGTCGCTCCTCCCTCCCTCCCGACCTTGAAACTCCTATCGCCATGAAGAGCCATGCTCGCGGCTTTGATACCACCTATAGCGGAGCTATCCTGCAACGAGCCATGACGAGCCATTCCAGGTGACCATTACCCCTTCATGAGCACCGACCATTGAATCAACCGTCATTCAAGAATCCACCCGACTGCAAAAATCGCATCTGATGCTCCCGTAGATCCGCCCAATTCCGTAACTCCTCTTCCTCGGCATCCTGCAGATGACCATTTTCTCCATTCAGACTCGGATTGGTTCGCTCAAGCTTCATCAGGACATCCAGGAACCTTGCCAGGTACTCCTCCGACTTCAGAGCTAAGGGGCCTTTCCGATTTTGTGGCGAGTCGATCAATGTAGAGGCTATTTGTCGGATTTTGTTGATCTGATTATTGGGTTAGAGATGGGACTTTACAATAATGCGGTCACTTACAAAACTGCCTCCGTTCGGCTCCATGTTGATTTGACTGATGCTGCCAAGCACACGGAGTAGATCCTTCACAATGATTTCCCGCTCATCCGCAACATTTATTTCACTCTCTCCATACGTGGTACTCTTGGGGAGCATATTATCCAGCCCACTGGCCGTTGGACCCGGAGAGGTATGTGAATCACCTCGAGAGGTTTCTCTTTCGTGGGCTTCTTGAAGGTTCCAATACTTCTCCACGATGTAAGACCGAGTGCCGAGCTGACTGGCATAAATATTCGCCTTCTGGATCTCGTATTGCAGTCTTCGCCGAACCTCTGGGTCTTCCTGGGGCCAGTGACCCATCTCACGACCATTGAATCTTACGCTTGGATAGTCTGCCATTGACGGGAGGTATGGTCGGTCTGGCGATTTGAATTGACCAGGTTCCGAGCCAGGAGTAAGCATCAATTCTCTTGGGACATTGTCCAATACGTGCTTCACCTGCCGCAGACACTCTTCCAGGATTCTCTTCTGGCGATTCCAGTCGAACACCTCATCAATGCCATATGCCAGCTCCATCGTCGCCAAAGGGTCAAGGGACATGTAAATCTGTATTCCCAGGTTGAATCCCGTCAGTTTCGATATTAAGCCTGCCGGCTGAGGATCAACATGATCAACGTATATGTATTCGTCGTCGACTTCCAAAGGCAAGGGTGGATACGGCTCACTAGGCGTCGGAGGAGGTATGACGAGTTCACCGAATGTAGCACCAAGCTGTTGCAGTGATCTATAGATTGTCAGTAGAAGCTCGGGAAAAGGTAACCACGTACATACCTGACACCAACAATCATGATCCAGAACACCCTCCTGCCAATCTCTTGCCTGATGTAATCGACTGGTTGTGCTTGTCCACCATATGCACCAGCTTCCCCAAAAGGTACAGATGTATTTCTCGTTGAGAGAAACCCTGGATCCTTCTTGAACTTATGGGTTCCAAGGGCTCTTGATATGTTCAGAGTCTCCCCGAAATATAGTCGACATTGTCGTGGTTGGAACGTGTATGCAGCAGCCAAGCCCAGGAAGTAGCTCGTGACAGCATCATAAACTGACAACTCCTTGTCGAGATATCCCGCTCCTCGAGCTTCAACGGCCACCTTATGACATCGCTCAACCAAGCTGATCGAGGTTGGGAACAGGTGCTCGCGGTGCTGGGCTTTCAGATGCAGTCGTGGCCTCCGGGGGAAGGAGGCTACCAAAACGCCGACCATCGACGCCAATAATGCTAAGAACGAGGGGTTCTTAAGGTCTTCTCGGGATACGAAAGCATCGCGGAAGGAAGGTTCGTGGGGAAAGGGGGCGAGAGGGTGGATATAAGTGAAGAAATCGTTCACGAGGAGTTCGAGGGTAGGAAAGGGACATATTGATTCGGCATTGAGGACGGCGTGCGAGGAGAAGGATGCTAGAGTAGCAGCGACATTATTCGGGGAGGAGGTTGGAGATGCTGCAGATGGCGATTCCAGCTTGCGCTTCTTGATAGCTTCTGCGTGTCGGTTTGGAGGACCTCTCCGCCGGCTGGGTCGTTCGAAGGTACATGGGATTTCCAGAGCCAGACAAGCTCGACATGGCGGGCCCGACTCGTCGCACTGTAGAGGGGGAGAAGATCAGTATCTGCGAGACGCGTGAATTGGAGCTCTAGCCGTCAACTCACTCACCTTCACCTTGCGAATGCTACACGAATCGCAAGCTTTGCGAAGACGGTTTGCCCTCTGGCCCTCCCCGCTGGCAGACGCGGACGCGGACGCAGACGCAGACGCAGACGCGACAGGTGGAGGTGCAGGCCCAGGTGCCCCTTGGTGCTGCACATTGCCTGGATGTCCGTTCGACGGGCTGTTGTCGTACGGAGACTGCTGAGAAGGCTGAACATTGTAGTGGTAAGGCTGCGCGACCGTCAAGCCGTGCTGGGCGGCCAATTGATCGTTCTGCGGCCCAGCTGCATCGCGCAGAGCGAGATGGAGAGCAGGATCAGGAGGATAGTTGTTTGAGGGCGCAGTGTAGGCCGACATCTTATGGTCGTGGCCGTGTCTGTCTGTCGGCGGGAGAGTGGCTGGGAGATGGGGTTTCGGAGGGGATCGAGGGGTCCGGTTGTAGGTATTGTATTGTATGATCCTACCAGCTCGTCGCGTTGCGTCGCGCTCTCGATCTGGATGCCCACGTTGATGCCGCAATCAACATCAGATGTCTAACGCGAGACCGTTGGCGGGATTGCGGCATTGGGATTGTCTTTCTCTGTTGTCCAGCTATATCAATCCATCTCAGGCTGAAGACATGGTCCGGCTAAAGCGAGGAGAACGGCGAGGCGCAAGCGAAACAACAAGAGCTGACCTACTCGAGTATATATATAAAGTACCTTAGTAAGTAGGTCAATAATTCTATAATTCTATAATCCTGTCATCCTGTCATCCTGTCATCCTGTCATCCTGTCATCCTGTCATCCTCTATCCAAACATCCTGAACCCGATGGACAATGCCAAAGATACATCACAAGTGCCCTCCTCCCTCACATCTTCATCAATAGCTGCCCCCTACTCTTTGCCATTCGGGCCCCCACGAGGAACCCACACCCGACAAGCATAACCACTCCTGCAAATATCTGCGCATACATGTATTCACCGCCCTTCCTTTGGATCAGTTGCCCAGCAATCGGTGGCCCAGTGAGCACCGCGAAGCTCACGATACTGAAAACCATGCCCATTCTGGTACCTGCCATCCTCAAGTCCGTCGTCAAGCTACTCAGGGTTGCTGGGAAGAGACTCTGGATCGCCGCTCCGACGAAGCCGTACACAACTGTCCACGCGTATAGTCCTCCACGAGAACTCACCGCGATCCAACAGAAAGATAGCATGGAGGCCATGAGCACTACGAGACAGATCGAGTTCAGAGGTCCCAATAATCGATCGGCAAGAAAATTAGGGATGATGCGACCCGGGACTCCAAGACCGTTCATGGTTATAAGGAGGTTGATGGAGTCGGAATACGGAAGGTGGATTATCGAGCGGCCAAAAGATGTCAGGTAGTAGAATGCGAAGTAAATGCCCCAAAAATTCTGTCCACCTTATCAGAACTCCTATCCTATTTGGTGCAGAAGATGATAAACTCACGAAGAACATCCCGGTGGCAAACAGCACATATGGAGCTTCTCTGAAACTCGCCCAGTCTACCAGAGCCCCCGTCTTCCTTGGGGGAACCCTTGGTTTCAGTCCAATGTTGCAAAGACAAAAACAACCGAGCTGGATAAAGGCCATAGCTCTCATCGTCCAAGGGAATCCGATCCTGGGAAGCAATTGCTTCACCATGGCAGGGAAGATCATCCCACCGGTTGCACTCCCTGAAGTGGCAAACCCTATTGCTAAGCTTCTCTTCTTCGAGAAATACGTACTCAATAAACTCAGCGCGGGACAAAACAGGCATCCATATCCAATACCGCAACAGACTCCCTGGGCCAGGAATAACTGCCAATATTTAGTGGATAAGGATGTCATGAAGACCCCAATAATAGCCACGAGAGATCCGGTCAGGAAGACCAGGCGGAAATATCCAGCATCTGTGAATCGACCGGTGAATGTTCCTATGAAGAAGAGAAGGAAAACTTGGATCGAGCCAACCCATGAAATGTCTGATGGTGATTTGTTGAGTGCTGTGACATAGTAGGCTTGGAAGACTCCAAAGGAGTTGATGAACCCCCAGGTATTCATGAGCACGAGGTGAGCCATAGCAGCTATCACCGAATCAGCGAAGTTCCACTACGGAGTATAGTGGGATTTGCAGGAAGGAAAAGAAAGAAAAAATAAAAGAAAGAAAGAAAGAAAGAAAGACAGGAAGGAAGGAAAAGGAGGATACACACCCTGAGTCCACGCACGCAAACCACCGTCGGGGGGCGGCCCCGGATCCTTCCAACTGCTCTTTGTACTCGTCCTTGTAACTGGTCCCTTCCCACTATCTTCTACATCTTGAGGTTGATTCAGGCTCTTAGGATATTTCTCAATATCTCTGTTCTGGGTCACCGAGATAGGTGCTTGCTCAATGTCTAACCCATTGTGTTCTGACAAGTCACTTGAATGCACAGACGGGGTTTCATCATACTTTTCGAAAGGACCTCCCGATGGATTCTGGATAGATCCCATCTTCGCCAGCATGTGAGGCTCTTAAGTCTCGAGAGCAACTTCAGCTGGGGAATAGAAGAGTGGGGTATTTTGCGGGCGAGTATCGGAAATGCGAACGAGATATCTTGCGACACAACACAACCAACAAACGCATGAAAGCTGGCTTGAACAATTGCCAAGTAAGGTCCACGAACGAGTGAGACAGACGAAGTAATAATGAGAAGAAGAAAATTCTGAAGCAGGGAATCATATCTGTTTGCCCTAAACGAAGATAACAGCAGAACAACGGTGAAGGATGCTTGCCAACTCCTTGCTCTTAGCGAGGAAGGCCTCTGCCCATCGGCGACAGACCTGCACTGTTCAAGGTGATTTACGTAGTATATCCTGATCCGGCGGTGCGTGACCACTGGTGAATGTCCATTTCGGCAAAGGAAACCAGTTGGAAGCAAGCTCGGCGGTTGAGGTCCACGCCCTTCGACGACAAGGTTGGAGAGTCGGGATTCGGGAGACACCGCTCTACCGGAGTAATATGGGGCCGATTAGTAATGACCTATCTAAGGTTAAGTTGGTTAAGCTTTTGACGGCGATGTTCAGGGGCTTCTTCTTCCTGCCGTCTTTTCGCTAAAGCCCCCCCCCCCCCTATAAAACCGATGAAAAAATCTCCAAGAGAGGTCAAGAGCTTTCACGAGACACGCACCAAGAAGGTTTGGAGTACGATTATTTCTGCATGCCTTTGAGCTACACTAGCTAGCCATTCTCCTGGTATACATACCTATCCGAACTCCTCCGAAACCTAACCGCGATATTACCTCCCCTCTTTTTCTCACAACTTGCTGTTCTCCTTCACGCAGCACGCCCCACCCGCACCCCCCACAGCAGCTTCGCCATTGGCACTGGTAAGCACACTCTTATTGAAGCTCTGCACACTGGGCGGGACGTCCAATGCGGGGTTTTTCTCGAAAAAGTTCACCGGCTTGAACGAGACCTTAATGATCTCGCAAGGCATGACGGGGAAATCCTCAACCCTAGGGACATGATTGATACCAAATTGGACCCAGACAACAATGTCATCATCCAGCACGTTATCCTTGCGATCGGCCCAGCTACGGACACCAGTTCCACCACGAGATTGGTTGGTGTACTTCCCTCCCGCATATAGCTCGTCGTCCTTGTACGAGGTAACGTAGATGTTGTGGTCGGCGAATTCAGCCCGCTTGAAGTGGAAGCTATCCTTATCCGCCAGTATCTTTTGGAAAGGAGGAGCGTGAATCTTGTAGGCAACTGGTTGCCCGTTGACGGGGTTCCTCACCGCGGCATTTTGGATCTTGAAAGTGCGGTTCGCATCAAAATCCAGATCGTAGCCTCCAGACGTTGTGATCGGTGTCTGGGAAACAGAATAACCGACGCCGTGGGGATTGAAATCAGAGCGTGGCATGGGATGTGCCTCATCGAAGACAACACGGTTGGCGGGTCCGTCGATCATGGGGTCAACGCGAAGAGAGAAAATGTGCTGGTGGTGAGAGGCAAGAACGCCTGGGTGTACGACTGTGCCCCATGGGACGGAAATACCCTCGTCGATAGGCTGGGTTGAGAGGATTCCAGTTGCCCGGACCTCGTACATGACTTCTCCAGCTTGATTGAATTGGAAGGCAAGAATGTATTCGTAGTTCGAGACTGTGATGATGGACTGCAGCACCAGTTCTCTGTTTCTGACTACCGCAGCACGGCCAGTTCGGTAGTTAGTGTGTTTCCACCCGATGCCGTTGTCTTGTTCGTGGATGCAGATAACATTTGGCATATCAAGCGGCTCTCCCTTGTCATCATTGAGAACAGCCGACAAGTAATGGATAGATCCGAGACAGTCACACCCCAGCTGCAAGTTGTTGGCCATTATACCAGCTCCTGCATCACCAAGATCGAAAGCGGCCTTTTTGTGGAATGGGTGACGGGGGTCAGCGTAGGGAATGCTCATATCTGACAGTGAGAGTCGGTAGAAGAGGGGACGGCCGGCATAGTGAACGTCGTACAAGACCATTCCCTCTCGGATGTTGAAGCCAACCTTGAAACTCCATTTTTGCCAAGTGACCGTGCGCCCAAGTTCACTGAAATTGCTAATCTGGAATGAAGCACCTTCTGGTTGGACAACATTCAAAGGCTTCAGATCAGTCCGAAGAGTCTGAGCCTCTGGGATGTACTCGTTGGGCGGTTGGACCTTGTAAGGAGACGGTTCCTTGATAGTATGGTCAGCGCCAGTGGGGAGGATATCAATCCGAGTAACTTTCATAGTCTCAGCACTGATGACTGGTGAAATGCTGAGCGGCATCGCGTAGTGGTTGCTGTCCGCTTCGCTGGAGTTGTTTGGATCACGGATGTAGAGGAAGCATTGGAACATCCGCTTTTCATCCGTGAAAAGACCCTCATTGACTCCATCAGAGCCTGTAACGTCAGCAGTGGCTTCGCTCGTGCTCCTAACGTTGACTTACCGTAGATCCAAGGGTCGCTGATGATCACAGTACCCTCTGGAAGTTGAAGTTTTGCGATCTCGGCCTTCACCCCTTCATCCTCCAAGGCAATCTGTTCGACTCTGATGATCTCTTCACCATCGGTGTTGCTGTGAATGTTTGGTCCCAGTCGAAGGTTGCTCTCCACCTTGCCGAGGCTCAAACTGACAATAGCTTCATGAAGCTTATCCTGTCCAAATATTAAAGAAGGTTCAAGGAATCTTGGGGGGATTATTCATGTCTCAACTGCTACTCGAATCAGTGTTTGAGAAGCCACTCACAGTATTTCGGATATAGTAAACCACGAAACTCCTCCGCTCAATATTAGGAGTTGGCTGACCGGCATGTTCAGCTGCCAAGAATGGGGTAAGGTCCGCTTTGTTTGGCTCGCGGAGAGTGATGCTCTTGAACTGAATGTCCGTGTTCGAAGGCCATAATCCCTTGATGAGCCGTGCACTTTCCGAGATCTCAGCGGCCGTCAATGGACCGAGAGGATGTTGAAGGGACGAGTTCTTGCCTCCAACAAGAGGAAGAGGAACGGGAGCATTCTGGACAGACATTGTGCAGAGCGGTCACGGTCTGGCTTGATTTTTCAAGAATCAAAATGGAGGTGAACTTGAAGGGAGGGGGGGGGGGATGTGGCAAGGGCCCCTTATATAGATGGCTCTGCGATAAGGCTCGGGGCAATTGATCCAGGGTAATTCGGAATTTCGGATATCGAGGATACTAGGTTTTCGATACCCGATTCACCTAGTGTCACCCTCGCATGGGCCTTCCAAAAAGAGTTAACGCGGGGCACCTTCAGCTCCGAGGTGACTTGTACAAATAATGGCCCTATCATGGCCTTCATCTGTGCGTGTGTCAGGGCCGATATCCCACGGAAGCTCTCCTATCGACACAGAAAAGATCAAGGTAGTCCGGGCCAGATACGATGATCCGAGCCGGGCAGCAGACAAGGGAAAATGGGCTGAAGAGTGGGATGTGTGTGTGTGTGGAATCATGAATGGAATCATAATGGACACCTATAGGTACTGCTGGTGTAGAGATAGCCGTCTGCATGAAGCGGGGCCAGTGGAGACGCGGGATCTGGGCCCGGACGGGTAAGAGACTCGGTCCGCAATCTTCGGCGAAGAGCCGCCCGGATATATGTCATCATCTCGGCTGAACCTACCTAGGTACCCGGTTACCCGGTTACCCGGCGGGATTCGGATACTCAGTGCATACCCGGTGACCCGACCTTTGACTTTGAGGTGCCGAAGCCACCCGCTGTTTACCTTAGCCATGAATGGTTCCTTACAAAGAGCTCAGCTCGGCTTCAGTTTCGCGGACAAAGATTTGATGACGCGAGCGCGATTGATTCATAAATCGGATTCTCACATTACCACCTTGTCCGGGCTACTCCCTCACGGCTTACTGACACCGATATACTATGGCCTTGTTATCTGAGATGCCAGATCTTGAAGGTCGAGTGCGCTTTTCCTATGTCTACCTTGCCTTGTTGATGGAAGCAGCGGCTGTCGGTTCTCTGCAGGGCATAACGTGACTACCCAACTCTTCACAGCATGTCAGTATGCCAAACTTTGCTCATGGTAAAGTAATGTCTCGCAAGCCATCTTGCCTTTTCACTTCCACCGCCATGTTCTTCCGACTCACCTAGAATAACCACCCTTATTTTTATTGGGAATGCATTCCGTCTTTGATGCATCCTCCCCTTCAACAGCATGAATAGTCGAAATGATCTCGGCGAACGTATTGATTCTCAGCCTGACTTGCGCCGAATACCAAGCACATGCGACCTCCCAAGCCTCGTCCTTCCACCTCGCCGGGCCTCTGGTAAGAGCAGAGAATCCCAGTCCTTCGCAAGACGCTCTAAAAAAAGCGACTCGGAAAACAGCGATGTCCTTTACATGATTCAGGGGAAAAGACCCAAACGACGCGATCGCTCTCTGTCCTTGATCAGCAACAACTCTGCTCGCAGATTGGATGGACCATCGGACAAGGACGCAGACTGCGAGGAATATAACGCTGAAGATAATGAGGCCGAGAAACTCTCTGGGGGCATTATCGATCAGGAAATATTTGAGTGGCAGTATGTGTGTCGCACAGGTCGTCCATATTGGTGGTCTCCCGAATCCAAGTATAAACGTCTGAATAGGCTCGGACAGAATCTGGCAAACAAAACAAACCCACGAACCTGGAGAGAGGTTGACGATGGGCCAAAGGAAGAATACACAGCCAGGCGCCGAGCAGTATCTGACAGTTTTTTAGCTGATCCGAACACGGTTGAGGATATGGCGCATATGGTCGCAGTCCGACTCTTGAGCTCATGTTTTACTCTCCCCCCTGATCCCAATACCCGTGTCCCGTCACCAACTTATATCATGTCAACCAAGGACAGAACTCCAAGCCTTCCGGATTCTCGAATGATCAGCTCTCTCAGAATGCATACTGGCTATCGATACTCACCATGTTTCGGACACCAAGCTCGGAACACTTCACCTGTACAACCCAGGTCAGGCACGTATTATGGACCTTCTCCACATCCATCGCCACCGCCCACTGCGCCAGGCGGACAAACTCCAGTCATTGGGACCTCCGAGCCTTCATCTAGGCCTCGTAGAATACATCGGGCGCTGCACGTCACCGAAGGTTCGGCCACAAGTTGCTCCTTGGATAGTCACACCGGTGAGTACCTGGCACCGTACGGAGACAATGTCGATTTGAATCCAACAGTCACAGCAACGGCTTGGTATCGACGACAGGTAGCTGATGATGGCCAAAAAATCTCGGAGGGGGGCCATGAAGAGGATTCTACCCGTCCCCCGAAAACCAACGACCGTATGCATTCAGCCATTCGTTCCGAGCCTCACCACGTCCTCATGCAACCTGTCAAAAAATTGGTGGTAAAGAGATGGCGGACTTTTCGACGACGTATTGGCGGCAGCCTGCATTCTCAAATGCCAGCCACTGCATCCGAGGAGCGATTCATAACGTCGAGTTCAGGGGTGTCAAGTCCGAGGATGAGCAGTGACGCCAAGGAACGAAGACGTCGAGCTCGAGCAAGTGGACATATGGACAGTAATAGCTGCGACAGCACCCCACACTATAATTCGCCTGTAAGCGGTCATCTCAGTCCGAACGAGAGTGGTATGAGCAGCCCATTCTCGATAGATTCTCGAAACCCGTCTCCAAAATTTACACCCACTGATCCCCCTGCCGGGGCGGCATCGTTGGCATTGACTGGAGATCATGTAAATGCTGCCCAGGGCCAGCGTTCAATATCTCTAGATCCACCGGCCTCCTTGGAATCTTCTCACGGTTCTCGAACCCAGAACTCCCCTAATTTGATCTCGGTTGGTAGTATGAACAGCCAGGAAAGATCGGACATAGGGCCAGCTCAACATCCCAACCTGAATTCGACTTCCTCAAGCCCATCACCATCAGTCGTAAGAAGTCAAGCACGGCGGGGGAGGAGGAGTCTGCTTTCCGAGATGTACACCGCCGAGGATTTGGTAGATGACACGAAGGCCAAAGATGGCGACCATAATCTAGATACAAGCATTTTAGGCTCTGCTAGTAGCACACTTTGCCCTACAGAACAGACCAAATCGACCGCGAATATGTCGCCACTTCATCCCAATGCCGACGCCCGTGGAAGTACGTCGAGTGGATCTACGCCACGGAAACAAAGACTGTCCCGGACGAGCATGAGTGGGACCCAAATCTTTAGGACTGGCGATGAAGGTGTGGAGATCGATGGGTTGCCGGTCGGTCCAAGCAAACATCTGTGGGATGGGCGGGGGAAAAGGAGGGAAAGAACGTATCTGTGAGAAAATTCACGAGTCTGCAATCAAGGATCATTAGTAGTAAAAGAACTGTAAAGGATGGACAAAGGATGATTGAACCTGTCTGGGTATCACCATACCATTAACTGGCCCGAACAGGAATCCATGCGTTCAACAGGACAGTAGAAATACAAGATTAGCAGCCAGAAACGCCTTCAAATGCCATTCACCAGGTATGTACTCCCATTCAAGAAGTATGATAAAGCTTCAAGTCATTCCAATCTCTCCATTCATTCCCACCATTTCATATTCTCCTGCACCATCTCTGCCCCTCCCTCGCCCTCTGCCACGTCCAGATCCTTGCTCCTCGTCACCATCACTTGGCGGGACAGTCTCTCCGGAAGCCTGCGTATTACTCGACCCCCCAAACGCGATTGGCCGCAACTCTCGCCATTGGCAGCTCCATACGCCTAGACTCGTCATCATGCCCGCGCTGGCAATCTGTAGCCCCCACCATAGCCAATTTCGAGGAATCGAATGCGAGTACAAGGATGTAATAATGAAGTGGATGAAGTGGAGTGTGAGAGCGAAGTCAGGCACCAGTTTACTGCGGGATATAAAGAAGAGGATAGCAATTACTCTGAAGACGATGTTAGCATATTTTAATGTACGTCAACCTCGAGTTGAAAAGGGCTTGGGGGAAAGGGGGAGGGCTTTTGTACCCAAGGAACGAGTTGAGGAGCCAAACGAAGCCCAGCATCCAGCCTACTGTCGTATCACCTCGTACACTTCTCCAACTAAGTACCAGATCCATATCAAAATGGCTCCCCGCGACCAGCGCCGTGAATAATATCAGCCCCGTCCCAACTGTGTACCATATCGTTTGCAGCAGAATGATCTGGCTCAAGATCTTCAATGGAGGGAGCTCGGTCAGCGCACCAGGTCTCGGGGGTCGGCGACGTCGTGCCATGAGACGTATAATGTGAAAAGTCGAAAACCCTAGCGAGGAATCATTTGCATTGTCATGATCGATCGAAGAGTTGGATGATGTTCGAGTAATAGGAGTTGCCGTTCTTTAGCTGGCTGAGGTCTGGCTCACCGCCACCTTTCTGCCGTCACGTGCTGATCGAGCAAGCTGAATGACGGCGTAGCTCGAGAGTCGATTTACTTTACGGCAAAACACAATCAAGCTGTAAGTTTCCCACAAACACCAGCTGGATAAAATAATATTTAATAGGTCACCGACAGATCGTCTTCGAGCCCCTCGTACCAACTCACCATATCCTAAAATGGGCCTCTTCGGTTTATCAAAAGAGGCATCTCCTCCCGCGCCGAAAATCTCCTCCGATGGCACACCAATAGCTCCCGATCGAAGCCAACGCGCCAGATGTTGGGAGGCAAGAGATGCATACTTTGTGTGTTTGGATAAGAATGGGATAATCGATAGCATTTCAGAAAAAGATAAAGCTGCAAAGACATGCGCTGCAGAAGGGAGAGGCTTCGAGGCTAATTGCGCGTCGAGTTGGGTGAGTGCTTTCTAGCTACCCGTGGAGGGGAAGAGGACATCCCTATGGGCAGTTCGCCTCTTGGGAACCCAAAGTCACAGAAGAAAGAATCAGGTCATTTGGTGCGGGTGGATTGGAGAAGCAAGAACGAGACTGACAGTGGGTATCTCCAGGTCACGTACTTCAAGAAGCGGAGAGTTATGGAATATCAACGGAATCAGACACTGGAGAGGCTAAAGGCTGAAGGAGCACAAGAGATGCCGGGCCAACTAGGCCCCGGGGGCCAGCAGCGCTCATAGGCCGACCCACTACCTTGGGGATTGTACAGTATATATACGCGCATATGGGATGGAGTTGGGGTTGGGGGACATTCAATACATCTCTTCACAGACTCATTGGTGGATCCATCAAATGTTGGGATCCAGATCAAAGTGATGTATACAGCATGTGGTGCCTCCACAGCAAACTCAAAGTCTCATGTGCTAAAATGCACAGGTCCTGCAGAACCGCATTCTTGTTGGTCAGGTCTCAGAAGCCCAGCCGTTTTGGGTGCCAACCTCTCTGCACAGCACATGTACGGAGGTATTGTCCTATCTGCTTGCTACGTTGTCGAGTCTTGTTGCTTTTGTTGCTTTCCGTCATAGGCTTCAAGCGAAAATAAAAAAGAATCCCAGAGATCAGACGTTCCGAGCACCAATCACGAATTATGACAAGGTCAAAAGGGCCCGGATAGATATAATCTCCTTACGATCACAATAGGACGCTAATTCCCCGTGCGCGCCGCTTTCTATACTCAATATTCGGACATAGTATGTTCACCGATGAGGGACCAGATGTGAGGCTCCTTCTTGGTGGCGGGCCTTGTATTATGATCAGTGAAGTGTGCAGTGGATGGACTTAACTTGCCGGTTTTGATCTCCCCTACTACACGGAGAGGGCCTCCCCGCTGCGCCGATAGCTCGGCACAGTTTCGACGGTTGCATGAGTTTGAGAATCACCTATACATTATCGAAACAAGTACACAGATGGAGCTTAGGTTTTTCTACTATCTAGCGATTTTCCTAATCATCTACACAATAACTGAAGTTCTGCATGACCATAGTGAGATGTGTAAGTAAGTCAAGATTAGTCTCTGCTAACTGCTTCAATGTTAAAATTGTTCACGGATTCTTCCAAAACCCCTTCTGTACCTTTATAATTTGCTTGCCAACAATTGTTAATGATATCCTCCATCTCTTGTTCACTTCTCTTACTTTCGTTACTTGAGTGACACTCACGATATTACAGATACGCACATTATTCCAATTTCCGGCACAGACGCAAAACATTTACATAAGTACATTCTGGGCATTTGCAACTAATAAGGCGCTTGCTACGGCTACTCCAATGCTGGACGGAGGGGTCTATTCTCTTGTGGCTTGTACGCAAATGCCTCCGGCAGGTCTGTAGTTAGGATTCAGACAACCGTATCCGTCGAACTGACCTTCCATCCTACCCTTATAGATGGATGGCTCTATTGTGAAGACGAGATGAAAGATAAACTCAAAAATTGACACATGCTATTTGGTGGTGATTGGGTTGTAAGTCACAGTTCTGGAAGAGATTGAAGAGAGGGTGTATTGAATCAATTGATTCCGGTGAATTGTTATCAACTGTTCAACAGGTACGTGTGGCTTACATGGATTCCTTCAGTCCATCATCCATGCTTCTCATATTCGGCACCATCGTCCCCTTTGCGCCACTAGAAAAGTACATATTACCTACCTGTCAAATCAGCCTCCAACTCGGCCTTTTCTTCGATCGTTAGATCGCTCTTTGCTCTTCCGACATCGACGAATAGTGTGATCAAAATTAGACTGACTGCCGCACAGCCGACGCCAAACCAAAAGGCCACCTTGTAACTTCCTCTTAGCCCCAAGTGAGCAGTGCTTGTCACAGCCAGATCAGCAAACCCCAGAAAAAAGCTGATGCCCAGGAAGAGCACACTATTGATCAAGGCTCCTGCAAGCCCCTGCCTGTGCTTCGGAAGGTTCGTTGTGATGAAGACGTTACTAACACTGTAGGTAACATCTACTCCTAAGGTGGCACCTATCATGGCAGGGAAGATGTATGCCCAATAGTTTGGGTTTTCTGGGATAATTGCAAAAAGCAATACACTGACGATAAAGCCGATTCCGGAAAGTACCAAGAGGACTTTTCCCGGGAGAAGATGGAGAGTGAAGCCGCCAGCCATGGCAAGGATAAGGCCTCCTGCAGCCATTGGCGCAAACCATGTCGCTGTTTGCAGAGCATTAACATGCAATACCGTTTCTACACTGCACTTGTAATCAGCTAGGAAGGAACAAACATTATTCAGGCTCAACTTACAAGAAACTGGCATAAAAAAGATAAACACCAAAAACGCCATAAGTGAAAAATAGGGAGACAACCAGAGGTTTCATACATTTGACTCTGAACATGTCGAAAGGCAGCAGTGGAGTGTCGGCAACCCAACCTTCAACGTAAAAGGCACCGCCGAGGACAATGACGCCGAGGAGAAAGGTGATGTAAATATATGGCGTTGCCCAGCCGTTAGGAGCGTGTGAGCTATCGGTGATCGAGTACACGACTAACAGTAGCCCTGGTACAATCAAAAATGTGCCCCACCAGTCCATTTCAACCTTATGATCCACTCGACCAGAAGGAACAGTAAGTAATGCTACAAAGCACACCAGAGATAGAAGAATCGCCCCGAGCCAAAAATACCAGCCCCATGGCAAGTACTGCCCACTGACGCCGCCAAACAATATGCCTGTGCTAAGTATGTTAATAGAGTCGAAGTGGAAGAGGGGACTCATACTTACAAGAAGCCTATAGGCGAACAAGCTCCGTATAGACTAAACACGAGATTCTTCCGAGGCCCTGGCCTATAAATACTACCTAGTAGCATTATTCCAGAAGGTAGAAATGCTGCAGGCCCGAGCCCCTGCAGAGCACGGCAGAAAATGAGCATCAGGTAATTTTGACTAAAACCCCCAATAAGTGACCAGATGAAGAACCATATAATCCCACCTATAAAAGTAATATAGCCACCATATATATCAGCAAGGCGACCAAAAGGTAGGACCAAAGCTCCGGTGACCAAAGAGAAGACACTCGCAGGCCACGTTCGTGATTCTAAAGGTATCCCAAGTGCAGTGCTGAGAGTCGGAAGGATTATATTGAATCCACTGATGAAGTATTCCTGCCAAGGTGAGAAAAGGACAGTTTAGTCATTTTGGAGCCCTTACTGCCATAAACATTGATGCGAGCAGGGAAAAACAAAATCCAACTTCAGCCCACAATGTCTTGAACACGACCGGGCGCTGCCTCCCTAGCCTCTCGATCTCCGCCTGCTCAGGGTGGGAGATGGCACAACTCAGACTGCCATGCCAATCCGTAGACGTTACACTGTCAATCATGGCTCTATCAATATACCCCAACTGCTGGACCAGTAATTGGTAATAGGGCGTGGAGGCGTGCACTGCGTGTGGGATTGGAAGTAGTGCCCACTTTTGGCAAGGAGACGAATGAGAGGAGAGCCGGTGACGTGAAGGAAGATGCAAAACAGAGGTGGCACAAGCTTCACTTCAGAGAGATATAGTTGTGTAAAGAACTGGACTGTACGGTGACAGGATTGAAGGGTGGTTTTATATCCTCACTAAAGGCCATGGCGACTTTTTGTGCCAAATAAACAGCTCAACATGTGGAGGAAGAACAATGACAAAGCAAAGCTTAGTACAAGCTGTAGGTTTTGCCGCTTGGCTGCCCTTTTCACTGGATCTGAGAATAGTGGACTGTGGGAGGTGAACACGGTCCCGATCAAAAGGGCGAGCGATCAGGCTGCTGAAGACGCACTAAACCTAGATAGGGAGCCAAGGTACAACTCCTGCACCTCGCTTACCTAAGCCCGCCCTCATTGCGGCTCTTTCATACTTTTACCGCAGAAGGACTAGCTCAGTCTACTGGAACACCACTAAGCCGGATGGGGAAGCCAAGGTACAGGCGCTGCAGCTCGCTTACCTTACCTAAACCCAACGTCAATTGGGCTCTCACACACCCGACGCTCCCACCTTCAAAACGTGCTGTATGTGAGGACCGTGAGGTCCACTTAGCACAATGTCCCGAGATTCTCGCTCAGGTCAACTCTTGGACATCATTCTCACTCTTTGCCCATGGACGCCTCCTCACACCTACAAGAAGGGCTTGGCCTCCGCATGGCGAGTTTCGAGACACCAACAAAACCATGTCACACCTGCCGGCGGAAACGCTTGAGATGTGATCGATCTCTTCCAGTTTGCAATAAGTGTAATCAGACAGGCCAAGAATGCCTTGGATATCAAGGGCTGTTCCTTTGGAACAAAGGTGTGGCAAGCCGTGGGAAGATGATGGGGAAGACGTTTGAGGACATGAGGCTGAAGAAGATGAAGCTGGCACCGGCCACACCTGGTTCTCTGTCTTCGACCAACACTTGCCAGAAGGTAGGGCCTGTAGTGGTATCCTCCAGGAACGCTGCTCTCTATTCCGACTATCCAGGAGCAGTATTCGCTCAACGTGCTACTCCAGCCTCGGGCGCCTCGGCATCTGCTACCCCTCCACCAGCAGATACTTCTATGCAGTTAATCAGCCAAGCAGAACAAGACGCTCAGGTGTCTCACAAACCCATTGAATTGACTCTATATTGGTCTCTGACCGATCCGCTCTTCCAAGACTTGGATCAAGATTCCAAATCCTATCTTGCGCATTGTAAGTTGGTCGCTCCAACCGCACTTGATACCAGTGGTCTGTGTACTAAACCATATACAAGTCAGTAATTATGTGTGTAAGGATCTTGTGATCTACGATCTTCCCAACCAGAATCCCTTCCGTGATCTCATCCCGTTAACGACAGAGCATGCGGTGCTCCTCTACATCATTATTGCAATCTCGGCCCTCCACATTTCGAATGCTTCCCGGGCAAGTATACTGACGAAGGTCATGCCGTCACCTTCGCCCAACCCCGATCAAAGCATCCAAATGCATGATTACGTTTCTACGAGACTCTCAGAGAATCGACCAACCCATGCCTATCAAGACGCTCTGATGGCTAAACACCGTGCTCTTCAACTCCTTAATCGTGCTCTTAACGAAATAAAACAGGTAAACTTGGACATCATTCTGGCATCTGTACTCCTCTTTATCGAATTCGAGCTTATCGACTCTGGTAAAGATGATTGGAGATTGCATATCAATGGGGCCAGAAGGCTCATTGAGTGTTTGGAACCATTGCCTAATATCGAAAATTCCTCGATGACCTCGCTGCGTAGGTGTTTGGTTTCAAATTACTTGGTGTACGTCGCCCTTCATGATCCAACCTAGACAAAAAGAACGATTAGCTAATAGAAGTCTTTCGGGTTAGATATGACATCCTTGGATCAACTGTGGCATGCTCAAGGGCATCAGAAATACCGCATTGCGGCTCTCTCGATGTTGTCTCGATACTCAGATATGCAGAAGCCAACAACTATCTCTCGTGCCCGGCAATCCTTCTTCAGATAGTACTCTCTGCGCCGCAGTTATTACAAACTATCCCCAGAACTTCAACTATGCAGTTGAAGACTAGCTGCCAGGTAGAGCAGGCTTTTATTCTATTGCAGGCTGCTCAATCTTTTGATGCCCTGGCCTGGGCCACGGCTTTACAGCATATATCGCCGCACAGCGATCTCGAAAATCGCAGACATATCGCATCCGCACACAAAGCGGCCGTCTGCATCTACGTTTCTCGTCTTCTTCTATCTACTTCCTTGGCCTCTGAAATTCCTGAGAATCTCGAACACCTGGTGTCAGACATCGTCCATCACCTCTCCTTCATCCCTGCTGGGGACGCTCTCTTTAAGTCCACTTCCTGGCCCACTTTTATTGCAGGCGCAGAGACCAAGGTTCTGGAACTACAAGCCTGGGCGATGACGCGACTTCATGCGCTGTGGGAGCTCCTACCATGGGGCTACATTCGTAGTGCCATGGAGATACTGGAAGTGATATGGCAGAAGAGAAGCATTGCCATGCGCACTGCTACAGACACTGTTGACTGGGTTCAGGAACTGAGAATGCTAGACGTTAAATTGCTCATTGCGTAAGAGTGATATATAGTGCTGGCCGCGTCCAGGAAGACAGAGGGCTTGATGCAGCGAGCGCAAAACCAGTGAGGTTGATAAGACCACGGCAAGAGTTGGGGGCTTGTCCATTGTTTGCAAAGCAGTGATGACTAAAACTCATCTGAGAATACCCTATATTCAGCAAGGGACTCAGAGATCTAGTCATTTCCTTGTTTCATCATACGGCGGCTTAACAATGAGCGAGAACATAAACCGGATAACCTCATCTAACCTCCGGAATCTCAGTTTTGGGACATTTGAGACAGCTGTTTATTGAATCCGAAAATAACGGGTCGTAATCGGAACTTGTCTTGCCCGTGTTCAGTTTTATAATCGAAAAGCAAAAGTCCCCCGTGCGGTAGGCCGAGCCATGCGCCTGCGCTATTCTCGTGCCGACGATTACCTAGAGCATAGGATGCCTGTGCGGTTCGGCGCGTCTCTTAGACATATCCGGGAACGACTCAACAGCGCATTACAGCTTCTCGAACACCAATCTCTGGAGGACTTAGGAAGCTTTGATGGTAAGTCTACGGGGCTGTTTAATGATTATAGTTATCCACTCCTGATTATGTACAGAGGTGTACGTAGAAAGCCCTCTCGCGCCACATATCCCACCATTTCAAAGGTCCCCTACCTGAAAACAGACCCACCTGATCAGCCCAATTCTGCCGGGTGGTTATTGTATGTGCCGTCTATCTCCACAGGCCTCAGGGGGAGCGAGTACGCCTTACGCTCTTGTAAAGGAACCATCCATTGTGGCTGCTGTTGTGAATCCAATCTCTTCCTGCGAAGATAAACTGTCGCGAACACGCCAATAGCAGCCACCAAAGAAACACCAATCCCGAGTCCAACCCCAAGCCCAATCTTGCTACTCGTTGAAAGCCCGCTGGATTTGGTCGATACGCTGGAGGGTGGGGCTGATGTGATTGATGGTGGAGTCGATGTGGTCGACGGTGGATCTGTCGACGAACTCGAGGCTGTAGAGGTTGTAACTGTCATTGGTGGCGCAACTGAAGAAGAATATGAAGGTTTGGGTGTTGGCAAAGAAGTTCCGCTGCTCGAGGAAGAAGGCAGCGTGATATTGAAGTAATGAGAAGTGAGGGACACGGCTGACCCATCACCATTTACGGACAGGGGCCCATACTGGAGCCAAAGGAAGAACACAGAGGATTTAGTCAAATCGAACTGGAAATTTAAACCGCCCAGTTGAATTGAGTTACTGCTCCCGTCTCGGTTTCTGGAATTGTTCAGTTGGTTCTGAGGATCCAAAGAGGAAGAGTCGCAAATATACCGAAGATGGAGGGACCCCTCAGAGCAGCATCCTCATCTAAGATTTGCTGCCACAGTGCAATCGTATAGTTCAAGTACGTCGTCGTCCATTGGATTGCCTCAGTCTCCCCGACCGTCCATACCGGATTTGTTGAAAAGTCAGGCTGGTTTTTTACTGCTGCGGGCGGGTTGAAAAAAGTACCAACACTTTGTGCAAATACGAAACTGACAGCATCTAAGAGGAGCAGAGCCAGTAGCATCATCTTGCTGATTTAACAGCACGGGAAGTGTAGACAAAATGCGAAGAGGGAGGATTTTATAAGGGAAGACTTTTACAACGGTACACATGAAAAGGATAAGGACTCGAAGTTCGGAGATTTTTGGGGGGAGAACCAACAGTAAGCGACGGGTACACCCAGAGCCTGCATGCAGCACTGGCTGTAGAATTTATGAGTATCAAAAGCTGTAACATGTTGCCATATGGGGGGTTGCAAATAATGTTGGCGGCACAGCGTTAATCGAGGAGGGGAGAGCGTTTACTGGCGGATCACTCAAGATGACATGCAAAGCGCTTATCGCTGGGCGCAAAAGGAATAATTATAGGGGTGGCGCCAAAAGCCGGCCCATCACCATGCGCCCGTCGCAACTAGGATCATTCTCCATCATTCCAGCTCTTCATCCTTCCCCTCGGCAGTCATGCCGTTGGCTTTTCCGCCATGCGCTGCGCACTCCAGCGCACCACCCGATCTTTTATATATGACACTATACGAAGACATGTATAGATTGCAGTCTTCAAAATGCTCCGTCAAATGTTCATGCGCGGGCCTTCAAATCCCGTTGTTATTGCGGTCAGCGTCTCCTTGATCCTCATCTTCCTGCTCGTCCAGTTCGGTCGCTCGAGTGTTCAGGCCAAAGCTTCAAACTTCCTCTCAATGGCAGGTTCCGATTCCAATATTGTTAACGATGTCTTCAATACCACCCTCGGGGTTAGTTATCTTCTGTTCTCCCCCGTCTCTCCTCGCCTGGCCTTCCGAACTGACCTTTCGCGCACGGCACAGTTTGAGAAAATCTTTGTCGTCGGATTGCGAGCCCGAACAGACCGTCGAGATGGAATGGTCTTATCAGCGGCTCTCAGCAACATGAATATTGAGTTTGTAGATGGGGTACGTGGAGAAACCGTGTTGGATAAAGCGATTCCATCTTTAGAGGGGCATAGTCGCATGGCAGACCCGGTAATAGGATGCTGGCGCGCACATATGAATGCTATCCAAGAGTTCGTTTCTGCCCTCTTCCATGCTGCCACAGTCAGCTAATGGTCTGCGAAATAGAATGGTCCGACTAAACAATCAACGGCTCTGATCTTGGAAGACGACGCGGATTGGGACGTGCGAATAAAAGAGCAGCTCCACGACCTTGCACTTTCATCTCATGCCCTTACACAACCCCTATCGCACTCTCCCTCTTTGTATGCGGACTCCACGTATCCCACTCCCCCGGATGCCTCCTCTGTACCCGCTTCCGACCTCTCCTTCGACAACCTCCCATCTACTATACCACCCAAACACTCCCCCTATGGAGATAACTGGGACTTTATCTCGGTTGGTCACTGCGGCATGCGATTCCCATCCTCATCACTTCCCTCTGCCGAAAAGATCCCCGAGGGACGCGTGATCCGCAACTCCGACCCAACTGTCCCTGAAAGACATTACCTGAAAACCGTTTCTCCTGTCGACGACCTCAAAAATGAATATGCGAATCATACACGAGCAGTGCACCATGTCCAAGAAGGTATCTGCTCTCTCGGCTACGCTATTACCCAAGCTGGTGCTCGAAAGCTCCTACATGCTATCGGGCTCTTGGATGTCACAGCGCCATATGACATCCTCCTGAGACAATTCTGCGAGGGCTCTCAGGGAAGAAAATATCACAATTGTTTGACGGTGCAACCATCGCTGTTTATCCACCATCGACCAGCTGGGTCAAGGAGTGCTGAAAGCGATATCTCAGATCATGGTAAAGGCTACAGGGAGATTGCACATACGGATGTACTAAGATGGAGTACGCGGATGAACTGGGATATTTTGTTAGAAGGGAGGATGGACTTTGTAGATCAATGGCCTGATGCTGCGTAGATGCATGTTACTGAAAGGGAGGGGGGAGAAAAGGCATGTGACAGGACGGACTAAAACACCTTTCAGAGTAGAAGGAATATTATAAGAAGGATCTAGAATGAATACATCTTGTTCTATTTAATACAAACGCGACGCGGCACGTGAAAGAAAATAAGATTACTGGCAGAAACTATTTAAAATAGGAAGCGGTGGCGGGGACTAGCGGCGGGTCGGGCCGGGGTCGGGCCGCGGTTCTCGGATAGGGAAGAGGATATACACGTGCTAATCGTTTGGCTATAGAACGTACGTAGACTTGAATTCCACAAACGTGCTGACCGTGTCTTGCTCGTGGCTGTAGCGGGTAAGTAGACTTGAACATTAGTGCATCACAGGTGTATTTCGCCCTATATTTATTCAATAATTCAAACGCAGACTTCTAAAGAATGACAGTATACGACTGACAATGAATTTGCTACTGCTCTGTTTCGAAGGTCCTCGTTTAGTTTCTCTTCGTAGCAACCGCTGTCTAATGAATTTTGTGTCGTATGCACAGACTCCTTCTTTCTGCTTTTAGAAGAGTCAACAATAACGATGTCACTCGTAATGCTACCACTACTCAGTCTCAGCCTCTTACTGCTTCCATTGCATCAACCGGTCTGAGCCCTCTCAGGCAAGCTTACTACTCCAAGTTCTGGACAGTTCTTCGAGAAGTCCCACAACGGTGTATCTGGACCGCCTGTCTCTTCCAGAGAGCCCAGCACATCAATGGGAAACAGCCAAAACCCAAACGCAGGCTTTACAGCCGTTTCTAGGTCCTCATTCTTGTATCGTTCGGATTGCGCGCCTACCGGGAACTTGTAGTCTGACATCTGAACGAACGGAGGGTGCTCAGAGTGCTTAACCCCATTCCATAAGTCGTCTTCCTGCTGTAGAAATTTCCTTGCGGTCTCGACGTCTGATATTCGTTCATCCTCCCGTGGCTCAAAAGCTATGTACCATTTATACTTGATGCCAGGAGCGGTAATACCAAATTGGTCGAGTCTACGGTGCCACAGGCGAATTGTGTCTCGATGGTCATTCATCCCAATGTATACCTGTTTCAAGTCTTCGCCAATATGACGCGGATCGCGAGGCAAACGATCAAAAGTCGGTAGGTTGACTTGTATCGGGAAAGAGCGGTTATAGACAATTTCAGACGTTGGCACGCCGTTATGGGTGCCCAAGATCTGGCGGCCAGCATGGGTGGTCGAGAAGAAGAAGACCTCATCGAGATTCTCAAGAAGACCTTTAAAAGATTCCTTGGGGCCTCTGTCAAGATCCGGATCGGAAGGTTCTATTAGTTCCAAATCGTTTGCTCGTAGGTCATTCCCCGAGACGACCAGATTGCGGAGGCCGATGTGCCGGGGATCGTAAGTCGTCTTTAAGAGGTGCAAAAAGTTGAATAGTGTATTCTTCACCGACCATTCCGGGGTGATTCGAAGGAAGTCGTGCTCGGGGTTGAAATAGAGAATTCCGGGCTTCATGCCTCCCGCAACTGTCCTGAGCCAGCAGGGGAAACGGACCCGGTAAAATGACAAAGCTGCCTCTCTTGCCTCCCTGTTAACGCGAAACATTTTGCTCAAGGTTTGGTGTCCATCAGCAGTAGCCCAGAAACGCTCGCCATTGCTGGCAAGCCGGCTCATTTCTGCTGCGTCGGTCGTTGGCGCTGGAACAATGCTAGGGTCCTTGAGATGCAGGCGAATGATGCGTGAACGTTGCAGCGCAGACTCCCATATCTGCTGGCGAAGCTCTTTTGGAAGCAATTTTCAGTGTTGCAACAGTGTTTGAAGTCTAAGAACTGTGAAGATAACTATGAGGATGCTGATGATAAGAAAGCAGATTTGACGACTGATGTATACTTCCTTTGTCCTCTTGATCTGGCGTGTAATTGACCACCATCTTCCTTGGTATCTACAGTCCTCATCGCATCCTGAGTATCTGAGCCATGAAGGAGCCTCAAGGAAGTAATCCTCCCATGGATGAATTTGCCGGAATAGAATCTTGCTAAAAGCCTCCCTTGAGGCTTAGAAGTCCTAAAATAAAGCAAAGAAAGGACAAGGACCACAATCAAGGTACGAACGTAGTGCAGACAGGGCGAATCATCCGCAGCAGAGCGGCTGTGGCAACAGGTATTGCCGCATATCGATTAGTGAGGCGGGTTATTGACCTATGAAGCCTCCTCCGTCGGATATTATCTGGGCTTTTTTATATACGTAGTAGACTTCCTGGCCGCACGGGTTGGTCAGTATGTAGTAGTAGTAAAACCCGTAAAGAGCATAACAAATCACTGAAAACTCAAATATCACTGTACCCTACTAAGCCCGCTTACTTTTCTTGGGTAGGACTACCTTAGGGATTCGAAACAAAGTAAGGAATTGGAAAGTACCTTAAGCACCGTACCATTATTTCCTTTCTCCAAGGAACTCTCTCTTATCCCCTCGTTACTGACCAAGTAACCTTCCTCGCGTCCTTCCTGCGCCTCCCGGCCTGCGCCCCGCTTACTCAGGCAGCTCTAAAATTAGGTAGCTGCCAATCCGAGCCGCAAAATCCTACCGACTCCTTGAGTCCTTATACACATCCATCAACCATCCTACTTCCGCACCGATCTTCCTGTTTCACCCAAGACTCAGAGGGCCGGCGCTACAAAACACACCAAATTTATTGGAAAAAAAAAAGAAAGAAAAGAGGAAAAAAAAGAAAAAAAAAAAAAGCAGACAACAGCCATGGCAATTCACTCCCCACCCCATCAGCAGCCCTTTATCCCCGATCAAGTTCAAACCGATCGATCCAATTTCCACTGCTTTCCTCTCTCTCTTTATCATTTTCCAATTTCAGTTCCAATAACAATAACATCCTCCACCAATCTTCTACATCCCTGAACTCGCCAACATGCATTTCACCAAGTTTCTCACCACCATGGCATTTGCCAGCCTTGCCATCGCTGCTACTATCCCTAACGGCGCGGATCTAGCCGAGCGTGCTCTTGCTAAACCAGCAACTCCTGCCAAAGCACCAGCGGCAGGTCCTCTGGTGGCCGGCACTGGCCCATTCAAGAATGTCAAGGGAACAAAGGCCGCCTGGGCCGACTTGGCTGCTGGACACGGCAAGGGCACGAAGCGCGACGTCGAGAGGCGCGCGGTCCCAGCCGGATTCCTGGGTGTCGAGGTTTTTCAAGGCGGGCACGACGGCTTCGGATCGATCCCCCTTGGTCTCTATACCGAGGGACTCGTTACTTGCTTCGGTATTGTCATCAAGGGTGACGCACCGGCCGGCTCGACCAGCGTCAATACCCGCTGGCTGCTGCACATGCAGGCGACCAGCGACGCCGGCGACTGGACCCCGTTCGAGGCGAAGGTCAGGGCCGCCGGTCTCACGAACATGCAAGGCTACATGTCTGTTCCCAGCCCAGCTGCCGTCGGGACGAAAATTGCCGGCCGAACATGGTCCCAAGCAGACCAGGACTTGAGCACCCAGATGATTACAGCAATGACGACTGCTGTAAGGACTCTTACTGGCAGAGCTCCCATCGTCCACCAGCGCCCTATGAGCCCTCCTTCTTCTATGCAGATCGATGGTACCGGTCAAGTCTCCGCTGCTGGACACAAGCTGTAGGCTGCGCCACGACTCCCCATAGGCGGTTCCTCTGTTTTTAGACCCGCGACGGGGCCGCGTCCAGGGCGGGGCGGTTCCTGGCTAATTGTTAGCGTAAAATAGGCACCTGTAAGGCGTTAGGAGTCAAGTATAAGTTGTTTAGGCTCCCTTCACTTGTTTTATTAGTAGATATAAGGACCTTAAATCCTTTAGAAGAGTGTAGGTAGTTTTTAGGTTAGGGATAGTATAGAACCTCTATCTTTTTACCTTTGTTTTTACGATATATTATCAACTGTTACGCTAACCTAGCCTAAGGCTATACAGAACTTCTACCTATAACTAAACCCTAAGAAAACTATAAATATAAAAGAAAAACCTAGGTTCTACCTATCTTTTATACTTTATATATTGTTCTTACTACTTATAGTAAGTATAGTAGAGCTGGCGCTAGCTTACTACTATCACGATCTGTTACGTGATACTCTAGATGTTACGTACTAACAAATTACGTAAGGAACAAGTTACGTAAGCGGCTAAGCAAGAATCTGTTTATAAGGTAAGAGGTAACCTATAGATAGTACTTTCTCTCTTCTTACTCTTCTTTTCTTCTTAGCTTAAAATTGAATTAGATTAGTATCTATTATAAACGCCTATCTAATAAGATTCTTATAACGCTTATTATATAATTCTAAGCTCTTTAAATACCCTTAGTAGTAACATCTTTCTCTATTAAATACTTATGCTAGGTACTATAAGAGTTTAATCTAAGTTTTAGTATATATATAGTTCTATAAGAAGGAAAGAAAATAAAACCCTCTTACTAAGGCACTATTATATTACTAGTCCTTTTATTATATCCTTATCTCCTTTATATAAGCCTATAAATATTACTATAGATATAGCTTACCTTATACGTACTAGACTACTCTTAGTACTCTACTTTGTTCTTAGATTAAAAGTAAGAAAATAATAACTACTTATAGTTACTCTAGTTCTTATCTAGAGGTTACTCTTTGTTTGTCTATATACTATTCTTTTAACTCTTAAGATAAAAAATTCTAATCTTATAAGCCTCTTTCTCTCTTTATATTATAAATTACTTTTATAGCTACCTTAGGTACTAGTTTTGTATACGTATTAAGTATAGCCTTTATTTGTTAGCTAAGACACTATATAGGCTTGTCTTAATATAGGCCTAGGGCTATCTTAATTATTGTCCTAATTATTATTCTATACTAAATCTAGTTTAGTTCTTATTACTTATTTAGTTACTTACTAGTAAGGAAGTCTTTATTATATTTTATATAAATATCTTACCTCTTTACCTTTTTCTTTACTAATTTACTTATAACCTTTTCTCTTTCTTAATTTACTCTTAAACTCTCTTTTCTAAATCTAAAAACCTAAAGTAATTTTAATATCCCTTAATTACCTCTTTTTCTAAGATACCTTACACTACCTTTACTATAACCTTATAAAAGTAAAGACGTAACTACTCTCTTTTACTTTACTAGTCTACTAGTAAGCGTGTCTATACTAGTAAGCCTCTTTAGGCTAGCTCTTTTATAGTAAAGACGTTTAACGATTCTACTAATAATTAGTTAATCCTTATATAATCTAACGCTTATATCTTAAGTAGGTTTAATAATAATATTATTATTATTATTCTTACTACCTATACCTAATGTACATAGAACTTTTATACTATATAAATCACGTAGTAAAACCGTACTAAAGCCAGGTAAAAACCTATGTACTACCTCTTGTACTTATACTATTATAGTGCCGTTAAGGCGCTAGAACCCTGTCGCTACTCTACTAGAACTTAACCTTCTAGCCTAGTAATACTAAACATACTAATAAGACGCTAGTAAGGCGCTAGTAAGACGCCGGCCGTTAGCTAAGGTTACTCTCTCTCTTCTTTAGCTAGGTAGTACTTAGCTAGCCTAAACTATAGGAACTAGCTAGTAGATAGTAGCTAACGAATTAGTATACGTATACTCTTTTCTCTCTTTATTACTACTATAAAGTCGTAGAACGTCTATAGCGCCCTTAGGTAGAGCGCTTACTATAAGGCCTATCGCTATTAGTTAAGCTACTAGTAGTTAAGGATTAGGTAAGCTACTGTCTCTAGGGCCTTACTATAAGGGCACTAGAGGGTCGTTACGTCTAGTACTCTACGCTTAAAAAAAAAGGCCTAGAGTCTAACCTTACTAGTACAGATCTACGTTAAAAGTAAGCTCTTATACTTATAGAAGAGTAAGTACTTCTTAAGGGTATCTACTAAAGGGACAGGTAGCGCGGCTAGGGTAGTACCCTAGTAGTGTACTAGTAAACTATTATGTTAGGCCTATTATGTCTTTTAGTTCTCTTATAAGGTCTTCTCTAGAAGAGAGTCCTTATACTATCCCTTTACTTACGTAGCTTAGTCTACCCTATACTTAAGTAACGTATAAGGTAGTACTATAGTAGCGTTATAGTAGCGTCTCTAGTGTTATTAAAGGCAGGTCGCTACCTTATTATAGATAGACTATATAAGTTTATCTTTACTTATACATTTAAGACGTTATTTAAAGTCTACTACTTACTTATTAAGGTAGAGGTTAAGTAAAGGCGTAGCTATTTTAGACTTAAGGAACTAGACAAGAGTTACTTAGTACACCCTTATAACGACGTAAAGGTACTATAACTACTTTATAGTAAGGTCTTTTATAATCCTCTTAGCTTACTACTTAAAAGGGTAGTACTAGACCCTTATACTATATACTATAGTACTCTAGATTACCTTTATATAGATCTCTTTTACGTATAGTAGGCTATATCCTTATATAGACATAACAAGCCTTATAAGTATAAACTACTAGGTAGTAAACTTTTGTTTAATAGCGTTAAGGTAACCCTTTTATCTAAGCTTCTAATCTATCTAAACTCTTAGAAAGTAGGCCTCTTAAACTAAGGGTATAACCTAGCTATTAAGGTAGACAGGCGTTATTAGTATAGTATATATATAAGTAAGGTAAAAGAGCTTACTCTTTTTAAAGGTAAACTCTATCCTTCTTATACGTAACTACTAGCTATATACTTACTATACCCTTTTAAGGTACTAGTATATCTTTATTATGTCTTTACTAAAAGCTAAGAAGTTAAGGTCGTTAGTAAACCTTACTATAATAAGGCTTATATAACCTTATAGTAGCGTATATAAGCTAGTAGTATAAAGGAGAAAGAAGATAAGAGAGAAGGACAAGCCTTATAGTACCCTTATAGTAACCTCTTAGGATAGCGCCGCCTCCTTATTAAAGAAGAGACTAGCTGTCTAATTAGTAAGAAAGCTATATACCTACTATATAGCCTATATAAGAAACCTTAAGTACTAGAGAGTATAGAGAAGGCGTATATAGTTTACTATATTAAAGGCGCCTTTAATATTAAGTTAAAAGAGAGACGCTATAGCCTTATAGCTCTACGATATATACGTAGCGTTAACTACTATTTTAACTATAAGGTCTATTAAGTGTTATAGCCGGTTTCTTATCTACGTTTCTAAGAAGAGCCCTTATAACTTTACGGTATTAGTAAAGCGCTAGCTAATTACTAACTTAATTACTTTACCTATTATATTTAAGAGTAATATTAGCCTATAGGCCCTAGTAGTTTGTTACTACTTAAAGGTCTTTCTAGGCTTATATAGTACTACTACCTTTACTACTTTAAACTACGTAAAGAAGTACCTTAGCTAGAGGCTTATAGTCGCTATTACTATAAGGAGCTTAGCTAAAGGGCGCTTATATACCTTAAGAAAGCTAGTAAGTAGTAAGTTAAGACCTAGCGCCTTTTAAGTACCTGTCTTTTAGAGAACGTTAGTAATATCTGCCTTTATTATAGTGTCGTTAATAGTAAACCACTAGTACTACTTGTCCTAAAGGTCTAAAACGATATTACTAAGATTAGCTATTAATTCTAGAGAGAACTATTAGCCTAATACTATTACTTTATTATAGTAGCTTATAGCTAGTACCTTCTTATTAGTACCTTAAAGAGGTAAGAGTAAGGCCGGTTTTAAGGGTATATAGCTATAGAGCCTAGCCTACCTCTTAAGACTCTAGAGTTTTTATTAGTCCTTTAAGGTAGTAGTAAGGGTACTATACTAGCTCCTAGTTTTTATATCTTAGATTATATAGAGTTAATAGGTACTAGCCTACTAGAGGTTACGCTAGTAGAGCTTAGTTAAGGTAATAGTGTATTAATAGCGTACTACTTATACTTACTAGACAGCCTTAAGGACCTTACTATTCTACTAGGGCTTAGTATACCCTTAGTTAACCTTCTTTCTTAAGGTAGATATGTTTATAATATGTATAAGCTAAGAAGTAAGTAAGTTAACTACTTTATTAACCTTATAAGGTATGTCTAGTAGCTCTAAGAAGAGGTAGAGCCTCCTAGCCTTAATCGTTACTAGTTCTTAGTCTATTAAGGTCTAGCTCTATCCTAGTACCTTTATAGCTCTCTTTTAGTAATCCCTTACTTAAGTAATAACCTTAATTAGCTAGGTATAGTAGTTAGATCTCTTATACTCTAGGTTACCTTAATAGGTATACTAGAGCGTTACTATAACCTACGTATAGTTAATTATTAAGTCTTGTTTATTATGTTACTACTATATTAGCTCTCTTTAGGGTGTGTATAGTAAGAGCTACTACCTATAGGCTAGATAAAGAAAGGTCTCTAATTTAAGGGTAGTCTTACTAGCTCTATCTTAGAGTAAGTAATAAAGGTTTATGTCGCTTATAACTATCTATAGCCTCTCTAGTTCTTTCTTAGTAAGCTACTAGAAAGGGCTAGTCTAGCCTAAGGAGTTAGGAATTAGTAAGTATATTAACTAGATAGTAATACCTTATAAAGTAACGTAGTACTAGTTAATACCTGTCTCTACTACTTAAGTAAGAGGTAAGTACTACTTATAAACGTAGATAACTATACAGCCTTTACTCTTATAGACCTACTAGTACTTTGCCTATACT